AAATATTTTGGAATAATAATAATAAAAAAAGGCTCTAGCTTTTCAAAATATCGTCAAAATTATAAATAATTGAGAAAAATTGCAAATAAAGGGCCATAGCTCTGAAACGAATTTTCAGATCAACCTGAACTTAAATTTCGGCAGAGCCAGATCATAATGTACTGATCAATTTTACTCTCTGCTAGATTTTGATATCTGTATAAGTTTTTGAGTTATTTGCAAAAAGGTGCCATAACCCCACCTTAACTATATAATGATATCGAGATAACGACATAATTATATCGAGAAAACGATATAATTATATCGAGATAACGAAATAAATATATGGAGATAACGAGATAACGAAATAAATATATGGAGATAACGATATAATTATATCGATATAACGAAATAAATATATGGAGATAACGATATAATTATATCGAGATAACGAAATAAATATATCGATATAACGATATAAATATCGAGATAACGATATAAATATATCGAGATAACGATTTAATTATATCGAAATAACGATATATATATTGAGATAACGATATAATATTATTTTTTTGTAGGTCCCCTATGGGCTTCCGTACATTTCAAATAGTCAACACTTTTGAGTGTATATAGAATCGTAAATAATTAGGAAATTATTTAAATGTTGGCAAAATTGCACTATTGTGTGAAATAGCTTTCCATATTCTCGGCATCCTGTCAAATAGTTCATGAAAAGTAACAATTGTTCTACATTAGAAGAAAAAAAAGTTGCACTCGTGCTTTAACTTTTTTTTTGCCACACAAAACTGTTTTGACAAAACATTCTACTTCTAAAACAGTGGATTTTGCTTACTTATGATTGGACGAAAGGTTTATTTTTTGTACTCAAAGTATGGTGGGCAAGGAAATTATTTATTAGCTTTAAAAAATAATCCGTGCAATACCCAAACTGGGAATTTTGATCAAGTAGGCGCTAGGTCTCTAGCTTACGTTTGCACCTAGTGCGGAAAAAAGTATTGCCATAGAACTTTTGTTTGTTAACTGTTCGGTAAGGGTTGGGTAGGGTTTCTGACCTCAACTTTGGACCTACTTTAGAAAAAAAAAACTAAGCCGAAAAATACCCTGTGTTTTTTCTACTGTAGACCTCAGCTACTAAGCTTCCCTTTGTCTTAGTGCGGACAAAAGTATTGCATTAGAATTTTTTTTTATTAAATTTTCGGTAAGGGTGGGGTTGGGTGTCCTCGGACCCCAACTTTGGACCTACTTAAAAAAAAACTAAGACGAATAACACCCTGGATTTTTTTCTCCAGTAGACCTCAGCTACCCAACTTCCCTTTGCACCTAGTATTGCCGTAGATTTTTTTTATTAACTTTTCGGTAATGGTGTGGTAGGGTAGGTAGCTGAGGTCCACTAGAGAAAAAATCCAGAGTGATGTTCGGCTTAGTCTTTTTTTATAATGTAATAAGCTGGCAAATTATGAAAGCTCACGTCTTAATTGATAGGCATAGAAATAAAAAGAAAACGTATGATAACCAATAAAAATCTACCGGAGACAAAATAACTTTGGTTTAGGTAACTAGGATGATGGTCTGGATACGGGGTTCTTCATTTCTGTATTCTGTGATATTCTATGCCGGTTTTCTCTATTCTTTAATCAGTGTTTCATGCCATTTTTCTCTATTCTTTATTTCTTTATACTTTTTGCCAATTATTCTGTTCTCTTTATATTTTAACACCTCATTATTCTATTTTTTTTTATTTCTTGGTCCATTGTCTCTATTATTTATATTTTTTGCCCACTATTCTCTATTCTGTAAACCCCCATCCACACCCAGTCTCTAGTTAAGGTCACCATATAGCTTTCAAAAATAAGCAAAATTAATACCGAGTAGGCTCCGAATGGCAAAATGATTGAATGCTAATCCCGATTTGAATTGTGAAATTGCGGAAATTTGTTTTTCAATCAATTGATCAAGCAAAACACATTATCGTCCTGAATGTTCGTATAATGGACCATGGTTATGAATTCTAATCATCTGAGATCAACCTTTCTAAATTTAAAAGTAAAGATCACGCACCCTTATTGTTCAGATTGATTATGTCTTTTGCATCCGTCGACATTATCTTCGATTAAAGATCTGATAACCACAGTGACTGTGCATGTATACTTTAACGACCGGGGTAGTTTTCTTATAAGTTTTTAAAAGTAGTAACCTCCCTTGTTAATGTGATGTTGTAATCAATCTATTTATTTGTACCATCTTTATATAATATTATATTGTACAATTTAAATTTATGATTCGTTTAATATTTAAATATAATAATTTATTTTTTATTAAAGATATAAACAAGGTAATTTGAAAGGCTTTGATTCATTTATCACCGTAGTTCAATTCATAAGTCAGGCGGTCTATTTTGTCTACATTATGTTGAAAGAACACCGGGGTGTTTACATTGGCATTATTTACTATCAATGACTGTGAAACAAGAAAGGAAAACATTGTACATTATAAAACGAGAAATAAGTTAAATACAAAATTCTTGTTTAGTGAAATCAAAAACGAAAAACGGAAACACTTTAGATTTTCATATTGGTTTTAGAGAAATCAAAAACAAAAAATGAAAACACTTTCGTTTTCCGTTTTGGTTTTAGAGAAATCAATTTAAAAACGAAAAATGAAAACACTTTTGTTTTTTGTTTTGGTTTTTGAGAAATCAAAAACGAAAAATGAAAACACTCTCGTTTTTTGTTTTTTATTTTTGATATTGCAAAATGAAAAACGAATGGACGCAAATATACACGGACATGGAGAAATTCAAAACTCATAAGTCGAGATAAACTGACAACGCCATAGAAAAAAGTAAAGACGACTAAAAAGACAAACAGGCGATAAAACTTCAACTTTTTTTGTTCACATGTTGTTTAAATGTATTGACCCGAGTAGGATATACAAATAAAGAGTAACATAGTTTCTGGAAAGTAAATGCTACTGTTTTGCCTAAATATAAACTTGTAGGCTTGTGCATATACGTATCTTCATTGTTAACATAAACTAAATAAAATCCATCATGGTATAAATGTATGGCATACTGATCAACGCAACTTGAACTTTTACGGTTGTTGGGGTGTTCCGTTTTCTAGAAGTTCCAAATACATTGACCCTTTAGTGTTTTCATATCATTAAAACGCAATTATTTATAGAAAAAAACATATAACTTTCAGAAAAATTCTGGCGACGGAATATCAAAAAATCGTAATTTAAAGTGAACTTAGTTCATAGTTTTTCCGATTTTTACGTACATTCTATACGTTTTCACAAAATACCGACCAATTACGCATACTTCGGTTTATATGGTTCCTATTGATATTCTGAGTAAACTAAAGTTAAATAATTGACCCCTCAAAAAAACTGTAGCACTATTTAAGCATTAAATTACTTAATATTCAAAACTAAAGAAAACACGTTCGGTAAGTGGTTAGTTTCTATATGTGATGGATATAATTGTTAGCTCATTGTACCCGATAACACAGTGTCTCTCGAGCTCGTGCTTTAATAACTTTCAAAGGGTGATCATAAAGGACAAGATAATATCCACATATCTTTAAATAATAATCTTATTTCTCACAAGTTGTTATTGAACAGATATGCGGAATTGGAAAAAACGGAAGTCCATAAAAACTTACAAAATCAAGCGTTATCAGCCAATGGAACGAGTGGAAAACAACTGTCATATTCCTGATTTGGCACAGGCATTTTCTTAAGACATACAAGGTTAATGTGACAATAATTGGGATCCAGCAGCCAAAACTGTGTAAACATACATCACAGACTTAAAACACAACTGACTTAAAATTTAAACAAACATTTTGTAGTTGATAGTACATACCATATATAGTATACAATTTTTCAAGTACCGATTAAGAAAAATATAAATACAAGAGTAAAAAAAATAGAAACAACACTGTAAAAACCTCTGGTATCCTCTGGTATCCGGATCGCATCTCAGGACCCACCTCACCAGGAACGCCCAAAGTCAAAAACACGATAGCGGATGTATAAATACCCTGTCACGTGATGTATAAATACCCTGTCACGTGATGTATAAATACCCTGTCACGTCAAAAGATATACGACCAAAAGAAACATAATAGCACGAAAACAAATAAAGGGAAAAGAAAACTGTAAAGTAAATAAAAAGATACACAACTTCAGCACCTAGAATCTATAATTCAAGACAATCTTGTATTATTTGTGAAGTAGACACCGAATATTTATCTATAAGAACTTTCCGATGAACTTTTTGAGAAAAAGGACGAGACGTTCTTTGACAAAACCCTGGCTCATTAATTTTTTGCACAGACATCAATGACGTTTTACAAAGTTTGAGTAGCAGCTGCAAGCTGTTAAATACCATATGAGTTGAGAAATGTATAAACCATACACGGGTGAAGTTGGTAAATTGCTGCTAAGGTGAGGAAAATTTATAATTTTAAAATAGATATCGTCTTGTGTGTCATAGATTCTGGTCCTGAGATGACCACTGTTGTCAAAGTCGAGGTAAATGTCTAGAAATGAGCGGAGGAAGCTGTATCTGTTGTTTCTTTAATCTCTACAATGTAGTTCAGGAGGATATATTAAATGGACCTAATCAGAAATGTTTGTTTGTTAATGGAAAGAACATCATCAATTATATACCTGTAAGTGAAATTAAATCATCTTTGTTCTTTTAGATTTTTACAAATTTCTGAAGAAACTCCGACTCATATAAAAAAAAAAGTTGGCCAGGAGAGGTGCACAGTTTGTTCTCATAGGAATGCCGACAACCTGCTGAAAATTCTTCCTCCAAATTCAACAAATAGATTGTCAATGGGAAACTCCAGCATACCGATAATTTGTTCTTCGGTGCAGCATGTTTTATTTTCAGTCTCATTTTTCAAACAATATGCCGAATTATATCTCAAAACAACAAATTTGTAGCATATGGTACCCTTATTATTGAGGAAACCAAAACTTACCCCACTTGAACAACTCATCAGGTCCATGTAATCTTGTCATCATTTCTGCGTCATGTGAACTGCCTGCTAATTGTTTTGTATGCCTTAGAACTGGAGGTATACACTTGTTGTTACTGCAATATGATGTATATATATAATATTCGAAATACTGAGACAGGAAATATATTACATATCAACTATTGCATTGCTTGCTGTCTTTAATTTAATTCTAATTGTAAATTAACATTTTTTTTAAATGGTGGTCACTACACATTTCAACTGTGTTGAAATTATTTCATTACATTAAGTATTTCTTGCAATCAGTTCATAATTGCTCAGATTATTGTAAATTAATGAATAGTTAATCAATATTCGTACCTATAAACATGGTCAGATTTTAGAAAATCAATTCTGCCCACTAGAACTGTTATACTGAATATTTAATATGATTTTTTTGCCAACCATGTCTAACACATTTATACATTTGGCTAACTCTTGGGCATTTCAATAGTTATCATATAAAAATAAGAAGATGTGGTATGATTGCTAATGAGACAACTCTCCATAAGAGAACAAATGACATAGAAATTATGTATATATATATTCTTTTAATATTGAGTATATAACCCATAATTGTGCTTTATTTTTAGCATTGATATTGTAAAACATTCTGGATGTTATGGGCTAAATGCTTATCGCTAGTTCGTCCACGATCGCTCTAACATCTAACGGTCATTTTATGACCTATTTTGGCCGTTTGTGGCAGACCATCAGTCCTCAATGGTATTACCTGCCTAGTAGCAAGTTCTTCGATATTGGCACGATCCAAAGGATGTATTGTCAGTACACTTCCAGATCATAAAATTATACAATGTTATTAAGCTAAGGTGCAACACTCCCTCTGTCAAAAATTTATTTTACAGACGCCATCACGATTTGGTTGAACCATTTCGAATATATGTATCGCAGATGTCTACGGGGTTATTCCACTTGTATCGTCTCTTTCCTCATTCAAAGCATCATTTAACGCTACAAATCAAAATAACCGTATGTTTTAATTGAGCAAAATGACGGGTGTTATTTGTGAAGCAGGCACTGTTTACCCTTCCCGGGCACCTGAATTCATTTACGGTTGTGGTGAGGTTCTTGTTGCTCAATCTTTAGTTTATGAGTAGTGTTTTGTGAGTTTTTGTTCTTCTCTTCGTCTCTTTTCTTTCAGATATTTATGTTGCCTGTTTTTCTTTGGTTTATGATTTTTGATTGCCTCTTGGTATCATCTTCCCCCTTTTTTTACATCACATGTCAGTGCAAAGTTGCTTAGAACCTAAGAACATGTGCAGTCTCCTCTTGTCAGGTTCATGTAAACTTTTTTTGAATTTTATTAACAATTATCCTTAATATGACTTTTTTAAAAACCTGACTGAACCGAGAGTAGAAAATAATTGTTCAATACATTTTACTCACATTGCCCCTGAATAGAAAGCATGTAAAGAACTATCTTCATTTAAGTGGAAGTACATCATAGCTGATTCATACTGGTTTGCAGCATTAATAGGTCTCATTATTTCGTACCAAAGTCCAGATAGCTAAAATTCATTATACATATGACAATAATAAGCCAAAAACTCAAATGATTTTTTTGTAATAACTAACATGTGTCATTTGATTTATAAAATTGAGAATGGAAATGGGGAATGTGTCAAAGAGACAACAACCCGACCATAGAGCAGACAACAGCCGAAGGCCACCAATGGGTCTTCAATGCAGCGAGAAACTCCCGCACCCGGAGGCGTCCTTCAGCTGGCCCCTAAACAAATATGTATACAATGTACTAGTTCAGTGATAATGGACGTCATACCAAACTCCAAATTATACACAAGAAACTAAAATTAAAAATGATACAAGACTAACAAATGCCAGAGGCTCCTGACTTGGGACAGGCGCTAAATGCGGCGGGGTTAAACATGTTTTTTGAGATCTCAACCCTCCTCCTATACCTCTAGCCAATGTAGAAAAAACAAACGTACAACAGTACGCACAGTAAAACTCAGTTTAAGAGAAGTCCGAGTCCGATGTCAGAATAGGAAACAAAAGAAAATAAACAAAATGACAATAATACATAAATAACAACAGACTACTAGCAGTTACTGACATGCCAGCTCCAGACCTCAATTAAACTGATTGAAAGATTATGTCTTCATCATATGAATACCAGGTTAGGGATTTAGTATTATACCATCATAAAATATATGAGAAGAACATAACCCGTGTCATGCCAACAACTGGTTTTAGAATAAATATGTTTAATTCCGATGCAAAGACCCTATAAGTGAATCAATAATAAAGCCAAAATATGCAATCTTTAATGACCTGACAACAGTATCGTAACTATATCCCTTCTTAATAAGTCTGTTTAAAGGTTTTGTTAGCTTTTGAGGTGAATACTGACATTTTTGTGCTTTGTAAAGAATATTACCATAAAAGATTGGATGTGAAATACCCGAACGTATAAGATGTCTGCATTTTGAGTTATATTTACGAATGATGTCCTTATACCGATGATAAAATTTAGTAAATGTTTTGACTAGTTTATGATATCGAAAACCCTGGTGTAATAATTTTTCAGTAATACATAAATTTCTTTCGCTCAAAATCTAATACGTTGTTACATACACGAGCAAATCGTACAAGTTGAGATATATAAACACCATAAGATGGTGACAAGGGAACGTCACCATCTAAAAATGGATAATTAGCGATAGGTAATGAAAACTCATCTCTTTTATCATAAATTTTTGTATTAAGCTTCCCGTTAATGATATAGATATCAAGATCGAGGAAAGGACAGTGGTCATTGTTAGTATTAGCTTTATTTAAAGTAAGTTCAACAGGATAAATTTCTTTAGTATACATACTGAAGTCGTCATTATTGAGAGCCAATATATCATCCAAATATCTAAAAGTATTGTTAAATTTTTGTATCAGATGTTGTTTCGATGGGTCTTTGCTGATTTTAGTCATAAATTGTAACTCATAACAATACAAAAACAGGTCCGCAATAAGTGGTGCACAGTTAGTCCCCATTGGAATTCCGATAACTTGACGATATACGGAATCTCCAAATCGAACAAAAATGTTATCAAGTAAAAATTCAATGGCAGATATAGTATCAAAGCATGTCCAATTGACATAGCTCTTTTGTTTGTTGCTACTAAAAAATTACCTAAAAGAGTTTGAACATATGTATTCGCATTCCGACTTTTTAAATGCCCATTTAATTAGGTGTGTGAATTTTTTCTTAATAAGAATTAATATCTTTTGTAACACAATCTTATGTAATTTCTACTGTGCATGTAATGAGTCGATTAATGTATTTGTAAACCAGTTGTCTAAAATTGAGAATGGAAATGGGGAATGTGTCAAAGAGACAACAACCCGACCAAAGAGCAGAAAACAGCCGAAGGCCACCAATGGGTCTTCAACACAGCGAGAAAATCACGCACCCAGAGGCGGGCTTCAGCTGGCCCCTAAACAGAAATGTGTACTAGTTGAATGAAAATGGACGACACACTAAACTCCAAAACATATAAATGTACTAAAATTTAAAAAACATACAAGACTAACAAACTAACTGACTTTTGACAGGCGCAAAAATGCGGCGGGGTTAAACATGTTTTGTGTGATCTCAACCCTCCCCCGTCAGAATAGGTAAAAAAAAACTAAGTAAAATGACAATGATACATAATTTAACAAAGGACTACTAGCAGTTACTGACATGCCAGCTCCAGACCTCAATTAAACTGATTGTAAGATTATGTCTTCATCATATGAAACATATATTCCTGTTAATACAAAAAGGAAAACATAAGGGAATGTCAATGAGAAAGCAGCTCAAGACATCCGATGATCAACAAATGGCATTAAACAATAGAACTGTTTAATTCAGAAAGCGAAATCTCTTTGAAGAATAGTGTTAAAAGAGTGTTAACTTCTTTTCAATAATATTGTGAGATTACAAAGGTGTCTAGGGTAAAAAATAACTTTTAATACTTTAGTATACAAAAGTTTCCTAATGTCATTTGAATAAACAAAAACGATTTTTTACAATAAAGTTAGGACTGAAACTCTAAATGGGATATTTCATACACTGTAATTGAGACAATGTACATATTATTTAAAAGTTCAAAGGAAAACGATTTCAATAAAACATGAAACTTTTGCCATTTTTCACCAAAAAAAATACTTTTGTTTGATTGACGGTTTTTTCAATTAAGTTTTTTGTATAACTACCAATTGTCTCATCATTGTTTTTTATATATTATTCTCAACCTTGAACCTGCGGAACGCTCAAAACGCAAAAAAAAACTTCTCTAGCACGGTTAGGAGGAAGAACAACATCAATTTACACTACAGTTTTTTTATCACCTTCACGAATTGGTTGACCGATACGATGTGTAGGTGTCTAAACACACGAGAGCCATGTTTTTTCAGGTCTGAGAACATTAAGAGTCTGGAATAGTCGTATCTTTAAATTTATCTTTTGTGTCTTATTTCCTATCAGGACATTTTGGCTGAGTCTGTATTTGCATGGCGAATGGTTATAACAAAGCATAGGACGCTTACGCTGTTGAACTTTCTTATCTCGCTTTGGATTATCCATATTTAAACTTTTCCAAATGATAAGATAATGTTATAAACAAAAAGAAATATAGAAAAAAAAATCATGTCATTTATAAAACCCGTAATTAATAGGTGTAATAGTCTTTTGAGGAGAACTGCTTGCATGAATTGTTGTCCCTTTTTGAAGTCGTTGTTTTTGAAAATTTATACTCCAGATAATAACAGATAATTATAGTGGATATATCTGTTCAAATCAGAGATTTTTTTAGGTATTTTTAGAAAATGTTTTTTCAGTTCTTACTATATACGGTCGATTTCAAGTAAAAAAAATTCACAGAATTCTTCCAATTCGTATTTTACCGCCTTCGACTGTATAATCATTTTCAATCCGAACGAAACATTTTGACACAATTTCCCTGACCTCCTCTTTAGTAATCGTAACATATATTATATTTAGCTCACTAGCCTAGTATTCAGCACTTCTGTGTTGACATGAACTATCATTGATATGGTCATAATTGTAAATTAAATGTTTATAAAACTTTGAATTTTTCAAACATCTAAGGATTTCCTACCCCAGGAATATATTAAATACCTTAGCTGTATTTGACAAAAACTTTCGGAATTTTGGGTCCCCAAAGCTCTTCAACTTCGTACTTTATTTGGTCCTTTTAACTTTTTTGATTCCGGCGCCACTTGTGAGTCTTTTGTAGACGAAACGCACGTCTGGCGTACAAAATTTTAATCCTGGTATGATGGGTTTATTTTGTACGTCATTTGGTCTCTGGTGGAGAGTTGACTCATAGGCAATCATACCACATCTCTTATTTTTATATAGAATGCGAAGAAAAATACAATTAAACATTGTTTTCCTTTCTTACTTTTCAACCGCCAAAGCACAGACCCTGGACGAATCCATGTTTTATGAACGAGACAAAAGGTAAGATATGTAAGACATCCTGTTCTAAGTTATTCACAAAATTTTCACTCATCGGACTGATTCATATTGCAATGGCAAATTATTTAGAAAATTGAAAACGTTTATGCAATGTGCTTTCTTTCTTTAAAAAAACACATGCATTTTATGCCGTTAATGCCGTTTATGAAAGTTCAAAGTTTGAGTTTCTTTGAAGAAATTGCATTCTTTTAAATATTATAATGCTGTTGTCCATTGTTTGAAATCAGAACGAAAGCTCCTACTAGTTAATCATGTCTAAATATACCGCTCTGGCTTCTTGTAAACAATATCATGCCATTCGTTTACCTCACAAAATGCTAGGCATTTTAATCGAAATTGACCAGAGACAGTTTTCAGTTCAGGTATAGTTTCTTTTTTTTTTCTTTCGTTATAAGCTCTTACACCATGCACATTAAAAGTTAAATTGGAATAGAAACGTTTTTGATTGATGATCCCTAATAAAGTTTAACATAATCTTAAAATTGGTACCAATATAAACACTACAATATAATTGCTCTAAAAGAAGATTTTATCAAATAAATGCTAATATAATAACAATACCTGTGATATTTTGAAAGATTCGTCAATAGGTATATTGGAAAGCTGACATAACCCAGTTTGCATGCTTCCAATTCGTGACATAATACGTTGAGTTACAGCTACAATAATTATATATTAAAAAATGATTTCACTTATCTATCTGTTTACATTTACATGGAATATACAATTTTTCTGGTTTGCATTTTTGCTATACTTATACTTTTGATATTTGTTCGCAATAGACTAACATCATGGTCTATCTGTGTTCTTTATGTGTATATTTCTTGAAGTCTTCAATGATAAATCTTATAACATATACACGTATATAAAACATTTGTAGAAGATGTATTCATCAAAACAAAAATATATCTAGTCGGTAAAATGAAGATGTTTTTTGCCGATTTTTGTATTTTTCTTCATATTAGGGAGAACGTTTTTGCTATTTTTATTCCTTCTTCTATTCGTCAATTGTTCTACAATGTTTTTTTTTCTTTCTAGAATATAAATACTTTTGGTTATTGTGTGACAATAGAACATAGCTTCTATGTGTTTTGTCACTTTAATAAAAATGCAAACCAACAGAACAAATTTTCTTTTGAACTATACCACTAAATGTAAAAATGCAGACTTCTTAGCATGGGCATAAAAATATATCCGAACATTTTCAGAGCTTTCCGATCATTTTTAACCCAAATCATTGAATATGCACTTTGGATGGTAATTGTCAATTGTAGTGAACCCCTCTAACAAAGGTTACCATTGGGTGCTGACTTGAAACAATTATCCTTTTGCATTTGGTCTAGGGTGATAAAATGCAACACCATACTATTTTAGTAATGTGCAGCAAGTAGTTCTAAAAATGCCTTAAAAACTGTGTTGCAAAAAAAGGCTACGACATTGAGTTGTATTTCTAATAGCACTAATATGTAGTGAGTCTCAAAAGATTTTTAACAAGATAACTCACTTTCTGGTGCATAATACAAAGCATCTTTGACTGAAATCATATTGTTGATTAGATCTGGAACAGTGCACAACCCTGAAACATATATAGAAATATAAATAATTTTCAGTAGATACGAATTTCTTGTTTGATATCATAAAAAAATCTTACTTTGTGATAAGCGCACTGAATCAAAAAAACAAATACACCGAAAATGGTACCATTTGAATGCTGGAATGTTTTTATTTATAACATAGCTGTTAGGTTGGTGGTTTGATATTTCAACAGGATATTGATATTCCAATGGGTACTAATTGAATACTGGTCGATTTGTTGTTTTACTCATATGAAGCAAAATTCATACAAAATCTGTTCAAAGACGAAAAATTAAAAAAAAAACTTCTTGCAAATTTCTTTTATTTCACTTTCAGATATATTGATGATGTCCTGTCACTCAATTGCCCTGTCTCAGCAAAGTTCTTGCATCGCATATATTGCGATGAACTTGAGATTTTGGATACTACGACTTCAAACTATAATCCATGACAAACGTCATGATTTCAACTTTCCAATTGTCAAATTTCCTTTTCTAAGCAGTGACATGCCCTCTGTCTCATCGTATCGGATTAACATATTTCAACTGATACGTTACGCTCCTTTTTCAGACTATACACACATCATTAGCGGGGTTGTGCTTCTTATACAAAACCTGACCCAACAGAGTTAATAGAATTAATTTCAGTGACATTGTATATGAGGAAAGTGAGAAGTGTGACCCGTTTAACAAGTAGATATCAAAACCCGAGGATGTTCCTTTTCCAGAGTTTTGAGCAAATATTAATATCTTAATTATTTACATATATCAAAATGAAATAATTGATATTATATAAACTGTTGATCCTAATATGGCATCGGAACCAGATTTGACAAGTCACAGAATCCTGCGAAAGTGGCGGTTCCTTTACAAATCATATAAAATAAATATCGTCAACAATGCAAGTATCCATTTAGCTGAAAGATAACAAATATCATTGCTATTTAAAAAAAAAAAGAGATTCGTCATTACCCTCAAACTATAGATCAACCTGTTTAATAAGCTGTGGAAGTAAAATCATAGGAATAATTGTTTTTTGTTTTTAAACATTGTATAATTATCTCAATATGAATAGGATTTTATATGAATACCACTCTGGTTTTGTTTTGTCAAAATATTCAAAGATGCATCAGCTACTAGAAATGTATAATTGAATTTTCAACTTACTTGAAGGAAATGAATTGTTTTGTCTTTTTGGCGATTTCTTAAGAGCTTTTGACAAGTTTTGCCTAAGAGGCCTCTTACACAAATTGAAAGCCTATGGAATACACAGTAATTTCGCAACTGGTTTAATAGTTATATTCGTGATAGAAATTAAAAAAAGTTTTGATATTAATTCGTCATACTCATATTCAGTCTTTCAGTTGGAGTGCCTCAAAGATCGTTACTAAGTCATTATCTATTTATAATAAATATAAATGACATTGCAGAGAAACTCACACCGTTAATCAGACTCTATGTAGATGACACTTAGTTTAATTCTTCGAGGCACAATGAATGACATATCAACACTGTTGTTGATCGTGACTTGAGGGAGCTGAACGAATGGTCAAAGAGGTGGCTTACAAGTTTGTCTTTTGATACAGACAATACAGAAACAATTATGGTTTTTTTTTCAAATAATGACGCCAAATCTTAAATTCTTCTTAAATGACAAAGAAATCCCTGTTGCAAAATGCCACAAACATATTGGGGTAACGTTTTTCTCTGATGCTGGATGTAATAGCCATGTTGATTATTTGATATCTAGTGTTACAAAACATTTCAATATGTAAAGAAACTTAATTACCGACTTTGAAGGAAAAACAATTTTTATTCAGACGAATTTTTTAATATGCATGTCAAGTTTGGGACAATTGTTGGAAAGAGTATGCTAATAAACTGGAAGGTTTACAGCTAGAATCCACTAGATTAGTTACTGGGTTGTCTATTTTTACAAAAACGAAAGTCTGTATGAAGTAGTTGTTGGGAATCTCTAGTTGAAGGAGGAGAAGATGAAATTTTAAATGTCTTATAATTCTAAATATAAACAAGCTCTATGTTATCCATGCAATTTTATTTCACCCTGTGTACATTGAACCGCAGTTTGACCCTTGTGAAATTGCGATGATATTATTGTTTCTTTCTGTAGATCATCCAGCAAAAGAACATTTTAAACCATCAATTATAAGACTGTGGAATACGTAAAAACGTAAAAACATTTTAAGCCTGGAATCTATCATGAGTTTATATACTACTGATTTTTCCTTTTAAAAAATTAAATGCCAATTAAAAAGGCTCAAAATTATATTAAAAAAAAAGAAGATTTACATGAACACTATTCATATAGACCGAGGAAACTGAATATCATTCTTACTCAATTAAGCTGCTACGCACTTTCTTGAATAATGACTTGTTCAGAGTTAATATTAATTCTGACCCATTTCGTCTATTTGGATGCAACTTTGACTACCATTTATATACACTCCAGAGAGACATTCTGATGAACTATTAAAGATGGCTCCCTGATTACCTTATATTTATTGTTAATTAATGACATCTGGTAATCCAAATCTTTCGTATGAACAGAACGTCCACATGTTTAAACCTGTAGTCGAATTTATTATAAAAAAAAAAGACTGAGATATTTCTTGTCATATAATTCGGAATAGTGTATTTGCGATGCTTGTCATCCTTTTTCACTAGTTCATAATAGATTCGTGAAGTATTATATGTTTTGAAATATTGCATACTCATATTAACATTGTATTGTAATATACTATTATCGAAGCTGACTTCATAAGTATGATTAAATTGTGACCAATCCATTTTACTTAGAGTAAACTAAATGTGTTTAAACTACGGAAAAACGACTAAAATCGACACTACATAAATTTTACGGTCAACCTAACAAATTGGTTGACCGATATGATATGTCTGTGTCTCATGTCACTAGCGACATGTTTTCGCAGCCTTAGCTATTACGACACTAGAACACTTGTCTAATCAGTAAATTTACCGATTGTGTTCTATTTTTGATTGTCATGTCTTCACTGAGTGTCAATTCGCATGGCGGGTGATCCATTCAGAACCGGAGACCCTTACCCTGTCGACGCACCTGGTCTTGCTCCTTTTGGAGTTCGTATGATTCCCTCAGGTTGTTTTTTTGTAATCAAGATTTGTCTTCTTAATCGTTTTACGAGATTTGAACATCAGTAAACTACTGTTGTCTACTACAATAGCCTCAAACTGCTCCAAATAACACAAAATATTGCACATATTCTATTGTCGGATTGTGAATTTTCTTTCTAAATGCGTAAAAGGATTTAACGTCTTTTAGCCAACAATACTGGCAATAAGTTTGGCATAAAAAAAATGTGATTTTCAGTTGATCTTTATAAAAGGATCGGTTAATCGATACTAAATTATTAGTTGCAAATACAAAATTTACATATAGAATTTACCTGCAGTTTGATAAACGTATATTTCATACTTATAACAAATGATGGATAATTTGTTCTTGGCGTCCTCTACACTGTCTAATTTTATTGGCTGATTGTGTTGAATAAGACGTTGCACTTGACTTTTTATGCATCGTCCGGCTTTTCTCTCATAGCAGATAAACATTCCAAGGTAATTTTCGCCCTTCGATATCCAGAATTCCACTGTAAACAATATTTAATATTTTGTTTATAAAATAAGGAGATGTGATAGGATTGTGAATGAGACAACTATTCACCAGAGACTAAATGACTAAGAAGTTAGCAACTATAGATGATTCTTCTATACCCGACTGGTGAGTCTTCTGTAGAGGAAATGCGCATTTGGTGTACAAAATTTTAATCCTGGTATCTATGATGAGTTTATTAACCATACGAACAATGAGCAAAACCCATACCACGTAGCAAGCTATGAAGGGCCCCGACATGACAAAATGTAAAACAATTCAAACGAGAAAGCCGATACATGTTATATTAACAACAGAAGTGTTTCATTCATTATTTCCTTGGATTAATTACCGGCATTTTTTTTTTTTGTTGCTTTCATTTTTATATGAAGGCAGACCTGCATAGTGTTTGATCAAATGTTTCTTTTAATTTCCCGGAATACAAGTTTGAATTGTAAATTTGAGCTAAAAGCAATGACCAAAGCTTCGCCTGAAAGAACGTGAATCAAATTGTTCACCATTAGATTGTTTCGTATTTACTTAATGTATATGGTCTCGATGATTTTTAAATTCGCCGTTTTAATGCCTAAACTTTCGCATTGAGTTTAATTCACTTATTGAAATATACGCACTGGAGACATCACCATGGCAAAAAATGACAAAAATAAAACAATAATTCACAAAACACAACATAGAAAACTTCAGACTGAACATAACGAACACAATAAAAAATTTAAATGAACTCAGATACTTTAGAATTTAGCCTCGCTAAATGTTCATGCGCCTGTCCCAAGTTAAAATTTGTCCTTTGTTACATCTCAACGGAATTGGCTATTGGAGAATTTGAAGACTGATCTATAATAGTAGATAATATTTTCGTTCACATTTATTTAGACTCGGAATGTTTTAGAGATTAACATATTATATAGACTTGTGTAAATGGTTAAAGACCGTGATATCTATTGCTTTTCTCTGTTATTGAGTTGCTGTCTCGTTGGTGTATACCCCATATCTGTTTTATCTTCTGATCTTACTTGGAAGAGAGCTGCCAATCTGTAGATAATGACCTGGAGCTATTCTATAATATTTTCCTATATCTATTTCCGAACAAGTATCATTCCTGCAAAACATGTAAAATATTAATAGCAAAATATTAATACGTATGATAACAGCCATTATGCAATATTGGTAACAAGATTGACTTTTACAAATGCATTGAAACATGATGGGCGTAATGATCAAAATAGTTTTACTTTCCTATAGAGTAGATAAAAACTGAAATGAAAACAGACTTGTTTTGTTAAAAACGGGAACCAACAGTAAATATTTTTGCAGAAATTGAGACATCTAAACTAAAAAAAAGAAGACTATAACAAGGGGCAATCTTAAACCTTAAGTCGAATAAAAAACAAACAACAACATGGCCACAGTTTGACTTATGCCTGTAAAGAAGACTAAAAAATAAAACATTGCAAATACGCTCTTAATATAGCAACGGCATGGATAGATAGATTGGTACTATAGATAAATACATGTAAATGTTAGATAGATGGATCGGGATGGAGTGTTTGATGCATGATGGTATGGATGGATGGATTGACAGATAGATCATAGATAGAAATTGAGTTTATTATAGTTAAACTGTTACCTTTGGTATGATCTTGTGACGTACAACACATTATTGTCTTTGCTTGGAGTGAATTTATAACTGGTAGAGATAGCTTGTTCTCCTTCAGGAACACCGACAAAAGCAGTATGGTAGTCGCCAGTAGGCTGTTAATACGAAATGTGTAGCTTTGTTTATATTTACTGATGGTCTTACGACTAATAATACATATCAAATACTTCTTCTAGTCACAGTAGTATTACTCAGGACAACAAAAGTATCAAATTATAATCATAGGATGCGCACTAATATACACACAGTGCGTATTTTGTTGGGCTCGATACAAACAAAATATGGTCTAAACAGAGTAATAATTTACTTCAACTTGGTTGGAAAAAGTTATTGATAAACATTTTAAATCACTGAATATAATTTGTATATAGCTAATTTGTTTACCCGTTCCTTGGCAACAACAAAGAAGCTTTCATTTGGAGCGTACACACATTCACCTACAAAGTATACAAAAAATTACCCTCGTACATTTTTAATCAGTATGGAGTAAAAACAAGAATAATGGTTTTATGGGAAAAGATAAAGCAAAAGTTTTTCGCTACATAACTAGCCAATCAGAACACATGTAACATAATATGTATCATCTGAGTTCCTGTTTAAACAGAAGTCAGGGATAACAGTATAGATTTTGCAGGAAAACATTTTTTTGTTACGATCTTTTTGCTGGATTGATGCAAAGTCGCCCCAAAAGAGTCACTCGCCAAAAGGGCTAGTTCTATTGAATCTGGACTCGCCAAAAACGATACTAACTCGTATTTGGCGAGTTGGCGAGCAGAGGTTTCACACACTGTTAAATATAGTACTAAACAAATTGTGAAAGATGTAATATCTAAAATCTTGCAAATACATGTAATAATACTTTTCAACAATTGGCTGTACTTTTTTACTTTGTCTATTGTGCGAGACTGTAATAAATTGACCTCTAGATGTCTTTCAATTATCTTTGGCATTGGGTAGTCGTTTTATTGTTGTCTATATCCACGTGACATTTATTTATGCATATGAAAGGAATATGACAATGTAGATTGAGAGGATGAACTTCTTTCACCAAAATGTTAATATGCATGTACATGTTAGATGATGTCGATGGTCGTCTTACATGTATTGTCATTTTTTGATGTTTGAACTTTTATTCTTAAGCTGTATAACATGTAAATAAGCTAAATATTTAATATCAATAGACCATGACTTAGGAGATTGACCAACTAATCTCCATGGATGAGATGTTATAATGCTGATACATGTACAACATCACACCAAATATCATTGACTTACATGTACCATTATGTACTGGTGTCCCTCAAACTGAACTAATCAGATCTAGCATATAAACTCAGCCAAATTTTGAAAGTCAATAGACAATTAACTTTGGGGGTAGGCTCCTTAATATCCATAGAATGAGATATGCAAATGCTCCTTCAACTGCATTACAGTACATACCACATATCATTGACTTCCCATAAATGGTTCCTGTTAAACTAACCTACATGTAATTATTGATTGATTGATTGGTGTTTTAAGGCCACTTTCAGCACAGTAACTGCTGCACTATCGGCTATTTTGTAGTGGTCATTTTTTAGGTGGAGGAAGCCGGGGTGGCCAGAGAGAACCACCAACAATTGATAGGAAGACAGACAATCTTAGTCAACTAAGATTCTATTGGAGTCAAAAATTGTAATTATAATCTTTAACAAAGTGTTAATGTCATTGGCTATGCCCAAAACAGCATGCATTTTTTTATACCTTAATTTACCTTTATATGGCGACTTTGTGCCAGCAAGACAAAACAAAATGGGAAATGGTTCCTCCCATGCAATTGCAGCTGTTAGTGTTAAAGTGTAATGTTGACTGCCAAAAAATAAGTCCATTTATAAGTAAAAAGGGGTAACTTTTGTTTACAAATCCAATTTTTTTTTAAATTATTGATCCTTATAATTACATATGTGCAGTTTCATTTAACGCCAATAAAAACAATAGGTCTGTTTCCTGTTGCATGCTCCCAAAAAATAAATTGGAAGGTCAGCGGCTAATTTCACAAAAAATCTTACGAGAAAAAATACGTGCAAGTCATGACCATTTTAGTATAACTTACAATCAAATTTGGATTTTATTTCCCTCAACCTTTAGTCTTATCATGAAGTTCGGCAAATGTCACCAACTGTGAGGTCATGTGAACATTTATTTAAATGGATATGCTGACTGAATGATTCTTTTTATCAACCACCCATGGCCATCAGATCAGTGGATTACCTGACACAAATTTTGTGACCATTGATCTCTCATATATTTAACACTCTCAGATGTGTCCATTTCACCCAAATGTGTTCTTTAAATCACAAATCACAAATCGCCAAAACATGTTCAATTTCACATCCCCTAATGGTCTGATTATTTACTTCGCCAAAATGTGTTTGAATTTTAACTCTCCAAAACGTGTCCTTTTGCCGAAAACTTGTCCACTTTATAAAAACTTTTAGCTCTAATATGTCTTCAGTATTAATGCAATAAGGTTTACATCATTCAATGATGGGAAGGGGGACATGACTGAAGTTGTCGGGTTTGGTGATCTCTAAAAAAAGATTAAAGGACATCTAGAGAAAAGGTGTAGTGGACCGTATAGTCCAAGATGTGGTACACTATGCATAGTGAAAGATGAAATCACTGACTTAATTAAATATTCTGCTCTCAAATTAATAGACACCAGATAAGAAAAAGAATCTCACACTAAAAAATTATCTTCACTTCCGAGCATTTATTATATTTTTATCAATATGATTATTATTGTTATAACTTTAGATGAAGGTATTTCACACTTAAAAAATCTTATACATAATATTTTATCCTGCAAGTTTTCACTAGACTAGTGCAAGTGTTCTCAGTGCTTCAACTATTGATTAAGTTGGTTGTTTACATTGAGCATAATTGCAAATTCAATTTACAACACATACATGTACATTAACTGTTGACTGTTAATTGCCTAATGTTCAGTGGCGAATATTTCATGCATATTTAGAGCAAACATAAAGATTGCAATTTGTTAGTTTTGTACAGTTTAATTCATTGTTTACAAAGTAATTAAAATTCTTTTGTACTAATATACTGCAGTGGTGCCTAAATATATTAATGTATCAGGGTATAACACGGACGGCTTTTTGCAGGAGTGGTTTCTGGACGAGAGTTACTGTTCCATTTTTACAACAAAACAAAAGGAAGGTTCCTGTAATGATATCGATTGGGTTTATATTTAAACAATGTGTGATTAATTTACAAATCACTATTTAATATGAGCGTTCATAAAAGGGAGACGTTTTGGCTTCATATGGAACGTTTGGGAGATCGGCCAGGTTTTGGGCATTCATAAAAAGGACACGTTTTGGTGTTGACGTCTGACATGTGGACAAGTTTGGGGGGATGGACATGTTTCTGAGTGTTACATACATATTACTCCTTACTTGGGAGCACTCAATGTGCACTTTAAAAATACATGTTGTTTATATATTAAATTATGAAGGGAAAAAGCAATACAAAAATTATATGCAACCATGCATATATATGTTTTTTTTACCAATATATCTTCACTACATGTTTTCCCCTCAAGTATTTAAGTATGTAACAGGTTTGTTAAGATCATATTTTCAAGGTGTTGCTTCATGCAGACTTGTATGGATGATGATGTTGTATTGACAAAGTTGCATGGTGCAATGGGCTATTCCAGAAATAGTTGACAAAGTTGCAAGGTGCAATGGGCTATTCCAGAAATAGTTGACCCCCACCTAATGGAAGATGCTGTTTATTAGTACAAAAGTTTTTTATTCTCAAACCATATGGAAGATGCTGGATTTCCAGTTTTTTTTTCAGTCTTGAGACAAAAATTTGGTTAGACAAATAGGTGAAAATCCAGTAATTTTTCCAAAATCTGTAAAATAATTCCAAAATTTGGAATGGTATGGAAAGTTCCGACACGTGTTCTGTCGTTGGGTGCTCGTTTGTTTACAAATAATAATGTCACGTGATTATTCGATGATGTCAGATTCTATATTATTCTAGAACATCGTCCGCCACTTTTATGCATACAAAATTCCTCATCATAAGCCATTTATCTTGTATAAACTTAAACAAAAACCATGACATGCACAATAATATGTGCACGGTTACACATTAAATTCAAAGATATTGCAAATACAGATAATTCATGTCAGCAAGGACGTATATTAGTAATACGTACTTAATGTCAGTGACCCAAATCGTCAAGGTTCATATTTTTGTCCATTGTTTACATTTCTAAGAAATGGTATTGTTATTTACTGTCAGGAAGGTCGACGGAACCCAAATACAATACAAATAAATTATAAAAAATGCTCACCGAAATTACTGAAAACAAAAAGGTTATATTCTCAATCGAAGCCGAAGAAGATCATTAACATGTCATGGATTTTTTTTATGGCGCGATAGATCCTTACTCACTATCGCTTCACATAACAAAATTGTATAGAATTTCAGCGTTTATAAATATAAACATACATAAGAATGGCATACGTTTTATATACTATAAACCAACTAATTTTCGCGACTTTCGCGAGTAGAAAAATAGCGCGAATATGTAAAACTTCGGTCTTTTCTTATACCCCCGTCACACTAGGCCACGATCGCACTACTATCTCTGAAAAAAATGCAAATTTTGACGATCGTAGTGCGATCGTGTAGATCGCAGTAAGGTCGTGGTACGGTCGTGGTGAGGACTTCGTGATCGTGATGAGCGTGGACCAACTTTGAACATGTTCAAAACAATCGTGGTGCGGTCGTGGTGAAATCAGGTCGTAGTAGAAGCGTAGTAAGAGCGCAGTAAGGTCGTGGTAAGATCGCAAAGGTCGCTGCACCATCGTAGCGAGAGCGTAGCGAAAGCGCGATTCTAGTCGGAGAGACTGCGCTACGATCTCACAGCGACGTTAACTACGACCTCACTACGACCATCACGTTCTCACCGCGCGACCCAACCACGCTTCTACTACGACTATACCACGTTTATACCACGCTGTTCAAGACCATAGTACGATTCTAGCACGCTCATACCGTCCTCATCACGCTCCTCTTACGACCTGACTACGTTCATACTACGACCATTCCGAGTTCTAGTCATGCTCATTGTCATTGTCACATAAAATATATAAAAGCTCTCCAGGTTTTATTTGAAACATCAATTTCAATTGAACAATGGAAACACCAGATCATGTACATGTAGTAATGCTTCTACAATCATTAACACAGATACAAAATCTTAACGACCAGGCCATGATATTGTTATTGAAAGAGCGAAGAAGAAGAATAAGAAGAAATTTTAAATGGCGTAGGTCCGACATCTATACTGGATCAGGATTAGTATCAGAGGCCCCTATGCCTCTACCTCTACCCTTACCACCACGCCCACAAGTTCTGGTAGATTTTGGTGGCATGACTGTGTTGTTTCCGAGAAATCTACGTATGAATGAGAAATAGAAGGAATGGAACAGTATTTATATGGAACACGATGCTGACGTCATTGCTGAGAGCGTAGTAAGATCGCGGTATGAACGTGGTATGATCGTAGTATGATCATGGTAAGAGCGTGCTATAATCGCAGTAGAAGCGTGGTAAGATCGTGTTGCAATCGGATAAATCGTGGTATGGTCGTAGTGAGAACGTGATGAGCGTAGTAAGATCGTGATAATCGTAGTAAGGTCGCAGAATAAGCGTGGTGAGAACGTGGTATAATCGTAGCGGGATCGTTGTAGAAGCGTAATGAGGACGTAGTAGCATCGTGAAAACAACGAAAATTTACATTTTCATGCCAAAAATACCGCGACCTCACCACGATCTGAATTTATTTTAGATCGTGGTGAGCGTGGTGCGACCGTGGTCTAGTGTGACGGGGGCTTTATATGAATACATCAAGACAATTAGAAAACCGCGAAAATAAATCGCCGCGAAGTCGACTGAGAAGGGCTGAACGCGAAATAAAGTATCCGCGAAAATAAGTTGGTTTACAGTATATATCTTTTCAAGGTTTTCTTTGTCAAGATTAATATATTACCTCAACGGTGTACTTCACTTAGGAATTACATTTGAGCGGAGGAAACTTTTTTTGTGAATCTATGTGAATCTTTGACAGTAGTTCAACCAATAGGCAGAATTTTAAAATCTATTTTTGAAGCAGATTTTGCATATTTTCGCATACTAAAATGGAAATTATAGAAAAATAAAATACTTTTAGTAGATATAAAACAGGGAATAATGAACTCTTTTAGTAATAAAAGAAGGATTGGATCGGGGTTCTGTATTCGCATGATTTGTATATCTCTCTCTACTCTTGAATTTTTCGGTGGTATTTTTCCGACCCAAATGGTTCACCACAACATTTATTTTATTATATAGTATAGTAGAAATAAGGAGATGTGGTATGATTGCCAATTATAAAAATAAGGAGATGTGGTATGATTGCCAATTATAAAAATAAGATGTGGTATGATTGCCAATTATAAAAATAAGGAGATGTGGTATGATTGCCAATTATAAAAATAAGGAGATGTGGTATGATTGCCAATGAGACAACTATCCACGAAAATTTAAATGAAGTGGATGTAAGCAATTATAGGCAACCGTACCGCCTTCAAAAATGATAAAAAAACCATACCGTATAGTCGGCTGTAAAAGGCCCCGACATGTTTATATTGCAATACAATATATAACGATAAGGTCTTTTACAAATCCTTTCAAGACATCATAATTATTTGCATTTGTTCCGACCGTTGATTGATAGTGTTTTATGGACTGGAATGAGATCAAATATATATAGTTCTGATCAACAGTTTTACGGTTGATCAGTTGTAGTTGGTTGTTTGAAGTTCGAAGTATGCTGCATATTTAACTTTATCTATTTCAGGTCTGCAACCGATATAAAAATAAGGACATGTGGTATGATTGCCAATGAGATCACTTTCCACCAAAGTTCAAATGAAGTGGACGTAAGCAACTATAGGCAACCGTACGGCCTTCAAAAATGAGAAAAACCAATACCGTATAGTCGGCTGTAAAAGGTCCCGACACGAAAAGTATGAAACAATCCCATACCGTATAGTCGGCTGGGAAAGGCCCTGACACGAAAAGTATGAAACAATTCAATTGAGAAAAACTAACGGCCTAATTTTTAACAAAACAATGTACGAAAAACAAATATGACAGACATGAACCAACGACAACCACTGAACTACTCTACACTACTACAGGCTCCTGACTCGAGACTGTCTAAATGTGTACAAACCCGACGTCAAATGTTGATACTGTTCTATTTCAATGACTGTAGGAGAACAAATTAGATGACTGCAAATTACAATCCAGAAACAAATTAATTACAATGGTCAATGGTAGGTCAATGGAAGACTTTCCCGCGCAAATGTCATGTGTTAAACGGGATATACCATTTTTAGGTCTATGCTGTCGTTCATATTCGGATCAATTTACACAGTAAAATAAAATATAAATGTCAACTATATATAATGGTTTTGAATTTAGTAACTATGTCAGAAAAATAATTTATTTCTCGCAAACAACACTAAATAATATACATTAACTCGACTCTGAATCTAAAAAAACCCTAAAATATAATGGTATATGGAATCGTCTGAAACAGGTTCTCCTAACATCATTAAAGGTGAAATACGTAGATTCAGAATTTTTCACAAAGAAATAAGATCAGAGATAAAGCCCTATGTAAAGTGGAAACCAAAAAACACCTGAATTTAATCATCGGTTATTAAATTTGCTTGCATAAGAGCCTTGAAGTTGAAACTACGACCGATTATGTGTATCCTGTCAGCCCCTAAAACAAATAATACTGCCTACTTCCGCGCGCCATGAACTGAATTTTTAACATATTGTTATAGAGTATGTTAACAAGATGGAAAAAATACAATATATTTGCTTTTAGAACTAGATATCCAAGTCAGGAACATGTAACCTTTGTTATGCCCAACCTACGATTGTAGATGGGCATTATGTTTTTCGGTCCGTACGTCCGTTCGCTCGTCCGTCCGTCCGTTCGTCCGTCTGTCCCGCTTCAGGTTAAAGTTTTTGGTCAAAGTAGTTTTTGATGAAGTTGAAGTCCAATCAACTTGAAACTTAGTACACATGTTCCCTATGATATGATCTTTCTAATTTTAATGCCAAATTAGAGTTTTGACCCCAATTTCACGGTCCACTGTTTGTCTTGTGTGTGTTTTATTTTTTTTATTTTGGTTCATTTGTATGTTTCGGAGTTTGGTGTGGCGTCCATTTCGCTGAACTAGTATACATTATTGTTTAGGGGCCAGCTGAAACCCGCCTCCGGAACGGCTGTGAAATATTATTATTATTGCAATATTAACTTTTCCAGTAAAACACAGCACAAAGTTTGACATTCATCATAATAACATGTTTCATTTTCTTTGTAATCGCTAGCTAATTGCGATAAATAACTAAATAACATCAACATATAAAAATAAAGTATACTTTTTAATATAGCTTATTATTACTATGATATATGTCTACGAACCACCGATGTTATTTAAAACTAGACCAATATCAGGTCTGGACTTACGTCGTTGCATGCAATTGATTAATGTAATAATGGAGCATAACTGATCATTCTCTCGTTACAACTCGACATTATAATGCTGCAGACCAAATATTAAATCAATCCCTTTCATAGAAGCCAAGAAAACTCTGACGAAAGTGTTCTTTCTTTCGGACGAACGGATGGACGGAGTCGAACGGTTACAATACCTGCTTCCGCCTTCGGCGACACAGGTAAAAATTGTAATGTGTATTCGATCTACCGATGCGTGATAAAATGTGCAGTGTCTTGCAAAAAGTATGTGGTTTATCAAGCGAAATCAGTGTGTCATTAATAAAACAAGCCACTATCTAATAGCATATCCAAGAATATTTTGTTTGAAGTAATACAGATACAGATAAAAGAAATATCTAGATAAATGAGAAAATGAAATAAATAAATTAATAAATAGTTAGATAATATAAACGAATAAAAAATACAATAATAGAATAAATAAGTTAAATTGGTTAGATAAATGATATTAAAAACAAAAATTGAATAAATATAATAATCAAATACCTAGATAACTAGATAGAGCTGTTTAAAACTTTTCTACATATATAACCATTAGGATCTGTTCTAGGGTAGACTGTATTAGGGTAGCACTGCTTTTGTCAGAAACTGTTCTAAAGGTGTTAGGATAACTGTTCTACAGACAGTTTTAGAACAAATCTCCTCGGAGTTCCTGACAGATTTTAACAGAGGTTAAAACTGATCCCAACTGAATACATTTGTTTTACTTAATGAACAATTAAGACAACAAATCATAGTTCGATTTGGCAAGAGGTCGACCGGGATGCAGGGGCGAAATCGAAAGTTGGGCACTTGCTAAAGTGGCTAAGTAGGATAGGACAAAACTTGTGTCTTACAACAGGCTCACTATCGATACTTTAAAGAATGAATTAAGTGAATACCGTTGTAAGATTTAATAAAAATGAACAACAAAGAAACGCTTAACTTGTAAATACAGTACCTTCCTGTTTTTCAGGATCGGCTGACGAAGGGGTTTCACAGTTGCCTAAAAATATAATATAATGAATGGTTTAGTTTAAACATGTTTTATTTGCCTAAATATGCAACAGGATTAAGACAGAAGTTAATCAAACATATAAAGTTTTCTCCCAAAAAATTGTAAATGGTTAGTATATATTTAATCTATTTAAGAAATGCTGAATACAACTTTCAAGTGTACGTGTTAAATATACGTTTTTTTTCACTAAACAAAGAGTTGCAAGCACGTTCCATGCACTGTTGTTTAAACTTTTGTACTCCACTTCGCATTTTACTCAATATGATTGGAATACAGACCAGAGCGCTGTCATGTCATTGTCTGACTCAGCTAAGCGTTGTCACAGAAAATGTTTTTAATTAAAGTTGCCTTTTTCTTAGCGTTAATTGGATTTCAAATTTGAAACCCGAAACAACCGAACACAAGTTGAACACCATATACTTTTGTTAATAGAAACACAACGTTTAAAATATATATTCAAATGAACTTTTTATTTCTTTATCATTTTTGTTGTTCCCTAGAACACGTATTTCTATAGTGCGACTCATCAGCTAAACCCTAGTGTTCGGAGAGCTCAACCGCCCCAGAAGACATAAGGACCGGGAACAGCGGTAAACTAAATAAAAAGTGTGTCCGAAGTTAATTAATAAAACAATCAAACTAAACAGAAACATAGCTGCATTTTCTATTTTCTTTATATAGTATCGATTTCATAACAGTGTGGACGAGACCATTTTTTGGCGCGCTCAAGTCACCCATTGACTGGGTTAAATTATGTGAACGTTGAACTTCGTCTGTAACGCCCACTTATCACGTCGTATTTATTATAGACATTTAAACTGTGGGGTCACCAAAGGTTCTCAACGCCTAAATCAAATAATTCGAAAAACTAGTACAGGAATAACCTCTGTGTTTTGATTTATATTGAATACTTAACGTTCTTTACTTGCGTTTTTGTTATGTTTTGATAAACAATTTTTATGATATCGCACGTCCTTAAACATAAAAATTAATTTAACTAGCTTTAAAAGTTACAATGTATGTGTTGGCTATTATCTTTTTCGGACGTCAAAGCGATTAACCCATTGCGGTTGTCTAATTTTTTCACTTAGTATCTTTTAACTTTTATCTTGTGTAAAATTTATTTTAGAACGAATGCATGATCAACTTTCAATAGTTGTGCAATAACAAAACATAGACAACATATACTTTCGTACGGTCTTTTTCGTACTTGCAAGATATTGGACAGTAAAAAGCTATTTGGACCAAGCCTTATGAAATTTGCATTTTTCTTCACGAAATACTAGTAGGTAAAATGTATAGTTTGGTGTATTTTGGAAACTGGATCTTTTCTGTTAACTTCTATACTTGTGAAAAAAACCTTGGTAGAAGAATGATGATGCACCGACTATTCTTCCTTTTCTGAGTGCGTGTGTGTTGTTTGTTTTGTTGTGAGGGGGAGTTTTCATGCACACACATGAAAATTACTTTTTTAATCTTTGTGTCGTATTTATTTTCGTCCCTAACTTTGAATGTAAATCAATTATATGTTTTCCTCTTTTTTCAGAAACAAAGTATGTTTTTTCCTTTCCAATTTTTTTTTAAGAATCAATTCATTTTTTTTTAAACGGCCCAACTAACACACACACACAATAATTGACGGCAGTTTATATATCAACTTCGTCCTTTTTAAGATCGCAATGAAAATGTGCATATAACATATGTATCATGCATTAAATTAATTTTTAAAATGTGATAAATTAGCACGAAGCGGAAAAAAGCAACAGCTTTTAATATGGATTGAAATTGAAATAATTGGTATAATTTACACAACGTTACTTTTTCTAAGATAAACATTCAAAAATTATTATTATTTTTTTTTTTTATTTACAACATTTTTTTGAAAGACCACATTGTGACTTCGAGATTGAGTACAACCATGAAAGGATCACACACACGTGTACCAGTTTCCCCTTTACATAAAAGCATTACACAAACAGAAAAGTCTTTTAATTAATTAGATATACATATAGATATATACATAAATAGAGACAATTGAGTTGTGTAGTACTGGAATATCCAAGGCAAACTAATCATATGAGTTCTCTGTATGACTGAATGATTCAAACGATGATCCATGTGAAAAATATCCAGTTAAAAAAATGAGATTTTTTTTTCATCGTCCGGAACTCTTTTCACAAACAAGTCCTATGCATTGAATAAATGGTAGATTACTCTTAAATGATCACAACGTGGGAGCATTTTTTCCTTTAAGATATTTTGTGAATTAACCCCATCGACTTAAAATTTTACAATGAAAATCCAAATGTGAAAATGTATTTTTCGATTATTTAATGATATTAGCTCTGAACATTTATTATTCTCTAAAATGAAACTGTTGTGTGTGCTGATATAAAGAATATTTCAAACAAATTCCTTTAATGTTTTGTGAAAAGAGTTTCATTTTTTAAATCCCCACTGGAGGGCCTCTAACAGACTGAGTGAGCGTAAAGTCATTGCCGATGACAAACAAGTTAAAGGTAAATGATTCGGTATTATTAACAACAAAAGTACTACGGTTGTCCACACTGTTACGGGAATACCTCTATCTTCTATGACTCAAATCACTAAAGACATATTTTAGCATCATAGATATTTAGATACCAGAATTGCCGTCTGATCTGTAGATTTACCGATTGTGTTCTATTCCCGATTGCGAAAATTTTTTAACTGAGTATGCGTGCATATCATTCCCTGTCGACGCACCTATTCTCGATCCTTAATTTGGAGTTTATGCGATTCCCTCAGTTTTTTTTTTTTTTTACCTATATTTGTATCTTCTTAATCGATTTATGAGATTTGAATATCAAGCAGCTACTGTTTCATCTTATATTCATTTTGCCATTATTTACTTCTACATTTGAAAGAACTGAGTTATCTACCTTGTACCATAACTGTCATATCATGCTCATCAGTGCACTTAATTCCATGAAAGTATGAAACCAGAGAGGTGATGACATCTGTGGTCATATTATCTGATGACCGGGACCAAATTTCAAACTGCAACTTTCGACGGTCACATGTGCCATCATCTTTGACGTCAAAACAGAAAATCAGGGCTGCACTATTGTAGTCAGTGTACAAAATTTTAAATTTATCTGAAATGAAATATTGATATATTGTTTGTAGAAACAAAATTTGAAATACTATTTACAAAAAAGTTTCCTTTGATACCAAGCTAAATATATTAAAAAAGAACAAATTTGAAAAAAGAAAAAAAAAGAGAGAGAGATTTCTGATTTCATTGTTAATGCGCATGAGTGTTTCTGGGACATGTTTTTCTGTTGGTCTTTATGGATAGTTGTCTCATTGACAATTATTCCAAACCTCCTTAATATTGTTGACTGGATAACTGTCAATATCTGCTTTAAACCGAGCCAAACGGTTGAGAGTATAAAAAAATCGTCTAGATTTAACTTTACTCGAGAAAGAGTTTACCTTAGTTTAACGGTAGATTATAGAATTGTATATTCGTGGTTTATAGATGATTGGTTTGATTCCATTTAATAGTGTTGCTTGTTTTCTTAATCCGTCTCTGCATATTCCGTAATAGACAGATGCAGGCATCATAGAACTTCGGTTAAGTGTTCACACAAACATAAACAGGTCAGATAAAGTTGCATGCTTCAAGTTTCGAAGTATTTGTCACGTGGGAAACAAGTGGATCACAGTCTTAGTTACTTGCTCATTGTGTAATGACAGAAATGCAAATCTTAGTACTAAATGTATAAACGTGATCATAACAGATTGCAAGACATTTTAAAGACTAATTGTATCATGGAAAGCTGTTCTACCAAAGTCAATAATCCATTTTCAATGTTTAAAAGTAACTTACTAGTATCTTGCATATATGTTCCGGAATACTCCGCTGTACCAACTTTGGTCATAATGTTCAGATAAAGATTACAATTGTCGGATTCTTTCCTGTTAGGAAATATGAAATGGTTGAAATAAATGGTATATGCCCCGAAGCATTTTATCTTGAATACTCACTGATTTCATCATGAGAAAAATTACATTATATTTTATCACACTGAATCATATATAACATTTATCTACACACCTTCTAAAATAAATCAGAATCAAATCGACATAGATTACAAAGACTATTTATAAATGTCACTAAAATAAAGTGTTTCCCAGTATCCGGTTAATTGATCGATTACATGTAATCGTCTTTTGCTTATTCAAGACTTGAGAACAAATTTACAATAAATGTAAGATTAAGGCTATGTAAAATTGGTCGAAGCATGGGAAAGTTTGATTGCCACTAGACAAAATAGGCGGAAGATACAAAGGGGACATTCAAAACTCATAAGTCGAGAAAAACTAACAACGCCAAGGCAAAAAATGAAAGACGACGAAAAGACAAACAAGTTCACACAACACTACTTAGACTGACCAACTAAACACGAAAAGACAAAAACAAGTTTACACAACACTACATAGAATGACCAACTAAACACGAAAAGACAAAAACAAGTTTACACAACACTACATAGACTGACCAACTAAACACGAAAAGACAAAAACAAGTTCACACAACACTACATAGACTGACCAACTTAACACGAAAAGACAAAACCAAGTTCACACGACACTACATAGACTGACCAACTTAACACGAAAAGACAAACAAGTTCACACACCACTACAAAGACTGACCAACTTAACACAAAAAGACAAAAACAAGTTCACACAATACTACATAGACTGACCAACTTAACACGAAAAGACAAAAACAAGTTCACGCAATACTACATAGACTGACCAACTAAACACGAAAAGACAAACAAGTTCACATAATACTACATAGACTGACCAACTAAACACGAAAAGACAAAAACAAGTTCACACAATACTACATAGACTGACCAACTAAACACAAAAAGACAAACAAGTTCACACAATACTACATAGACTGACCAACTAAACACGAAAAGACAAACAAGTTCACACAATACTACATAGACTGACCAACTAAACACAAAAAGACAAAAACAAGTTCACACAATACTACATAGACTGACCAACTAAACACGAAAAGACAAACAAGTTCACACAACATTACATAGACTGACCAACTAAACACGAAAAGACAAACAAGTTCACACAATACTACATAGACTGACCAACTAAACACGAAAAGACAAACAAGTTCACACAACACTACATTGACTGACCAACTAAACACAAAAAGACAAAAACAAGTTCACACAATACTACATAGACTGACCAACTAAACACGAAAAGACAAACAAGTTCACACAACACTACATAGACTGACCAACTAAACACGAAAAGACAAACAAGTTCACACAATACTACATAGACTGACCAACTAAACACGAAAAGACAAACAAGTTCACACAACACTACATAGACTGACCAACTAAACACGAAAAGACAAACAAGTTCACACAACACTACATAGACTGACCAACTTAACACGAAAAGACAAACAAGTTCACACAACACTACATAGACTAACCAACTAAACACGAAAAGACAAAAACAAGTTCACGCAATACTAAATAGACTGAGCAACAACTTAACACAAAAAGACACCAACAAATTCACACAACACTACATAGACTGACCAACTAAATACGAAAAGACAAAAACAAGTTCACACAGTACTAAATAGACTGAGCAACTAAACACGAAAAGACACAAACAAGTTTACAAGGCACTACATTGCCTGAGCAACTAAGCCAAAGACTAGGGGTAATCTCGGGCACTCCGGAAGAGTAAGCAGAAAGTGAGGACAATCATGTTTAATAAAGAAACACAATTTGCTTTGCATTTGGACCACTGAAAGAGTTTATGCAAGATAATTTTTAAGCGCATGGACCATTAGCTTTTGTCCTCATTTCGACCTATGGCAATGATTAACTCTTTTTAACTTCAAACTTATTAGATGAAAATTAAAAAAATTACTTGAACAAATGTACAAGAGACAAAGGATTTCATTTTTATCTTTTTAATCAATTTTGAAGGAAAGAAATACAAAAGATTATATTTCATTATAAATATTTGAAATTAAAATTACTGTCTTTCCCATTTTACTGGAATCATGGATTTAAAAAATATATTGAGTTAACACAAATATCTGCATTATTATATATTTTTAATATGTTGAAACTAAAAAAACTGTCAAAATATGAGAATCTTTCTGATGCTTACTCAGTTTAATAAACCGTGATGAATTATTTTGAAAGTTATTTCATCCTTTCAATGGGTTCATGCATTACAATGTACCGTGAAAGTAATAAAAATTATCTTCAACCAAAACTGTATGGCCAGAAATATTTCTATACAAGAATGTTGGGATATGCATTGATGATAAAAAGATGATACATTAATGGGTCTGGATGGGGTAGGTGGTCCTTCAATTCTGTATTCTTAAATTGTTTAGGTCACTTTACTCTATTCTTTATATTTTTTGCTCATTATATTCTCTATATTCATTATGTTTTAGCCCTCCTTTTTTCTCTATACTTTATTTTTAGTTCCATTTTTTCTCTTTTCTGTATTTTTTTGGTCAATTTTTCTGTTGAATTTGCCCATTATTCTCTATTTTGTACACCATCCACACCCTCATAAATTTAAGGGATTACTTGTAATTATATGATTTGGGATGATGGATTTTTATACTTGTTTATTTTGAAGGAATAACAATTTATTATAGTCTATTTTCATATTACCGACTTTTAACTTAGAATATATAATTTTTCGACAGGTTACCTAATATGTCGTAGGACATTATGGTGATAGGTCAAGTAAGAGCAACTAAAAGTTATAAAATCAATCTTATAATCGATTTCAATTTGGGGGGACATTTATTGTTTTATGTTTTCTATACACCACAAAATCATCGGAAAACGAATTTTTCCAAAAAAGTGCACTGATTGTAAATCTTGATTTTATTTCTTTAGTTCCTCTTACTTGACTGCCGAAAAATTATATACTCCGAAGTCAAAAGTCGGTAATATGAAAATAGTCTACAAACAATAATGATCATTCATATTAAAGAGCGTATTTTTCTTGGTTAAAATTATTTATTTATATCAAAATCTAGCTCAATCAAACTTTTTTTTCTTTTCATTTTGAAATTTGACCGATCAACTTTGAGATTGTTTGAGTTCGTCCTTTAATCTTTTGTATAACATTAAAACATGACAGAACCTTCACTTTTTAGTTATTTCAAAATTCAGTTTTTCCTTATCGTAAGTATCAAAGGGGAACAAGAAGTTTTGTTTTAAAAAGAGTCAGATTTAATCTCATTATATCTTTCGTTCGTATTTCCGTTACTTTGTAAAACATTAAAACATGACAGAACCTTCACTTTTTGGTACTAACCGGTATCCAGAAACCACGCTTGTAATGGTTTCATCTTCCCTAATATAGATCATATGCGTCATGGAATCCCACGTGTCGTCCCCAAATGCGTAAGGTGTAACAGAGTGGGTATACCATGCTCCGCCAAACTGAAATAAAAAAAACATTCACGAATTATTAACATAACGGTTTATTATGAATCCAAAAGTCCACCGTAAACCAATGATATACCAAAATAGCCTCTTCATATCCATGTTGTATATGGTCTCCTATTTATGCATTTAAAAACAAAGGAAGATGGCGAATGGGAAACTGAAATTTATACCTGGAAAATTAATTGTCAATGGAACATTTTTGTTTATTTCTTTGAATACATATAGAAAGTATTGGAAAATAATATATCATTTAGACACCTATCTCTTGTTGGAGACCGTATGATGAGATCTTGACCACATGAATTTTGATTATTTGTCTGGTCGGGTAGCTGTCTTATTGACGTATACCAAACACCTCCTTTTAACCAGAGAAGTTCTAACCTTTGATGTTGATTATACCTACTACAATAAGCATTCAATCTTCTCTTATTTAATCGCGTATCGTTCTAAATATTAATGATATATTCGCCGCTGGACGTAAAACAATCAGCAATGCCTTCAAAACGTGTTATAGCAATAATGGGTGTTCTATCATGGAGGATATGCTTTCCTTTTTAAAAGCCCCTAATACTACTGTAAACTCAGTTTTCTTGCAGTTTCCTTTTGCAGTTAGATTAAAAGATTAACCCTATCAATACTTTAACGTGATATTACTTTATTTAGATATAAGAAGATGTGGTATGAGTACCAATGAGACAACTCTCCATCCAAGTCAAAATATATAAAAGTAAACCATTATAGGTCACAGTACAGTCTTCAACACGGAGCCTTGGCTCACACCGAACAGTAAGCTATAAAGGGCCCCAAACAATAACTAGTGTAAAACCATTCAAAAGGGAAAACCAACGGTCTAATCTATATAAAAAACGAGAAACGAGAAACACTTATGAACCACATCAACAAACGACAACTACTGAACATCAGATTCCTGACTTAGGACAGGTGCAAACAAATGCAGCGGGTTTAAACGTTTTAATGGTACCAAACCTTCACCCTTTTTCTGAAACAATAGTGTTACATCACAACATAGAAAGACACACTATAAAATATCAACTGAAATAGCTTAACTCAATCAAAGGACATATTAACACCATTGACAATACACTGAACAAATAAATTTGACCTATGACACAATGTAAATACAAAATAAATAAACTAAGGGAAGAATAATGAAAATAACATGTTATATCGGTAAGAAATGTTAAACAATTAAAGAAAAACAAAATGCTCGAACAAAAATACCATCCATTTGCAATAACTTTAAACACAGGTAAATGAAAATAATTTACATGTTTTTTCACACATTGAAATACATGATTATGAAGCATGACCACAATATATATAACCTTTCAAAAATAAAAATGGAAATTGGTTTAAGAAAAAAAGTACTAATAATTGTGTTACTGTGTGTAACAGTCTCTGTTTGTACAGAATACCAAAAAAAAAAGTACTAATAATTGTGTTACTGTGTGTAACAGTCTCTTTTTGTACAGAATACAAAAAAAAAGTACTAATAATTGTGTTACTGTGTGTGACAGTCTCTGTTTGTACAGAATACCAAAAAAAAAGTACTAATAATTGTGTTACTGTGTGTAACAGTCTCTTTTTGTACAGAATACAAAAAAAAGTACTTATAATTGTGTTACTGTGTGTAACAGTCTCTTTTTGTACAGAATACAAAAAAAAACACCCAGTGTGGAAACGCCTATTAAAATGACACATTGTCACTTTTAGGACCTAAAACACACCATTTACGGGAAAGGAAATGGAACGATAAAGTTACACTGACTAGAGATAGGCACGTGAACATTTGGCTAAAACAATTGCTCAATTGATAAGACTTAATCCTTATAAAGCATCAGTATACTATAAAGACAATTACAAAATTTTGTTGTTGGCAAAACTCATAATCCGTTTGAATAGCATTGTAAAAGAACAATCTTAATCACTGTGTATCATCGCCACCGGAAATTGGGTACTAACGAAGCGGAGAGAAATGGAAAAAAAGTAAACAAGGTAAGAATTCATTCAATTTAAAGCATTTCTACTGATTTGACGAGGATACCGCTTAAGAAATGATTTTCTGATATATAATTCTTTAAATTATTAGGCCGATAAGTACAAAATTAAGACAATATTTTGTGTTATACTCCAAAGCTTGCCACTTAGTACCTGAAAATTTCGAGGTCGATTGTCCTCTGTCGCCCCATTGGCAAGATATTCAACTGTTTTTCATTATTTTTCCAGACACGTTTTTAGATTATGATAGTGTGACATCATATTGACTGAAATCTGTTGTCATAAAGATGTTTTTAAAGAATATGGACCAAAACATTGTTTGTTTATTGTACGGCGAATTGCAGGACGTTGTACGGCGAATTGCAAAATAACAACTTTTTGTCTGTACAGCGTCTTGCAATATATTGTAATTTGAAGAAGATATTAATCACTGTTTAGATAATATCAAGGGACGAAATTTTGGCTGTATCAAAGCTTTACCGGCTTACAAATATACAAAATAAACTACTTATCAAATATTATAAAATATATGCCGTTAATTTCGTTCAGAATTAGTCGTTGCGTACCTCTATTTGACTTTGTGTTTTTAAAGACAAACAGGTTTTTTTCAACCATATTATCCTAAATACATTCATATATCGTTATAATACTAACGACTGTTGTCTTATTTGTTGTCAGGGTGAAATTTTGTAAGTTCAATAAAAAAAAACGACCATTCATCTTTTGTTGGTGCTGGTTTTTTTTTAAATATAAACAGTGGAGATGTTGTATGGTTGCAAATAAGATAACTATCCACCAGGGTCAAATAAAGTGTATGTAAGCAATTATATGCTATCGTTTGGCCTTAAACAACGAAAAATCGTACCTTACAGTCGGCTATAAAAAGCCCCGACATGAAAATTGTGGAAGGATTCAACAAGAAAACTAACGGCCTAACTCATAACAAAACAATTTACGAAAAATAACAAATATGATAGAGATGAACCAACGACATCCACCAAACTACAGGCTCGTGGCTTCGGACAGACACATAAAGAATGTGCTGGGTTAAATAGATATAGGAAGATGTGGTATGAGTGCCAATGAGACAACTCTCCATCCAAATCACAATTTATAAAAGTAAACCATTATAGGTCAAGGTACGGTCTTCAACATTGTTTATTGTTTTTTTTTTAAATTTCTGAAATGAATAATTTGTTAAAAGAAAAGTGAAGAAAATACTTTGTTTTCATTGAAAATTAGGAGAAATAAATCATGAATTGTGTTTCGAATTAATTTTCTTGTTTCTTATTGAAAATAAGATTGTATTTTTTTTTAGTTTAAGTAACTGATTCAATCAATCTATTTATTTTCAGGGGAAAAAATAATAAAAGACTGTTGCTAAGGCTGTTTGGTCTAAACTTAAATTAGTAGATGGAGGGGTAGTGAAAAGGAGTGTATTCGTCCGAATTTTCATTGTTACAGTAGTACATTTTCATGATTACTACATGTATTTATAATATTTCTCAGTAAACTTTAATGTGATATTGTGCCAATTAAAATTATATAATTAATACAAGTAAGACTTGCATTTGCCTTAAAAGATATAGCAGTACATGATTATTTGTTTTCAAACACACCTTCTCTGTTTTGAAACTTATAAAGGTATGGATCTCGGCCTATCTGTTTGGTTGAATATAAATGTGAATTCATAGAGTTTCAAAATCAACAGTAAGCCCTATTTTTGTGTGTGTGTAAATAATCTAATCTTTAGATAGATGCTAAAATTAAAATCATTTTTCTTAATAAGAAGAAAAAAGTGCAACTTAAGCACGCCTGAATGTAAAAAGGTGTACCCGACTTATTCGTTCACGATAAGAATTTACCGATTTCGGTATTTTAACAAAACTGTTTACGAGGGCAAATAAATAAATGAACGCTATCAAATCAACATTTAAATTTACGTGGATTTTTCCAAAAGAATTTATGAGTATGCACCATCAGGATTCAAAAATATTTCAACCTGTCCTTATTAGATGTTATTTCATTATAATTCTTTAAACTTACAAGTCGAAGATGCTAACTTTTGTGAATTGTATTAATAAGTATATAATATTAAGATGACAACCAAAAAAAAACTTCATACAAGGTCATCTTTATTCTCAAGTAGAAAGTTTATGCCGTAGCCACAGCCGGATTTGTATCCCTTGTATCGGATTCTTCTTTCATTCTTTCCAAAAATGATTAATCTAAGGTTAATATTTTTTTTATTTAAACAGTGTTAGCCACTGAGCTTGTTCATTTCTTACTATATAGAGATGAAGTTTTTTTTTTAAATTAATGTTCTTTATTCTTATATATTGGCTATATCTGCCTTTTACAAATAAGACAATAACATTAATTGAAAAAGAAGACGTGGAATGGTTTTCACTGAGAGGACTTTCAAACAAAGTCCAAATGAAATAGATTTGACCAACTATTGGTTACTATACACTTCACAATGAACAAAACCCATACCGTATCAAAATTGCCTGATTTATGACAAAATCATAAACAAATGTGTCAGGCAGCAACTTACGACAGCCGCTATTTTACATGTTCCTGACCAGGGACAGACACATATATATTGAGGCGGGCTTAAACATGTTTGTGAGCACTCAAACCTCCCTTAACATGGTGCCGTGGTGTAGCAATACAACATTTTTTTTGCAGAGAATGATAATTCATTTATATTTCATTTTATCTTAAAGTTGAAAGAGAATTCATTCACTTAATGGTTCTAAATATTCAATGAGGAACAATTCTCCTGCCATTACCTCCTTCCTTCCCTCCACCCGCAACCCATCCCCGAAATGTTCATCACTTATATGCAAATGCTGACTAATGTTGTATGGTTAAAACATTTGGTTGAGGCAATCTAAAGTTTGAGAACAGAAACGACAGCTTTAGCTTTTTTTCATTTATAAAAGGGCATAACTCAAGAACGGTAACAGTGACGCTACCCAATTTATAACTTGATCTGTGTTTTGTGGTGATACGCAATTCGTGTAAGTTTTAAAACATTTGGTTAAGGCATACTAAAGTTAGAGAACGGAAACCAATTATTGGGACTTTCTGGACGGACGGGAGAGACGGGTCGGACGGACATGGGTAACATTTAACGCTACGTCAGGGCAGAACAAAAGGTTAGTAAAACAGTGCCATTCCTTTTCGAAAGTTACAACATTTGCCAGCTTTTGTATATGCATGCCGTATTCATATTGTATACATCAGGTATGTAAAAGATGTAATAGGACTGTGTTCAAGCCTTATATTGTGTATACATCTTAAATGGTGTCAAGCGAATTGTATTTTTATCAAATGCATAATTAGATATTTGAACCTAGTACTTTATTTTCTTTAAAAAGACGGCAAATAAATATTTTGAAATTAGCAAGTTGCCATACAGTTGAAAACAAGTTACCATACAGTAAATTTGTCAACATGAGCAAGTTGCCGTACCCTAGACTTTATTTTTTATGGTCTATATTCTTTAAAAACGTTCATTTTGACAACAATTTTCAGTAAATATGATGCCACACGATAATAATCTAAAAAGGTGTCTGAAAAAATAATGAAAAACAATTGAATATCTTGCCAATGGGGCGACAGAGGACGATCGACCTCGAAATTTTCAGGTACTAAGTGGCAAGTTCTTGAGTATAACACAAAATCTTGTCTTAATTTTGTACTTATCGGCCTAATAATTTAAAGAATTATATATCAGAAAATCATTTCTTAAGCGGTACCCTCGTCAAATCAGTAGAAATGCTTTAAATTGAATGAATTCTTACCTTGTTTACTTTTTTTTCCATTTCTCTCCGCTTCGTTAGTACCCAATTTCCGGTGGCGATGATACGCAGTGTTAATATGTATATGAAAAATGTTGTTCTATTAGACACACATTGCGTACTATTATCTTGTCGTTTCTATCATAAACTTCATATTTGTGAATCCGAAAACCATTTGAAAATTAAAAAAAACATTTTCACTAAAAAGGCATACCCAAATTTTGTTTGAATCGTTATGACCCCTGATTCATGTTTTGTAGTTTATTGATATCTTAACACATGTAACAGATATAAAAGAACACAGTAAATCGAAAGTTTTTAGCAGACCATTAGAATGAATAGACAGCGCAGGTACATGTTGCAGTACATACGCTTTCTCTCATCACATAAGCACCGAACTATAACTTTCCTTGTTCCAAATAATTATTTTATAACAAAATCTATATTGATTAAACAATTTTCCGTTTTGAAACAATTACCTGTTTTATGTCAAAATTCATCTGTGCAATTACTTTATCCAAATTTGTAACGCATTGGTCGACTTCAACTGCAGCACATGAGCAATATCCAAAAAGAACAATAAAGCTTAGTGCATAACTACTCATCCTGATAGAGTTATAATAACTAACATGAATTATAACAGAATTATAAAAACTAAATGTAACGTGGTTAGAATCCGTTAATTATCAGGACAAGAGGTGTTGAATTACTTCTAGACAGGACGTGATTATAAAATATTTCTAAATAGTTCACCGACTCAAGTGCCAAAGTTATTTAGGCATATTCATTGAAGTGGTGAAATGTGACCAATTTGTCAATACTAAATTATACATCAATGAATGGAAAAAAAGTTTGAAATGAATAAGTATAATGACTTGTGCAGTCGAAACCTATTACAAACTTTAGTTTTGCCAAATTTGGACTATTTTGCAATTTATGTTTAGAGCAGTCAAGTAAGTTGTCCATGTTTGCCTGTTTATGAGCGCTCTATGTCCAGTCCATCAGATATGTGGACACTTCAGGTTTGATACAAACCTTTTTATTTGTTTTTTTTTGTGGCGAAATGGAATTGGCGCGGGAACTTTTATTTCTTTGATGGTGTTTAGTATAATGTTATCAATCCTGGGTTCAAGCCTAGTTTAGTAGTATCAAAAATGAAAATCTGTCTATCTTGTACTATCAACCATTCAGTTAGTGTTAGTTTGATTTTGACAGTTTTTATGGACTTCCCCTTTTTGAATTTACCTTGGAGCTCGGTATTTTTGTTTATACTTTTTTCTCATAAGTGTTATCGACATGATACTACTATAGTTAAATTGAACTTATAAAAACATACAAATTTATTATTATGAATACTTTAAAAAATACATAGCCATGACAGAATCTTTGCAAGTAACTTTACACACACGATCCCGTATTGAAGATAACCAGTAAACCAAGGAAATAATCAAAATTCCACAAAACAAAAAACAAGCAAGATTCTACAAGTTGATAGTCCAAGAGCAAACAGATGTTTTAATTACTTGACATTTAGCAAAATGACACATGGCGCCAATATTGGAATAGAACTGCTAGCTTACCTTTTTGGAGTTCCTGTGTTCTCGCTCAACATTTTGTGGGAATACAATTGTTGTTCTCTTCAGTAAAAGTAAAAATTTATTTTTGGTATTCGGTTTGACTGTTCACCTTGTTTAAAATGAAGGACTGCTACTTTAAACATTATGTTGATTAACGTTACGATTAATAAGTTGTTCAACTTATTGAATGAATAAGTTCGACTTTGCTCATCAAAATGAATTGTCAAAGTGGATACAAATATGTTATTTTAGGAAAGGACAGATCATATATACTTTGTTACGCTGATTCAAACAAAAAGTCTCTGAAACTGAGATCATCAAGATGCTTGATTGTTTTTTACAACATACTTATTAGTTGTGAAAGACGTGTTTTCGAAACAGACAGTCGACTTCCCTATGAGATCCAACTGCGCTTTTCTTCTTGTCAATGTATTCCTTTATTCGTAAGAGGCAGAAAGGAGAACAAAAAAAAACTTGTTTTCCCTATAACTTCACGTTCCGATTTATTAATGGTATACTCTCAATAATGATTCAATGCAACTGCAAATTGAGTATAAACACTTCTCTCCCAGTTGATACGATATTCCAGAACTTGCGTTTTTCATCATCACTTCCTTGATAGAGAGTTGCTTCTGACAACGAACAATTGAACCAAGGGTTTCAAGTGGTAGGGTTGAAGATATCTCATCGAAAGATTCACGCACGTCATTACGAGTTGGATGATAATGTGTCACAGATGACCATGCATATGTTCTAATTGTTTTAACCACAACCCCTTTCCCTTTTCCACGATTGTGAAATCTCCGAATGAGACTTATCACTGTATTTGTTCTAACCATATGCAGGACGACGGGTGCCACATGTGGAGCGGTATCTACTTACCTGATATCACCCGTAGTTTGTTTTAAAAGGGTTCGTGTTGCTGTTCTTGATTTATTGTTCTATGTCGTATTTTGTGCTTTAAAATTTTTTAATGTCTGTGTTTTTTCTACCGTTAACAGTCTTGTTTATTCTTTGCAATCTTGTCACTTATTCTTAATTCTTTTATTATATCAGTAACCATGGTAACGGCGTTTTGCATTTGCGCCGATCTGCATTTCACTTGCGCCGATTTTTTCTTTCATTTGAGCCGATTGTGTATAGGTGAATTGTCAATTATATCATGTATATAACTATTGTCTCTTGCTAACCACGGGGAGGGGGGAGTAGAATTTTGAGCAGGATTAGTCAATTTAAAAGATAAAAGCACTCTGTTTACATCCACTAAAATCACGGAATACAAATCTATTCACAGCATTCAAAAGCACAACATTAAAATCCATAAAAACGGAATACAATGAATTATAAATCTGTTCTTGCCGAGTATTTATATGCTACACAACTAAAGAATTCCTTCCTTGTAATTTCATCTCTTCTAAACTTGTTGAACTTGCCAACAACGAAGTCCATCTTTTCTTTCTCCGGCTTGCATACAGACCAGGCATTTCATGAGTTCTCATTTTGACTTAAGTAACGGCCTGGATTTTCTTGATGACATCCATAAAGACATATATATGTTAGGGTGGTGCGAATAGAACTGTTCATTATAATGCGAATGAAACGATTCTGAACCGTTTTCGTCCTCTTACAGTTTTCAACGGGTGAAGCAGCCCAGAAATAGGAGCATAGAATCGGCGCTAATGAAAGAATCAAATCGGCGCAAATGAAAGATCGAAAATTTTAAAAATTGGCGCAAATGTCATACGCCCATCAGTAAATGCATTGACATTAAATGTTGATCACGACACGACCTATTCTTAAAGGGAGAGAGCTGAGTTAACTCTCAGTTGATTTTCATTACCGAAAATGTCAAATCAACTGGATACGAGAAGTTACTCTTCATATTCATCTCATAACAAAAACATTGGACTGTGGCACAGGAATGCACAACATGAAAAATGTTCATGTTTTCACAAAACTTCCCCTGAACACGTCAGCTATGTTTCTGAAAGTTATCGTGTGTGTATTTAATGTCTCTGGTGAATGCATGCCGACTCGAAAGCTAAATTTTAACGACAAAGCTTTACTCAGTGATAAGTATTAATAAGCTTGCATACGGAGGCGGGCATTTCAAGAGTTCTCATTTTGACAAAAGTAACGGCCTGGATTTTCTTGATGACATTCATAAAGACATATATGTTAGGGTGGTGCGAATATAACTGTTCATTATAATGCGAATGAAACGATTCTGGACCGTTTTCGTACTCTTACAGTTTTCAACGGGTGAAGCAGCCCAGAAATAGGAGCAAATATAGAATAGGCGCTAATGAGAGAATCAAATCGGCGCAAATGAAAGATCGAAAATTTAAAAAATTGACGCAAACGTCATACGCCTATCAGTAAATGTATTGTCATAAAATGTAGATCACGACATGACCTGTTTTTAAAGGGAGAGAGCTGAGTTTACGCTCAGTTGATTTTCATTACCGAAAATGTCAAATCCACTGGATACGAGAAGTTACTGTTCATATTCATCTCATACCAAAAACCATTGGACTGTGGCACAGGAATACACAACATGAAAAATGTTCATGTTTTCACAAAACTTCCCCTGAACATGTCAGCTATGTTTCTGAAAGTTATCGTGTGTGTATTTAATGTCTCTGGTGAATGCATGCCTACTCGAAAGCTGAATTTTAACGACAAAGCTTAACTCAGTGATAAGTATTAATAAGCTAATATTGTCTTTTAACATCACTTGTTCAGATTTACAATTAACCATTACCACAATTCTATGTTCGAACTCAAAGACATTCATAAATCAACTAGTGCTGAGATAGCATGATAATCCTGAAGTTTCCGTCATCGGTAACAAACAATTCTAACATATAATGATTCCCCTTTTGAAAGCAATAACTGTGAAGGCTATTCTTTGTCTGAAAAAACGTGTTTCAATTTCAATACTTCTTTGTCTTTTCGCCATTTTTTTTGGTTCTTTGCCATGACGTCATCAGTTTAGCTTCGACTTATTAGTTTAGAATATCCCCTTGGTATTTTCCGCCTATTTTTGAATCTATATTCCGGGCTTGGGGTTTCTGAAATATTTCCTTGGTACAGAGTGGCTGCTTAAACAAATCTACTGAACAATGGTTCTAAATTATTTAGTTGAATTAATCCTCTTTGAAGTTTTAACGGAAGCCATCAAGATTTTTTTTGCGTTGTTGAAACTTTTTGTCAAAGATAACCACGGATACGGTCTGTTTGTCATAGCAACAACTTCCGGTTTTTATCGATTGTTTCATCACACACCTATCACCGGATTTGTTCTCGCCATGAACAGCACGAGGAGGTTGCCACTAGTATATCAGAATATAAAGTTTATCCTTTTGGAGCACCTGAGTTCATTCCTGGATTTTGGTGGTGTTATTGTTGCTCAATTTTTAGATTTCTGTGCATTTTTTGTTTTTGCTTTTTGGACTGTTTTAGTCTATATGTCGATTTTTGTATGGGATTTTTTTTTTGTTGCTCCCTTGGTATCTCCTTATCCATTTTTATCATGGAATCCTATACTTCAAATAAATGCTAGTTAAACACATTGTTGAAACACTTTCCCTAGAGAAATACAACAAATTGTGTGAGTCAACTGATCCGTGTCTTTATAGTTCAAATCCATTGTCAAGAAATCAAAAGTTGTTTGCATAACAAGAAGGTAGCCTTCTAATTTCCTAGTCTTTATCCTTCTTGTCTTCTCGGTACATTTGATGCAGTAATTATATAATCTTTTTTGAATAGCTAAAATTAAGAACCAATTACTGAATAATAACCTCTTCAAATTGTGTCCATGTTCATGCTTTTTTCATAACAAACGTTTAATGTGGTTTTAGTTTAGTAGTTTGATGTGATAGCTTATTTGAATTTGTCACTCTAAAACTTGTCTATGAATTGCAGACTCTGACAAAAGTTTGCATGAAAATAAAGTTGAATTAGGCATAAAAGAGCAAGGTCTTCTGAGGCAAGATTGTGTCGTGCACGCATGCTTTTTGCTGTATATTTTTCTAAATTAGCCAAATAAAATTGGCTGGTTCTCTCCCTTGCAACATACGGGTATCTTAGAGCAAAACAGACAAGGACTGGCGCCTAGTATACAAAATAAACTAGATATAAAAACCAAAGATCATACCACGAAGAAAAGGGGTCCAAATTTGCACATCAGAAATTGAACAGAAGCACGATAAAAGTCAAAATAAGATATTTACATTGACATCTTAATACTGAGTTACACAAACCTCAATAGAGACCGATGGGAACTATCTATCTATATGTCAAAACATCAATATTTCAGTAAAAACATCAATAGAACCCAATAGTACGGAACTATTATGATTTGCAATCAAAATGGATCCAAGATCATATATATGTTCAATGATGAACTTTGACGAGTCTCTGCTAAACCTGAAGCATTTGTTCAACATCTACATATAAGTAAATATTTCATAGCCGTCATTCAATAATATAAAAGACACAACCTTTGAATATGCAAAACGAAATAAGATCTAAGGACCAAAACAATTCTTTCCAAACCAAAAAACAACATCAGCTGCGACCCATCTTTTTAACAGAGGCATCGCATTAATTTTGTTCTGTAACACTGCTGTCCCAGGTAATAGAGATGAATGAACGGTAACAAACATGTTTAACCCCGCCACATTTTTTTATGTTCCTGTCAAATACCATAAGTATGCAATTCAGTTGTTGACGTTATTTGCTGTCTACTGTGTCTGTCATGTCTGATTTTCGTTTATTGCATACATCTAGCCGTTAGTTTTCTCTTTAAAGTGTTTCACATTTTGTAAAGCCGGGCTTTTATAACTAGCTGTACGGCATGGATTTTTGCTCATTGTTGAATGCCGTAGTTGTCTTTTAGTATACCTTATTCAGTGTCGTTTGCACTGTATCATAGTAAATACGTTTATTTATCATATGTCTAGGAAGTTTTCTATATCTAATATGCCCTCAGCTAATAAGTAAACTAGTTTAATATATATTTGTATGCGATTTTTAATTACATAAAATGCGTTCATAATCATGTAAGATATATAATATTGAAGAAAACATTGTTTGATTCTTTTTTTCATAACACGAAAAAAAAACATAATAAAACAGTATCAATGCATTTATATTACAATGGATATCTTACAAAGCAAGTTTTTTTTTCGTAGAATTTTTTTCATTCAGATTGTAATTCTTTCAAATTAATTATCAAAGATACTAAATATTTTATATATCGTCAGCAGTCTTCACATTGTAGAGAACGAACATTATACGTTTATCTAGACAAATAAAGCCTTTTTACTATCGTCATAAAGCTGATGAACAGTCCACTGAAGAAAAAAACATGTATCAATATATAGCACTGAGTGCAAAGTTTAAACATGGTCAATATAATCATTGCACACACCTTATCTGCGTTATTGAAATTAGCTTTATGAATAATAAAATACAAATAATTCATTCAATCCTAAACAAATGTACCCAATATATATATGTGTTGACTGTCACATGACCTACACTATTTTACAATTTTCCATTAAGCATTATCATGATTATTATAGTCACTATGGTTCCCCAATAAACTCGAAGTATATAATAGTGAAACAAAAAATACTTAAATCTGATTCAAACAAAAAAATTCTCTTAAACTGACATTATCAAGATGCTCGATTTCTTGATTAACTTCATATTTGTTACGTTTGGAGGACTTGTTTTTCAACAAACAATCGGCATTCCCATGGGAACCAACTGTATCCTTTAACTTCATTTCCTACTACATAGATGATGTTCTCTCAATAAATAATTCAAAATTTGGCGACTATGTTGAACGCATCTATCCCATTGAACTTAAGATAAAGGATACAACTGATACAGTTAAGTCTACTTCATATTTTGACTTACATCTAGAAATTGATAATGAGGGTCGGTTGAAAACAAAACTTTACGACAAAAGTGAGGATTTCAGCTTCCCAATTGTGAAGTTTCCATTTCTATGTAGCAACATTCCAGCATCGCCTGCAGACGGAAAATATAGCTCCCCACTGATAAGAAATTCCAGGGCTTGTTTTTCTATCATGATTTCCTGGATATAGGGTTGCTGCTGACAAGGAAGCTATTAAACCAAGAGTTCCAATGGATGACCTTCGTAAATTTTACAGACGCCATCACTATTTATTGACCGTTTATGGCGTATCTGTTTCACAGATGACGACGGATATGTTCCAATTTTCGTAGCTACAATGCCGTCCCCTTTTCTCCGAATGTGAGCAAGATCTGCTTGACCTTCCGGAGCACCTGAGATCACCTAAAGTGTTTGGTGGGGTTCGTGTTGCTCAATCTTTAGTTTTCTATGTTGTGTTTTGTGTACTGTTGTTTGTCTGGTTGTCTTTTTTAGTCATGGCGTTGTCAGTTTATTTTCGACTTATGAGTTTGAATGTCCCCATGGTATCTTTCACCTCTTTTTTACCTTAATATGTACCAACCGTATTGTTTAACAGCACGCGACAGATATTAAACACAATAACATTGTTTTGCCTTACATATAACTCTATTATTTAAAAGATGAGAGAGAGAGAGAAAATATAAGTAATTTTTCATTAGGAATTGACTGCTTCTTTTTGTTATTTTACTTGGTGTAAAAACGTTGACCTAAGTACATTTTGTATGAAGCGAGGAAGCTTTTACATCCCTATACAATTACAAAAATAAACATTCAGTTCTTATTTATACATTTTTGGGCTATAATCATGAAATAACGAGGTTATATTAAATCAACCCTTTCGTTTGTTTTTCTTTGCATTGTTTCACTTTGTCACGGAAAGTACGTGCAGTCATAGATTTTAGATTTTATCAAGAAATATAATATAGCTTTTAAAATACTTTGTCTATCAAAATAACGGCATCATATGAAACGGTTTGTATTGTGATTTTTCTTATCTAAACGATGTTGCATTCTCTTAGGTTAGTTGTCTTATTTACTTTCCATGGAATCTGCAATGTTTTGCTGTTTCTTTTAATACAGTTGACAACAAGGGACGTTGTTTGTTTAAATATCTCAACAATAATCGAAAACTAATAAAAGGGTCTCTTCTTATTCACATCGTTTTGCTTATGCTAAAGTAATTTTTCATATAAAATAAATAGTCCCTAAAAATTCGTTGTACCAAAGGACAGTTTTTCTATGTTATGTGATATACTGACCTTCGTGTTTTACTTCAATAACGTCATTTCTGTTTACACAAGCTTGGTCCACAAATCTTAAAAAACCAATCTTTGTCTCTGGTGTAATAGATTGAGTTCTTGATAATATAGACAAACGTTTTCCTTTTCCACCACATTGTCCATTCGCCTGAATGTCTATACATATGTATGTTACCATGGTATTCTCATAGTCAGTAAACAGTATTTTAAATGGATCTAAAATGTAATTATTTGATATGATTGGGGACCGTTTATCTCCATTATTTCTTTTACTGAACAAAATACCTTTATTCTAGTTGCTCTTTACACTCTTTTACTATCTCGTCGCGATATAGCCTGTTTGAGCTGACGCTACGTTAAACAATCACCAATCAATCAATCAATCAATCACTTTATTACAGTGTAAGTCATTTTCTGCTAGGGTTCTTGAAGTATTATCATACTCCATTGATCCTTATTAGTTTTCGTATTTTCATACTCTATTGTTGCATATTAATTATGCATATAAGTGCGATGACGCTATAGATCTATTTTTGGTCTAAAATTTTATTTTAACAAAATTATATAAAAAAAAAAAAACAATTTTTGAACATGCGTGGGTCCAAAGAGTGTTTTTACAGACAAATATTTGGGAATACGGAAAGAAAGCGATTAATTCTGTCTTGAATAATCCGAGTCCACCGATAAGTTTTATCAATGTCTTAAGAACATACGATAGAGAAATTGATTTTTCTTTGCAATTTTGACAAAAATGTGGATTCTATTACGCACTTTCGAAATATCCAAAGGATAATGTACCTTCATAATTTAATTTTCGAGAAATTTCAGTTTTAGTTTTGCATGTTTCAGGTAGAAACACAAAATCTCACATTTAAATATTTTTCCTAAATATAACACAAGTTTCTACTGAGGAAAGATATTTACTACCGGTATTTGCGAAAATTTTTTTGTTTCTGTTTTTTCGGATCCGGTATTTATAATAAGTAAGTGTCCAAAATAAAGGATGAATAAGACCAAAAACATATGCGATCATGCAATTATTGATAATAGAAAGACGTTCATCATTTTTCTTGACTTGACAAATGCACGGAAAAGATTGAAGATGGGTTCCATAACTTGTTAGGTAATGTTCATTGTTGAAGTTCCTTCTGTGATATGATGATATTTAGTTGTGCAGTATAAAAATAGTATGTGGTACGATTGCTACCGAAAAAAGTAAAAAAAACAAAAATACCGAACTCCAAGGAAAATTTAAATCGGAGAGTCCCTTATCAAATGGCAAAATCAAAAGCTCAAACACATCAAACGAATGGAAAACAACAGTCATATTCCTGACCTGGTACAGGCATTTCCTTATGTAGAAAATGGTGGATTTTATAGCTAGTAAAATCTCTCACTTGTATGACAGTCATACAGAATTCCATTATATTGACAACAATATGTGCTCAGAACAAACAGACATAATAGGTAACAAGAATGTGTCCATAATACACGAATGCCCCACTCGCACTATAATTTTCAATGTTCAGTGGACCGTGAAATTGGGGCCAAAAACTCTAATTTGGCATTAAAATTAGAAAGATCATATCATAGGGAACATGTGTACTAAGTTTCAAGTTGATTGGACTTCAACTTCATCAAAAACTACATTGACCAAAAACTTTAACCTGAAGCGGGACAGACGGACGAACGGACAAACGAACGGACGGATGGATGGACGCACAAACCGAAAAACATAATGCCCCTAGGTCTGGGCATAAAAATGTTAAAAACAGCAGTCAACTTTGTGTTATAATCTTAATCACTATATAGATAACTATTTCAACAACAAAAAAAAACAAAATGGCATATCGACGCTCTAAATGGCGGGATGTATAAATACCTAGCCACACCTAAAGTATATATCAAAAATGGACTTAACAGTAAAGGTTTGAAATATACGAATACAAATAAAAAGAACAATATAACACGTATTTAAGATGATAAACAACGTCAGTACCTAGAATCTATACTTCAAGACCAGCATGTATTATTTGTGAAGTTGATACGGAATATCTATCAACAAGATCTTGGTATCTTCCGATGAACTTTTTAAGAAAAAGGACGAGACGTTCTTTGACATAACCCTAGTTCATCAACTTTCTGATCAGACATTGGTGACGTTTTATAAAGTCCGAGTAGCAGTTGCAAGCTCTTGAATACCGAATGAGTTGGGGAAATGTATATCCCATATGCAGGTGAAGTTGGTATATTGGTGCTAAGGTAGGAGAAATTTATAATTTCAAAATTAAAATCGTCTCGTTTGTCACAGATTCTGGTACTGAGATGACCACTTATGTCAAATTCGAGGTATAAGTCTAAAAATGAGGCGGAGGAAGCCGTGTCTGTTGTTTTTTTATAATTTCTAGTTCACGAGGATATATTAATGGAAACCAATCAGAAAAGTTTGGATTGTTAATGGAAACTGAGCCAACTATCGATTTAAGAACAAAGAACATAGGTGTTAACAAATACATGTACAGTTCACCGAACGGCCTTCCACAGTGAGAAAAACACATGTGGTATGGTAAGTTAAAAAAATCCTTGGATAGCATATCAAAAGAAAAAACCAACTGTCTGATGTATTCCACAATAATCAATGAAAGAAAACAATTTTACCAGACAGCTACCACTAAATCATACACTCTTGGGAATGTGCCGGAATTGAAGATGTTTGTGAGCGCTTAACCCTCCTTTAAACTGGGACAGTTCTGCATCATCACATCATTAGAACAAACTGTAAAGACAGTTTGAAAAGCTTGAATCAGCAAATTGGTTCTAAGCACAAAAAGAAATCGCAAGAAGTCTTATAGCACTCGTAGTTATTTAAAGTCAGTTCCAAGCTCGTTTAAATAAACCATGTTCTCTCAGACATAAATATAATTCAGTACACTTCAAAAGTATTTAGTGTTAAAACGTCATTACTATGATTAGAAGAGCAATGTCAAAACATAAGTATCGGAATGATGTTAGACCATACGTGTAAATAAATGGACAGACACACATGTTTTATTATGTATTTGACTATTGAAACTTGTAAGATAATTCGAAGGACCAATATGGTTATATGAGTGTATACATGTACTAGTAATTTAACTCGTCAAAGGATTTTTTTTTTCTACTGTTATACATTCTTATAACAAATTCCGTTGTAATAATGATATCTTATATTATAAAGGCTTTTTATGTACAGTTGATAATTTGGAATAAGGCTTAAGAATACAATCATATTTGAATTTCGACGGAAATAATATTTTCCCTTTTAATAACTTTTTATTCCATTGTTAGGAATAAACATAAAAAAGAAGTAAGCATAGCGAAGATTATGCATACTATCAAAGAACTAAAATATTCGGCAAGTATATTATCAGTAAGAAACATACTCATAAACTGATAGAACAACTTATTGATTCTTATTGTTTTACCTTATAAATTAAATAAAGTATTTATGCGTAGATCTGACATATACGAACTTTAAATTCAGAAACTTTTGCATGCATTTATAATTGCGAATGTTGAATAATTTTGAGAAACCTATCGCGTTGCAATTCTCGCAATTATAATAAAAACATCACAACCATTTCTAAATTTACAGTACTAAAACTTACGGAATCCTGGTTTACTATACTTAGAAAGTGTTGTGGATAAGAAATCACCAGGATTGTTTCGTCTTTTCATGTTAGAATAATATGGTGGTTGCACGCATGTTTCGTCTGACCTATTATAAATAATCGCTAGCAGTTAAGGGTCGAAATTAATACTTTATATATATCATTATCGGAAAGCTAAACTACTTCCTTGAATAAAAGACAAGTACAATAAGCATATTACAAAGAATTCTTGATTCACAGCCTTATATTTTGTTTTTTCTCATAACCACTTTTTCAAATAACATTATTTACTAACTAACTATTATATTACTAGTATTTCCCCGAATTGGACCTACCTTTAATACTAATTACCTGGTTTTACTTATATGAGCAACACGACGGGTGCCAAATATGGTGTAGAATTTGCCTACCCTTCCGGATCAACCCCGGTTTCTTGTGGGGTTCGTGTTATTCAGTCTTAAGTTTTCTGTGTTGTGTTTTGCATACTGTTGATTGTCATTTAGTCTTTTTCTCTCTTTTTTTGCCATGACGTTGTCAGTTTTTTTTCGATTTTTGAGTTTGAATGTCCCTTTGGTACAAATGTATCTGTCGCCTCTCTTTTACTATCAGACTTACAATTGTTACAAAAATAATCAAGAAATTACAGACATAATACCCGATGATCTCTTTATTTGGGATAAGAACATATGCTTGTGATAGGATTACGCTAGTTTTCTGAGTTCATATTCCCGTTTGTGTTATCATTACATATTTACATTGTCTATTTAGGATGTTATTTTGTGAAGAAATATAACTTAACTTGAATACAAACTTACTGCAGTGTAGTAAACTTAAGTTGGATATGTCCATCTTCATCTAAGTTGAACTTTAATGCAGATGAGTCACTTGTATTCAGCTTGTTCGTATTCATAATAATATACCATATACCTAAAATCTAAAGAAGCAATTTACTTCATTAAATCAGTACACATTCAATTTAAAAACTCTTTGCTACTCAGAATAAACTCCATAATAAACAATAGTGTAATATATCTATTAAATGTAGCATGTTTTCAATCACGCTTCAAACTTCTGTTAAAATTACAATGACACACCCTAAAGGGGGAGAGGGTGGGGGGTGCTCGAATTATATAGCTGCTTAAACTATGAAATGTTAAGTTCTTAACACATTCAATTTTTGTCAAGAGATTTTCCAATGAGATTAGTTTATTCATTAAAGTAGACTTTCTCACATGTATTTATGGAACATACGATGGCATGGAGCTTCCAATAATCAAGGTTTTGTCGATTTTAAACTATCGTTATTATAAGACTGCTTAACGATAGTGTAAAATTTAAGTTTATTCTAAATCCTAGACAAAATTTGAATAAAATGAATAGCTGTATGACTACCTTTCGGATATCAAGATTTTCCACTGCCTGGATGTCATCAATTCGACAACTTTGTTCCTTTTCACAATGATCTAAAACAAGAAATTGCAAGTAAAATTATCAAATTTAATATGCACATATTCATAATATGACTGAATGTATTAAGATGCGTTTTTTTTACTTTTGTTAACTACTCACAAGACAAACTTTAAATCATTATTGTGACGCTATTCTATTTATACATATTTCATTCATCTATCTAAAATAATGTCTTCTTCAACTTGAGGTATTATTAAGTGAAATTTTTTTTAAAAATATATCTTCGCTTTTGTATTTATCTTAATATTGAAAAAAGAATTGACATTTACTTTGAAGACATACATTCAACTTTATTAGCATCACACCGTCTGGTGATGATCAACAATGATATCAAGCTGCATTAACATCTTAAAAAATATTCAAAAGTTTGGAGGCTGACACAACCCTATGGGGATGTAGAACTGAACTAAGGCTGAAACATTGTTCTTGTAGACTTTCTGAACTTATTTTTGGCATACCCAATGTAGGTGAACAACAATAATAGCAATTATATTAAGTTTCCTTTACCTATATGCCATTTTGTTTTTCTTTGTTGAAATAGTTATTTGTTTTTCTAGTGATTAAGATTATAACACAATGTTGACTGCTGTATCCCAATTTTTGACATTTTTACCTATTATGTCTCTTTGCTTTGCTCACACATTATTGCCAATATAAAGAAATTCTATGCGACTGTCATGCCTGTGCGGGGTTTAGCTAGCTATAAAAGCAGGTTTAATCCACCATTTTGTACATAAGGAAATGCCTGTACCAAGTCACGAATATGACAGTTGTTTCCATTCGTTTGATGTGTTTGAGCTTTTGATTTTGCCATTAGATAAAGGACTTTCCGTTTTGAAAATTTCTTGAGTTCGGTATTTTTGCTATTTTACTTTTTTCCATATAATTAAGTTATCTTATTATGTTCAACTGTTTAATTCGTTCCCTTTTACCTTCTCTACGAACACCTATCCATGGTAAATCCCATGACTTAGATCAAATAAGTACAAATAAAAGCATCTTGTTTTCAGTAATGTCTTAAATATTGGGAGTAGGAAACAGTGATCTAGTGATGATAGACACCCTTACCCGCATCGTAGTTTTTGAACGATAAATGATCACTGTTAAAATCCAACTTGACCTCTTTATTATGGTAACGACAGATGTTTTGTTTTCAAATCAAGAAGATTTTGTCAAGTGTAACAAATACCGTCACAATAAACAACCCCCGACATTGATAAAAAAAATAAAGGGGAAAACGTTTTCATCAGTTTTTGTCAAAATCCTCAAAATCACAATTTACCTATAAATTGTGTTAAGTTGAATATTTACTATCATTGGGAAATAATTAAAATAAACACTTTTTTCTAAAATATTCAATGGGCAAACTTCTTGAACTGTACATGCTGAAATAGTCAAATCAATCTTTCCCTATATTATAAGGTGCATAACATTTTGTTAAGTTGATACATTTTTTGTTTCAAGTGATACTTTAATCATCACCCAGAAGCTCTTCCATCTAAACAAACCTAATTTCAAGTTAATCAAGGTGCAAAACTTTTGAACATTAAATGTAAAATACGTCCAAATCTAACTCTTGATGATCTCAAGGTTCATGACATGGTTTTTATATTACAAAAGTTTTATTTACACGCTAAAGCTATTTTTAATACCATCCGGAAACCAAAGGTGTGACGGGCGGACATGTAAACCATTATAAGACCTGCTTTATTGAGGCGGAGTATATTTATTATCGACTAATTTATCATGATAATTTGCTTAATCATCGTAAACAAAAGGTGTAAAGCTTACCCATAACAAGTACTGTTTATGATAAAAAGAAGTATTTTCAAGTTATTTTAATCAATTGTAACATAGTAAAAACATTTATCACAAGAACATTAGCTTCTTAATATGGTACTTGTATGTATGCGTAATTACCTGTAATTTGTGTTAAGTTCAAGGATAGATCTCCACATGGTAATTTGAGTTTTGCTTCTAACAATAAACGTCCCATTGAATCAAGAGTTTGTGTTCTACTGAGTATGCAGACTCTGTATTCCAAACATTCACCCTGTATAGTCTCATCGTCACACAGATATAATACTGCCACTTGATAATCGGTGTAGATTACTTTGCCTGTAACTGTAAAATAAAACATGTTGTACAGTATCTTTTCAAAGTTGCAAAAACTCATCAACGTTCCAGGTTTATCCCTTGGTACGCCAGACGCAAATTTGTGTCTGCAAAAAACGTATTTGTAGAACTCTAATCAAAACAGATAGAAAGCCAAGTCAAACACTATAAACTACCCAAGGAAGAGATGACCATATCTGCATTCGGTAAAACCTTTCAGAATTTTGGGTCCTGAATGCTCTTCAACTTCGTACTTTATTTGGCCTGTTTTACTTTTTTGATTCGCACGTCACTGGTGAGTCATTTGCAGACGAAACGCGTGTCTGGCGTACCAAATTTTAATCCTGGTATCGATGATGAGTTTATTATCAAAGAGCTCTAAAAAATCAATATTTCTAAAAAGTTGTTCCAAATATGGTTAAGGTCATCTATACACTAAACCGTAGAAAAAAACCCTCCGTGTTTCGAATAACTATATATTTTGTAAACAATTAAATTACAGAAAATGACAGTATAAATAATATTTCATGTGATAGGAGTACTGAATAATGGGCTGATGAATACTCCTGGAAACGTGTAACTTTTGACATCTACTTTTCTTTTCCCCTAAATACATTGCAAGGCACTTTTCAACTTCATGTTCGAGAAAAACCGAAATGAATGCAGTTACTTGTCTGAGTAACAAAATCTGATGCATATTACGAACCCATCTTCACGCATGTGAAAATTTCCCCATTATTATGTTAACGTTTATCCCGTTGCTGTCACATTGAAGTAGATTCAACATCCCATTTTTAATATACATTGTATATTAACATAAGATGCATATGATTCAGAATTTTTTTTCTAGCAATATAAGAATTCGTATTGAATCTTATTTTTTAGAACGAACCACTTAGTGCATGTCACAATATCAAGCTAAATAACAATTTAATAGAATATGTTGTACTGCAAAGTTCGAAATTATTGCGAAGTTTTTATTAATGCGAAGAATACGAACTCACATTTTGATATCTGATGCATATATCTGCATGCAAAATTTCTATTTAAAAATAAAATCATTAATTAATCTCGACTTTTGGTTGGTCATGTCAAAAACGCAATAACAAATGCTCGCAATAATTTTTGAATTTACAGTATCATCATTTTTTTTTTAATTTGATCAATACCTTTTAATGTGATTTAGACTATAAAACAATATACTCTTATCTAAACTTCACGTTCCCCATCCTATATCCCATATGTATGTTTCTATTTTTAAACCATTCAATTGTCTACTTACAGTATCCCCTATATTCTTGGTTTTGAAACGTTGTTAAAAACTCCCCGTTATTTTTATGCAAAACGCTAGTTCCAGTGTATGTGAAAAGCAGGGTACATACTCTGCCAAAAAGATAAAACATTTTAGTTTAGTACTTATGCCATGTATATAAACAGTTATTTGTCGTCATAAACTATAAATATGAATTATTCTAATTGTAAACATTTTGATAACAACAGTGTTTAATCATATCATGCATATTGAATCACGATGAAAGTTGTGAACAAAACCCCATCAAGGTGCACATATAAACCGTGAGTGCAGCCACTGGTTGCCAATATCCAAGTGCAATGTAACCGTTTTCTACTGTTCTTATTATTTGATTACATGACCAATTTGCGATTCTGAGCAAATGATTAATTTGGGTGACGTTCACAAGATTATTCTATAGCTTTTTAACGAAAGGTATATTTGCTAATCGTATATGAAATTCCGAAGTATGTGTCGCTTTGTCTTGCATTTCTTGTAATAAGCTAAACTAAGAAACATGTCTTGTGTTTATTTTGTCAAATTATTTTGCATGTCTCAACAGGTTCAAATATTAAGATTGGTTGATTTGTTTGCTATAGTGGTGACAAAAGATATAACGGTCGTTATAAACATGAACAAACTAAATCCAATAGTTTCTTAGGAAAAGAGAGGGTGGCTGTCAAATATGATTGGAGCAATTATTTGATCTTTGATATTGGTAGACAAATATATCTTCATATTGTCCTTCAAAAGAATACTATTTTGATGTATAAATGAAAGGTTTAGAACTGATTTTAAATGTTTATTTCAGCTGTTTGCATTCGACACCTCAGAGCTCGGTATATTTGTAAATATATTTTTTCTTTCTCATTATGCCATCATCTTTTCGACACAATTATAATAGTCGACGTTTTATATTGTCAGAACGACAAAGTTAACCATTTATATTTACATTGTAAAGTTCCTCAGATATCTAGGGAATAATTTTCACAATGGATTGTGTTTATTGTTTGATTTAATCAATTTTCAGATATACAAATCGAAACATTTCAAAAAGGACTATAAGGAAATGAGTATTTCACTAGAGCACCTTAATCATGTTAAACCATTCCAGGTTTTATCAAAGTTCTGAATATAAGTTTGAATTAGTTTTTTATCCTTTAAATGCACATTCGAAACGCTTTTCTGGATTTACCTTTATCAAGAAACCAGAAATGTATAAATACTTTGAAAGGAAGGCCTAGGTCATATTTGCCATAGGGATTTGGAACCTTAGTTTCTGAATAATTCTAATTTTATCAACGGAGAATTTTTAAACAAGTTACTGTATAAATCATGCCAGTACCGAAGCACTGACTCCTAAGCTTATAATACCCCCGAGGACTAGCAGTCCATCATAAGTGGTATCAGCTTAGTTAGAGTAAATGAATACAACACTTTAAACATTTGGTGTGTCCGAATCACTTCTCTGTATTTATCTTCTACATGAGAACGTTTGAAAACATTGTGGTATAAAAACAGGATTTTACCCATCCTTTCTTCCAAAGCCTTCAATTATGAGGATGTCTTCACGTAGACTCAAATCAATTCGACGTAGCATAGGGTTTGTAGCAGCAATCACATACCAGCTGCCTGCCATCTTAAACATAATAACACAAAACACATTTAGTTCAATCGCATTGTGTAATTTATATCTTTTTGAAAACAAACGACCTCTTCTATATCGTTATTAACAAACAGACTCAACAGCGCTTCCACTCCTTTTTTGAGTATTTAGCTAAGAGTTCAAAGTATATGGTAAAAAATAATTTTCTCTTTTAGTTATCAATGTTTTTTTTTCATATTTCAAATTCTCTAATAGATATTGGCTTCTTTGGGCTTTCACAAAAGAATGCCATGAAAATATTTTGCCAGCAAATTTGTGAAAGATCATTTACTACGACAGTTTAGTTATGTGAGAATGTTGTAAGTTACAGTTTTTATATTTGTATGTTTTGGTACAAATTCATCCAAAATACCAGGCTTATAATTTGATGCGCCAAACGCGCGCTTTGTCTACATAAGACTATCACTGTAGCTCAAATCAACATAGCTGAAAGCCAAATCAAATACCACGTTGAAGAGCAGTGAAAAACAAAGATTCCAAAACGATGTACAAAAATACTGCTAAGACAATCTTTCTGTTTCGAGTAATTAAATTTTCACAAACAGACAGTTTACATAAAACAAAATGTTTCAAATCATGTTAGTACCAACTGACAACTGAACTACCGGTAATGATGTGTGATATCCACCCAGTGCTAGTAAATGAAAAAAGCACTTGATAAATAACTGTTTTAAAACACAAATTTCGACCACGGTTTACATAATCCTTACCTGTTTCAAACTGATAACTTTCTGCGCAGGAATGTCCTGTACATTGCAGTAACCAGGATTTATGCTATGATCTGGACGTCACATTTAAAATAAACCATATATTAATAACTTTACAAAAATAACTAAATTCCATTACACACATCTTTGTTACTTTAAATACACAATGATAATCTTCAAATATACCAAACCTATACTTAATGTTAACTAATTACTGAATTTTATGTTAATAAGTTTTTACCACCATGTTATTTTAAGGAATCGACGCTGTCATAACTCAAAAAGCGTACTACATATGGTTTTTTGTTTGGTATACTTTTTAGCAGTACAATTTACTACTAGATTCAGATTATCTTACATAACTTCTAACATCGTAATGTGTGTCAACAGAATATTTAGTCGTTGTTTATCGAAATTTATACCATAAATGCAAATGGAAACTTTTTAGTTTTATAATTGTTTAGTTCCATGAAACTGTGTTTGAGTAGGGTAACATTGTGTCTCTCAATTAGTCAACGGCATCATTATCTCGACGTTCATAATAAACTACAGCGCCAAACTACAATCAAATATTTGCAACATGAAATACGTACTCTCTTTCGTTTTATAATTTCTTAGTTTTTTTTTCATCGACTATAGCATACTCTAATAACCAACTACAAATACATAAATAACCTGGAATCAGTCTGTCATATCCATACACATGTACAATAAAAGTACAAATGCAGGATTCATTTATGAAATTATACCATAGTAATTCATGGATTAAACTTCGGTAATTTTTGTATTTAGATATAAGAAGATGTGGTATGAGTGCCAATGAGACAACTCTCCATCCAAGTCAAAATTTATAAAAGTAAACCATTATAGGTCAAAGTACGGTCCTCAACACGGAGCCTTGGCTCACACCGAACAGCAAGCTATAAAGGGACCCAAAAATTACTAGTGTAAAACCATTCAAACGGGAAAACCAACGGTCTAATCTATATAAAAAACGAGAAACATTTTCCTTAGGCTTACACTAGTTCTATCATAGGTTATATTTGCTGAAAGAAACCTACAAAAAACATAGCAGATGTTAGTGGCTTACGAGCATGATATATCTCACAGTTTTCAACCTCGTGGTTTAATAATTGATATATAGAGGTTGAGAGGGCAGGAAACTTAGTATGAATACAAAGTAAGATCTTATGATAAATTAGATAAAGTTTTGATTTGGGTTCTTATTAACATGTAGCTTCATTTGTCATCTTATAACATTAATGCAACACAAATTTACCTGTCTGTGGTATAACACAATCACTACAGTCAACTACAAAAGATTAATAAAAGTAGATTTGATTATTAGTAATAACTATGTCTCTTACACGTTAAAGTTCCAAGTGACGTACACGTATTAAACTGCCATAATGTTTATAAAAAATATAAAAATCTTTATTTTAACCAATTGGATACTTATGTTCTTTTCCTTAAAATGTACAAAATGTCCTCCACTATAAATTAGGTTAAAACATGTAATCGCAAATAAAATAGAAGTCCTCTTTTAAGCAACCAATACTTGATTGAATAAGTACTTATGTTTACAAAACTTAAATGTGTTGCAATCGAAGCAATTTTAGGAACTCAAATGTTTATTTAAAAAAGGTTGGCATTGATTAGCAGTCGTGTTAATACATTTGCATCAGTATGGATCCTAAATGTATCAAATTACCATTGTGCACTGTATCTTGTAGGAAGTCAGTTGATAAACACAACGAAGGGAATAGTGACAATATTCTCTCCCGTGTTGCTTCATCTATCGTACGCTTTCTACCATACAAGCTTGCTTCTGCATGCTTACAGTTACCATTATCATCAGTTCCAAAGCAACCATAGTGCACAGAGTATGTACCATCGTAATATACTATTTTGTAATGCACTAAATAATTTAAACAAAAACGTTTGTTAAAAAACATGAATATCTTTACTGTCTCTAGCGTAACTTGTCCGTCTATTTTGTGTAACCATTATTGCAACAAAATTTTTATTGGTTTGTATATTTTTCTTTTTTCTTTCCAGATGAACTATATCTTTTAAATACTATGAGCGATTCTACTGTTAATTCTTATTGAGTTTTAACTTGGTTAATCTATGGTTTTTCAGATGTTTTGTTGACATGAATTTTAATCGTATGCTGCATATATATTGTGGATGACAGAAACGAACATAAAGGGCAATTGTGAATTAAGAACACGATTGACTTGTCTATTTTCTTTGAATTTTGTTGTTTAGTTGATATATCATTGACGTTTCACCTTATCTGCGGTTCTTTTATCAACCAAATATTTTTGTATGATAATGTATGATTAGTAAATACTTACTCCAAATGAACACCTCATCTGGTCCATGTAATTTGGCCATCATTTCTGCATCATGTACACTGCCTTTTAAATGCTTGGTATGACTTGAAATTGCAGGACTGCATTTGTTGTTACTAAAACATTTTCGTTTGAAATGTTGATATACGAAATTTATCCTCTATTCACTTTTGATTAATTGCAGATTACCACAAACGTCGGGGAACAGGACATGTAGTTTGAAAGTGTAATAATTTTATTCTTCCACATACTTGGTTTTGTTCTATTTGGATTTCCTACGATTTTTTAATATCGAGACAAAACCGCTGCCTTTTATTAACAATATTGCAGAAATTTCCAGTTCTGTTAAGTAAGTTTGTAAAATGATCCTTGCTGTTTAATCTGTTCAATTTAGAGTGTATTTGTTTGAAAAGGAGCTTGATATTATATCGATGTTCAAGTAAAACAAGTTAGTCCAGGTAGAAAAAGGCAAGCACAGGAGTGGAAAGAACTATAAACGGAATGCGATCAGACGCGTCATCAAGGTAAGATTTTTTGTTATACACAGACCATCAATCATATGATTTCAAATTCATATTTAGGGGTCAGTGTTTAGCCAGGAAAGAGTAAGATTCGTTCTACCTCATTACTTTTCTAGGGTAACTTTTAGTAGGGTTTACACCTTATTGAGTAAAATCGCCTTAATAAAGAAAGCTGTGGCATATACAAAAACCGTCACCATTTAGTTTTTATCGAGATTCATATTAAGAGTAAGATAAATATATACACTTATACTAGCTACACAATAAAATTTCCTAATCAAATATATAGAAAAAACCGACAGAGATCTTTATTACGCAAAACACTTTTAAGATATAAAATGCCTAAGAATTCATGCACTTTTTTATGTTTTCTGCTGAAGGTTTTAATTAATATCTTTATTAATTTTATTTTGGTAACTTTCATATATTCAGCAATTGGACATATGTAATCGTTGACTTTTATATATTATGACATAAACTTTAGAAGGGGATATTATAAGTGATGTTCAACTAATTTAACTTAGATAAAATAGTAGTATAACCGGTAATTTCAGCTCCACTTGCTTAAAAGGTATCTTCAGTTATTTGTTCCTGTTTTATTTTCACTCTGCCGAAAAGAATGTATTTAGTTTATTTCACTTACATTGCTCCTGAATATGCACTATGTAATGTACCGTCTTCTTGAAATTGGAAATAAACCACAGCAGACTCAAATTGGTTTGCAACATTCATTGATCTTGCTAGTTCATACCAAAGTCCTGATAGCTACAATTCGTATATAAATATAAACGATAATTGGATAGAAGAATTATTTTGTTTTCATTTCAATAGTGTCTTGTCTAAAAATGAACAATACTGTTGAAAAACAATTCTTTGTTGGATCCCAATGTACATACATTTCTGGGTAAAATCCAACCAAGATATTTTATATCCATCGAAATGCATATTTTCCTCTGATTTCAAAAGTTCTATTTTTAAATTTGGAGTAAGTAATTACTTACAATATTGCCCAATCTGCAAACTTTGATTTCTACGAGGTAGAGTACTTTCATAGTACCATATACTAAAGGAAACTACCACAAAGAAGTGCCATCCCGATTGCACATTACAAGAAAAAAGTAGTTCGTTCTCCTTGTCGCAATTCAATATTCAGTCATGTTGCGACTTATTTCCGAATCATTATTGACTTTTCCATATGTTAAAGTTGAATGAATAGAGTGTGAATTAAATTCTTTTATCAAAATAATTGCGTTCTTTATATTTTAAATCGGAGAAGTTTTCTGCCGGTTTAATTTTTTTTTTCCTGAATCAGCTTTTATATGCATTTGATTTCATGCATGAAATCATGAAAAAAACGTCGCTATACTGTCCTTCTTAAATAAACGATTCTCATATGCCCTCTTTTTCTTCGAACGCTTTCTAAATAGTAGTTGACATCTATACTATTAAATGAGAAGACCTCATTTTGTGTGTCGTTTCTCTTCCTTCCACACTAAATCAATCATCATGCTTTTGTGTCCTATAGGTACCATGCATAGTCGGATTTGTCATCCTCGCTTATAAATATTTCGTTTGGGTTTTTTGGGAGAAAAACGAAAATAAAGATGTCCGGATATTGTTTCCGTCCTCGGACTGACTTTTAAGTCATAGATAAGACTTCCGTTTAGGACTTAAACTTACACATTATTTTCATAGGTACAAAATGACAGGACAATTATTTTCGCGTTTTTCTGTATACTTTGAACAAACATACATGTATACTATATAAATACAGTGTATTTGCTATTTGCTATCAATTCCAAGTTTAATTCCATGGATTGATAATAAATACAAAATAAACTGTATTTATATAGTATATGTTATTATGTATGTTCATAGTGTACAGAAACAAACGCTAATATAATTGAAATTAACAGAAAACAACAACAAAATAACGGACTTTGGAAACAGGGGGAGGGTTAAACAAATTGTACTGTCCCCAAGTACCTTTGACTTTTGATAACTTTTCTGAAATACTCCAGTCATAAAATCTTTTACAAAAATTCATCCTACAACAGTTTACATACCATCAACAACGCTCTAAATGCCCGCGCGGGTGTGTTCTAGTAAAATTGAAATATAGATACCTGTGATAATTGAAGAGACTCTTCAACTGGTATACTACTAAGTTGACAAGATCCAATTTGCATTCTAGCAAGTCTTGATGTAGTATGGTGATGTATGGCTAAGAAAATATATTGTTTACATTCTATTTTTCTTAGAGGTATAAATATTTATTGAATTAGAATATGCGCGTATCGAATTCTGTTCTCTACTTTTGGGTCTTATTTCATATCTTTTTTTTATATTTGATTACTTTGAAAGTTTTACGTCGATCATTTCACTTTTATTATCATATACTTAGAGTAAATAACTTATAATTTTTACAGTATGATAATAGCATTAAGTTTACGTGAATTCAATTTAAGACAGACAGACAGATACCATAAACATACTAATGTATATACATGGCAGAGGTTGAGCTTGTTTTGCTATATGATATAAAAACTAAATTGACGAAAAAAGGTCATTTATTCAAAATCATAAAATGCAAAAAATACATTTTGCAAATAAAACATTTGACATAAAAGTTCATAATTAATATGAAATTATAAAACATAATTAATTCGAAATTACATCAACTAAAATCATATCAATTGAATAAATGACAAAGATTAGCAAAGGTGGGAAGAAAAATCTGCCCCAAGAATAAACATGTATACATATCTACTTCTAAAGATAAAATTAAAGGAGGTATGCGGGTCGGAATTTTTCACATATTGTTTGATAAGAATTACAAGTTAACAAGTCAAAAGCTGATGATAAAAGGAAGTGCCCACAGAGCCAACATACACGTGAAATCGTGCTGAACCAACAAGATCATTGACCAATAAGATAGATGTAATCCAATCATGCACTGGTCATTAGTAAAATTTCTCTACACGTGAAAACATGTTATCTAATTTCAACAATTTATCGTTTAATTAAGTATGACAAATCTGACCTATTGACCAGTACAGAGACATCATGAGTTTACAGTATAAATAGCTCCCTCTTTATTTAAGTCTGAGTAATAAACAATACAGAATTAATCTTCCCTGCTGTCTTGAATGATTTTATTCAGCTTTTCAATTAGCAAATAAAATAGGTTATTTTCCGAAATGGTGCTTAGCGGGCTGATATGAAACATTTATCAACTGCTTCCGGCTATTATCACATGCCTTTCCGTAACGTTATCGCATGGCATTCCAACGTTACTCGACAAGTTCCGGAAAATACACCGCAATGGTACGTTTTCAGTGAAAAACATACCAAAGTAGGGTACAAAACAAATATTAGGAAACAGGAAAAATATATTACGTAAAATGCAAAACAAATGATACAATAAATTCATTTCAAAGTTTCCAGCATAGTTTAGCAAGTAACTTTACAAATGTTGACTTTTCCATAGATTGTTCATTATGTTTTGTTGATTTTTTTATCGTCAATATAAAATATATTATACTGTTGTTTTTTTTTACTCTGGTGAGGCATATGATGGAAAGATTTCATATCGGATGTATTATTATTATTGAAATTGTTTTACGTGTTGTTTTCAATTTTTTACAGTTGGCATCCGTCGTCCATAAACTTTTCATTTTTTGAACTTCTACTTGAGAACCACTTAAAAGGATCAATATATTAAACTGTTATTTTTCTCCATTGTTGAAGCATGTGATAAAAAGATCATAACATGTCATTTTATATATCAGATGTATTATCAGTTTTTGTTTAATTATGGTTTTCTGACTTCTATGTTTTAAATGACAAATATGCTCTAAACAATGTAAAACGAATAACATGATGCAGTTAGATTTTATGCTGTAGTTATGAATTGTGCAGATAATTAGGCAGCAATGTGAATATTCTTAAAGCTATTTGATCTGTTATTAAGTAAGAGTAATCGTTATATGCAGAGTATTTGATGTTTCTTTTTACTATGAAAAGTTTGATAGGCTTTTAAAGTATTTATTTAAAAAAAAATATTACTCACATTCTTTGGTATAAAGCAGCGTATCACTTAATGAGATAATACTGTTGATAAGATCTGGAACTCTGCATAGCCCTAAAACATTTAAATGAATTATTTTATTTTTAAACAGGAAAAATTAGTTTTTTATATTTTTATAGACAAAATTGTATATCATACATTTGAGGATCTAAAATGACATGTCCAAGCATGTCCCTGAGATTTCTTCACTTAATATGAACTAAAGACACCAATTTGATCCAAATCAATTTGTAAGAGAAACACAACAGCATTTTTACACATTTGGTTCACGATTATGTGTCCATCCTACAAAATTCAGAGACCAAATAATATAATGTATATACTCTCTTTTCATAGCTTGAGAAGTTGCAAAGTGAGAGCATTCGAGAGAAAGTTGCAACCTCTTAAAGTTAAATTCCAATTAAGCAGGAATTACTTTCAGAAACTAAAAACCGAAAGCGGCTATCGCGTGAACTCACCCTAGTGTCTGGATATAATCTATTAATCAAAAAGATAAAGTTCATAATGGTCCCATATATAAAGGGTTTGGTGCGATCCATTGTGTCCCTGAAAATCCGATAAATATTTCAAAAATATATGTTTATGAACTAAATTGTAAATCCGGTATCTTTGATAAGATATATATATATATATTTACAACTGCCTTATACTATTACATTGTATTTTGATTTAATTATTTAAGTGTATTAACACACACCTCTTGGAGTACATGGATGAAAGACTGTATTTATACAAATCAGAAGATGTTATATAATTAACAAAGAGAGAACTCTCTACTAGAGACCAAATGACCTGTGTACATATTGGACTTAACCATGGCAATATTTTTCTTAAAGCATTATGCCAAAAATGGGATCATGTTATATTTGTTAGGGTAAAAAGAATTTGCCAATCTTACTTAAGTATTGGTAGGTAGTAAAATATTGATAACCAATAACTTATTCGTTTTTTCAAGAAGGAGTTTCTTTGTGAATCAATATATTGATTTATTCAATCAAAAACAATAATGTTAAGTTAATTCTTACAGGAACAGAACATGACTTAGAGAAGATGCTAGAACTTATTGTATCCAGCCTTGATGTTAAAATTTTGTTATATGACAGGATCAATGGCCCCCATCAATAATATTGTGGACCATGCGTACATTTTCATAGTTTCAACGAATGTGTTGTTCTAACAGATTTTGAAAAAACATAAGAAAAAACATAGAAGATCAATGAAAAATAAACTAAAAAGAGGAAACGGAAAACTATTGAAAATCAAATGAAGCATGAACATGATTTTTGAAGAACACCGGTGCATTGGTTGGTTAACCTTTATAATTGATCAATTTATATCTATTTGTCAACTGGAAATTCATGCATCAATATCAAAGTAAAGAAATATCACTGCATAACAATTGGCTATCTGGTAATACCTTAGACGATAAACGGTTAATAACAGTATCATCGACCAAGTGGTAGCAATACAAATTACACATTTAAGAAGAGTGATGCACCATTGGAAACAGTTGACGTAAGAAGATTTAAGCCGTGCCGTTTTAATGATTTGATAATGAAAAGTTTTTATGCGATTAGCTTTCCAAATTTTCAGTTTTTAACGTCCAATCGGTAAGCAGCCAGTGTTCTGATTGCCATTGTTTTGTTCATATAAAACGAACAGTTGTACTTAGGTTGTAACTTATTATAGAAAGTTAACTAAGACAATGCTTGCAGTTGGGTACATGCCCGTTATTGTTTTCATTCTCTCGCAATTTTTATACAACTGTATTATATTTTTTTGGGGTAAAGCATACATAATAAAGGTTATTCCCTGTACTGCACACTGATATATGTATCATAAGTTTATATCAGACGAGCTCATAGTTCTGATTATTAAATCGAAATCATTTCAACGATAGATTTAAAAAATGTTTTACCTGCATTTTGACCAACGTATATATCATATTTCGTGCAAAAGTGAGCAACAAGCCTGTCTTCAATCTTCTTTAGAACTTCCAAATTAATAGGTTGGTTTTGTTGAACAAGACGCTGTACTCGACTTTTTGTACATTTTCCTCCTTTTCTCTCATAGCATATGAACAACCCAATGATACTTCTTTCGATTTCGGCTATCCAAATTTCTCCTGTAAAATTAAAAACAGTTGACTTATAAAATCAATAGAATACATATGCGAGATATCAAAAACTGTTTTGATTTAATCTATTCGTTTTTATTTAGAGCCACCGATGAGTAATATGTAGAATAACGCGCTTTTTATGTACTAAATTATAAGCTTGGTATATTTTATGAGTGTTTTTATTCAGTTTGCCGGAAACGAAAACAATAGTATATGCCCAGATACAAGTAATGACATTTACGGTATATATAGGAATTTATCACTTGGAAGTCCTGTAATCAATCAAGAAACTTTGAGGACAGATGTATGGAATAATTGCCAAAAATTAATGAAATAGATATAGCAATTGATCTATAATTTTATTTGGTATACTTGGTGGTGCAAAAGATTCCAACATTCTTTATCCAAACACTAAACAACATCTATGTGTAGCTTACAAAAGTTAGCAAAAAGAGATACAACATTTCCATCAAAAGTAAAATCCAAATACAATACGTGCCGAAAGATGGGTTTTAATTGAGTCTTATTATGATCTGTCTGTCTCTTTGAATAAACAGTATCCAAATAAATTTTGAGACCAATGTTATTTTACCGATTACCTAAAAGTAAAATTATTACCGAAAGATTGGTTATGTTTTGATTTTTAAAACATATTAACCACAACTACACACTTTTATTTGTATACGGAGACTGTATCAGGTCTGAACATCTACAGCAATTGTAAGTAAAAACAGAGTATACACATGAACAGTTCAGATATGTTGACATCCATATGTACAAGAAGAGTACGGCGATGTTATGTGACCAGACACATTTCAATAACGAATCTTATCGCCTTCAATGCAAAACAAATGACAAGGTTATTATAGCAAACAAATTAACTAGTAATTGAAGGACAACTTACTTGGAACTGAACTGCCTATCTGTAGATAATGACCTTCTGAAATTCTAAAATATTTCTCCAACTCTATTTCCGAGCAGCTGTTATCCCTGAAAAACAATAGTTTAATTTGTGTTCTGATTGTAATTAGTATTACAAATGATTTATAGTTTTGTCCTTGAATATGATTTATCATAAACATCAGAATATAATATCAATACCTTTTTTGAAGTAATTTTTTCTTGTAAAACTTGTATGGCAAAAGAGGAGGAATCAAACTTCAGAGATTGTTAAAATGACGATATTTAGTTTTAATAGCCCTAATGGCAGTCGTAACTACTCAAACAAATTCTAACGAATCGATTTATAACATCTATACTACCGATTAGTATTTGAACTGAAAAAAAATTAACCGTGATTGAATATTTTTGTTTATGTTATGTCAGTTACATAAGGTAGACCATAGTAGTATGAACTAATGAGTAAGAAAATACGTACATTACGTTTTAATGAATTGAGACAATTACCTTCGATGAGAGCTCGTGACATATACGATATTATCGTTTTGGCTTAAAGTGAATTTATAAGCAGATATAACTGCCTCTTCCCCTTCAGTTACAGCAACATTCATAGTGTAGAAGTCACCAGTAGGCTAAAATAGAATTTTTTTTAATAAAAACAGGAAGTATAGTAACTATCTGGTCCCTGGATTTAAAAATATAGAGAGAAAAAATTTAATTCTTTTACTTCATGTTACAGATATATATATATATATATATATAATCAAAAGAAAGCGAAATATACCGAAGGGATAATAAGACTCATAAGTCGGAAACGAACTGGTAATGCCATGGTAAAAAACATAAAAACATAAAAACAGACAACAGTATACAAAATAAAACATACAAAACTATTAACTGAGCATCACGAACTCCACCAAAAACTGGGCTAGGTCGCATTCTAGGAGATTGTGGTTCGTCATTAAGAACATATCCGTCGTCAGTAAGAACATATCCATCGTCATCTGTGAAACATATATAACAAAAAAGAGAGGAGGAGCATACCAAAGGTCCAAACGGGCAACCACCTCGTGATGGCGTCCGTTTTTTTTTTATAACAAAGTACGATTTATCCCTCCCTTATACAAGATACTTTTTCTACGTTTGTCATTCTTTTTTATCAAACATAGCAGAACCAATTCAATTTGTCTTTTTGTTCGGAATGGAGAATACTTGTATAAAGTGTAGAAAAGACAAATGTTTTAATAATATTTCAGGAGGAAAGAAATAAAATACTATTGCAAGAGAAAAGAGATAAATTACTATTAAAAGAGGAAAGAGATTTATTTGATAAATGAATTCGATATTATATTGAACACTTTAAATAAAAATATCATTAGTGGTCTCTAAACTTATTTGTTAAACATGTTGAAATTGTTGTATTTGTCCCAGAATCACAATTTAACACATAGTTGTGAGTAATATTACTTTTGAGCATAAGCTTTATTAAACATGAGATTTTACTAGCAATACAATCGTCAAGCAAACACCTATCATCGTAATACTGATATCTAAACATCGCAAATTGATGTGATTTTGGCAGTTTTTGCAGTTTGGTATGAAATGGAAGGAGTTTTAGGCCTTTATCATGTAAAGCACAATCCTGAAAAAGAATTACTGATATCACAAAGACTCATATCTTTTGAACATTTAAACAATTTAAAAAACTGTTTGACTTTTTAATTCAAGAGAATAAACAAACGTGGTATTTTTTTATCTTTTTTCCTGACAACGTTAAATAAGATACTTAATACAAATTGGCAATTAAAGAATAAAAACCGACATACGAAAAAATTGAAACTAACTTAAGTGTCTGACGTAACATGAATACAATCATTGTATTTGTAATGTTAAGTTATCATATAAAGAGATTTGTTCTGGTATAGTTACATTACATGTATGTTTCATTATAATACGTTATTTTGATTGGCTAACAGCAATATCGTGTCATTCTGAATTTAACCTTCATTTCAAAATGAAATGTAACATTCATGATGACACGAGCTTCCACAATTAAGTGCACAGGTAAATAAAAGAAAAATTTGATACAAATCGTGTTTTCATGATCCTAGCAAAAAATGTAATCATAAGTATTGAATGGTTCTTTTAGTAATTTTATAGGGTTGTAAAAGAGTTGACCGTGCGCACATTTTTAGAATGAAGCGCGGAATTCATACAAAATGTACTTCGGTCAACGCTTTTACACCCACATAAATTTACAAAAAGAAGCATTCAATTCTTAAATATGGGAGTAAATCCAATCTAACCATGTCCATCGCCTATAACATATGCATTATTCTGATACTTACCAGAAGCATACATTATGCTAGACGTCAGACACTTTAGTTAGATTTGTGGGTTTTTCTTTTCAATCAACACCTTTATCGTGATTGTTACTGGAGATGGACGAAAATAGTATTACACTATCGGAGGCCTTTTAGGGCCTTGGAGGTGTTTGTTCATAGGGTTTATAATATATTTCTCTTAAATAGTTAATTTTTCACACCAAAATTAATTCTTATTTATTTTCATAAATCTATCAAGTGCTATTTTCAAAATTGAAAAATAGTTATTCCAGTATAAACTATTGATTGCTAACTAAAATTAAACGCATAGAATTGTATAAACACTAAACTTAGACAATCTTGCCAATATGATCAAAGTTTTGGTATGTATAACTTCGATTTGTTCTTCAACTTTCTTAATTTATTTTCATAAATTTTTTGTTCAAAATTGACCTTAAAATGGAACAAACAAATTTAAACCTGTAAAAGAAAACTGTTTCTTAAAATCGGCCTTTGAAAAGTATGTCAATGAATTTGTACGACCTTTAAAATGTTATATGTATTTTAATGTTAAAATTATACATTTATTTATAGTTATGAATCAGACAGTTTGAATTTCAAAGATGTACATGTTTTTAAATTGCAGTTTGAGTTTCAACCTTAAAACATTTGCACAACGTAAAATATTCTATAATGAATAAAAATTTAATATATTTCTTTAACTCCTTTTTTTAAAGGAGAAAAAAATACCTGTAAGGGGGCATTCAGAACATAAGTTGACAGTCAATACCACAACCAGAAGAAGTGGACAGTCAATTCCACAACCAGAAGGGAAAACAACAATCTACACCGCTTTTATCTGGCGTATTCAACAGTTTTCTTATCTTCATGGCAATAATATGGTCAACAAGTTTTAGCTGTTTCACAGATGACAATGAATATGTTTCAATTGTTGTAACCACAATCCAGTCTTCTTTCTCTCGATTGTGAAATCTCAGAATGAGACTTATCGCCGATTTTTTTACTTAAATGAACAAAACGACGGAATGTGGAGTAGGATCTGCTTACCCTTTCGGAGCCAGTTTTCGGCGGGGTTCGTTTTGCTCTGTCTTTTGTTTTTCTATGTGGTGTTTTGTAGACAGTTGTTTGTCTTTTCGTCGTTTTTCGTTTTTTTTCCATTGCGTTATCAGTTTTTCTCCTACTTATGAGTTTTAAACTCACTTCGGTATCTTTCGTCTATCTTTACAACTTAATGAAGATTCCGTTTTTGGTTATTTAGTTCCAAAAGGTATATGGCACTGATGACTTAACCATCTTAAAATACTTAACTCTCTTAATGAAGGTAAACAGAAGTTCCAAAATGGATACCGTAAACCATAGGTCGAAGAAAACAAATAACTACATGACCAAAGGGGAAAAGGGTGGACAAACAAACAGCAGTTCTAACAACACTACGCATATAACCAGATTGAGCAGAAATACAGTCCGAATCATTTGGCTACATTTATAGGTAAGAGTAGTTTACTGATGTTTGAACTCATAAATCGAGTAGAAAAATACAAATCACGGAAACAACAAAAACTGAAGGAATCGTATGCACTTTAAAAGTAGCAGAACTCAGATAAATAAAGAAATGCCTATCGAAAGCAGGGATATACTATCAATGTGGTTTTATGATTTTAATGAAATGATTTTAAAGATAGAGACGTATATTATGTTGCAATATTAATTTTTTAGTATATATTCCCCTTTGACGAAGCTAGTTATCATAAAGATTGATATCTGGGTTGGACAAACATTTTCATTTATAGAAATTTGCAACATGTCACACTAGACATAATTCGAGTGATAAACAGATATCAGAACAGAAAAAGAAAATGACAAAAGAAAATACTGAATAGACAGGGTAGTATTTATATATCGTTATTGTAGGATAATTGCATGGATCCCGAATACCATTCTCTTCCAGTATCAACTTCAATGCATATGTGTATTCTCACAAGATATGCAACTACAAAAATTAAACTCAAGTTGGTATTTCAGTAGTTCGTGTTGGTCCTTTATTTTATTTTATTTTATAACGAAACAAATTTAAAATTATCAAATCAAAAATCGTTTGTATATAGGAAAATAAGGAGATCCGGCATAATTGCCAATGAGACAACTATCCACAATTATGTGAAAATAAGAGTAAAATTATGTAAAAATTTACTACAGTAGCGTGAACTCTGTTTTAGTAAAACAAAATGACAGGATTACGCAAGTAATTTAAAATAAATACTCATGTTTCATACACTTATTTTTGGTGGGAACCAAATGTTGGTAATCCCAAAATAAATATCTTTCAAAGGAAAGTAAAGCGAAATGATCCGCTTAAAGACGTCAAATTTAGTTTGATCACACAAGTGCGATTACAATATATTTTAATAATTTGTTTTAACTGATAATGTCTAACGATTGATTACACATCTACAAATATTGTAAAGTGTTGTCGGCTCGTTTTACTAAAGAAAACTGTTTAAACAACACCCTGTTTTTGTAAGTTATCTAGTTACCGTGTCACTACAGCAAATTCAGAAGAAGTGATGAAACATTTCTTTACATATTTATGTGACAAACAATAATGCCATGTTTGCTAAGATCTTTTAAATGTTTTAGTAATAGTCATCTTTATTTTACACAAAACAATCTTATACTTTATATTTCGGTTGGTAAGTCTTTAGACAAGAATTCACACAAATATAAAAACAGTTTGATTTTAAAATTTTTCTTGAAAAAAACATTTTAAGATTAACTTGTTCTACACACTGTTGTTTCACGGAATAAGCATCATTGCTCACTCCTCTAATAAGACATATGGCTTACCCATTATTTGACTTATTATGATATTTTGCTACAGTCATTATAAAGTTAATAGTGTTGAACGGATATGATTTAGCAACCATTAACATTTATTGTTATGTCATGTGGGTTGTGTCGAGCAAGTACACGGTTTATCTCCCATTCATATGTTGTCAGTGTTTTCCACAGTATTGTCACTCATCTAACAAGTACAAATTTGTTTAAGAACATATAACAATAGGCAAATAAGCATCGTACAATGATTAGAACAAATTAATGACATTAACAATTTTTCATGCTGTATTTAAAATAAGATCTTTTTACACTTATGTGGTAGTTAGGCTTTTTTTTACATCTTCATATATGATTCGAAAATGCAATCGTTGGAATTTGATCTTAAGGGTATTTTTAGTATATAGTCCCTGCTTTATACTTACGACAACGTCTCCTTTGAAATGAGCTGAAATTGTTCATCGATTTTGCAGTTGAAAGGAAAGAATGCTAACTACAACTTGACAAAGTGTTCTAATCTTTTGAAGTATTAAAGGTTAAAGCATAAGCAGAGTCAGTGAATAAATTACATTACTTTTTTGATTTCTTATAACAGATACGAACAGTTTGCAATAGATCTCTGAACATCTATAAATATTTTCTTATGATTGCATCTTATAACTTAAAGCAAGTTATAACTGGTTGAACAACTTATTTCACTTGCTCTAAACGCTTTGAATTATTTACCCGTTCCTTAGCAAGAGTGACGTGTCTTTCATTAGGAGAGAAATAACAGCCACCTAAAATGTGTAAAAAGATACATAAATGATGCAACATATAAATTCGTATCTATATTTGATCAAACTGAATTTGAGCAATTTAGCGTCTTTCAAATTTCAAAGGGTCTTACCATATTTTGCTTTACATCCAAACGTAAACCCGAAAGAACTTGCGAGATAATGAATTTGAAATGCAATTAGAATTATTACAGCACAAGTTTAACTGCACTAGATCCTCTCATAATATGTTCTATGTTTGTCTTGAACTGTCATGCTTCGTCTTCTAGCACAAAAAAAGAAATATTGTTATCTTTGATTAAAAAAAACTATTTTTCAACGCAGATTGAGTATATGAGTGTAACTGTACCTCCTGGTTTATCTGGTTCTGTCGAAGAAGGAGTTTCACAGTGACCTAAAAAGTAAAACATTGAAAATAATAAATTCATTTATCAATGTGAGTTTTGATATTTTTTATCGCTTAAGGGTGTAATTAGGGGGTACTTTTAGTTTGAATTGTTTTTACACTTAACACCTTACTTATTAAGTCTTTCCACTTTTCTGTGGAAAGATCTATTGTATTTGTTCTGATTATTATTATTATTAAGTCTTTCCACTTTTCTGCGGAAAGACCTATTGATTTTCTTCTGATTATTATTTTTTTTTCTTTTTAGGGTCTTTCCACTTTCAGTGGAAAGACCTATTGATTTTCTTCTGATTATTATTTTTTGCTCCTTTGAAATTGACCCTACTGAACCGAATACTTTTCTCTGTAGGAGTTATCTCCCCGAACACTGTTTTCTTTGTGAATGCATCTCCTCCGTAACCGTAAAACAAATCGACAAATCTATTTAACCGAATTGCTCGTTTTATCCTCAGGATGTTTTGTCCAATTTTGATCAAAGAGACACGAAGACTCCATATGAGAGTTATTTCCCCTTCTGTATTTGACATAAGGGATATAAAAAATGTATAGCATGAATGAAAAGTGATAGAGACCTGAGGTATTTTGATTTGAGGTCCTTACTTCACTAAAATGAAATTGAGGTCATTGTCAAAGGTCAAGATCATATTATAAATTTTTAAATTTTCTTTGTTTTATTATCTCCTCTGACACTTTCAAAGATATATATAAAAGAACTAGTGCAAAATGTTTGCCTCATTATGATGAAGATATGATACATTCGGTCTGAAACATCCATAGGGTGTTTTGTAAAATGTTGGGTGACATGTGACATGTGACCTTGAAAAATATCAACCGGAAATGACTTTGAGTAAACCGGAAGTAGCCATTTTTGCACTTATATAATGGAAAAAAACCAAGAGACCATATATTTTTAAATAGCCATGCGATAACCTTTCATCTGAGACCGGAAGTAACCTTCAATAAACCGGAAGTAACTTTATTACAGACAAAAATATATAGATACCATATATTTTTGGAATCAGTGTGCATCAAGCTATTATGAGAGACCGGAAGTGACATTTTCTAAACCAAAAGTTGAAAATTATCTCCCTTATTTCAAACAAAAGTATATAGACACCATATAATAGTATTTATTGAATCGGTACGAAGAAACCTATGATTTGACGCCAATAGTAACTTTGAGTAACCGAAAGTAGCTTGTTATTAATTTTCAAATAAATTGATGTGGATAGACCTTCAATTGTTCTCTGAACAATTGGTTTATAATTTTTTTTTTCATCCGCCAAATTTTGATCTTGCGTATTATTTTTGTTTCGCCACATGTCGCTTAAATATTTGGTATGTTATTGTACAGTTTATACGCTTTTAATTTTTACCCTGCTAAACCGAACTTATTTCTTTGTAAGAGTTATCTCCCCGTACACTGTGTTTCTTGTGTGTGCATCTCCTTCGCAACCGTAAAAGAAATCGACAAATTTATTTTTCCAAATTGCTCGTTAAATCCTCAGGATGCTTTGGTCAATTTTAACCGAAGCAATACTGAGAATCCATATGAGAGTTATTTCCCCTTTTTTATTTGACATTAGTGATATGTGAGTCTAACTTATTAACCGTAAGTGATAGAGACCTAGGGTACCTTGATTTGAGGTCCTTGGTACACCAACATGAAAATAGTGTCAAGGTCATTTTCTAAATTTTTTCCTTTGCTTGTGTGTGCATAAAAGAACTGATGCTAAATGTTTGGGTTGTTGAGACGAACATTAGTCCGAAGCGATCTGATTATACCTTATAGGAGGTATTGCCCCTTAAATGTTGAAATTTAAGGTAAATCGAATATATTACAGCCTTTTGTCATCACAGGCTGTTTCCTAGTACTAGTATCGATACACCTAAAAATTTTAAACGACATTTTCTTAAATTAAAATATAAAAAAAGAGGTATTGATTTTATTAACTAATCTAGCATATTCAATGACTCTTCCGTCTTTTGCCAAATACCTCCATGTTTTGATAATATAGAACCACCCATTATTTCGTATTCTTATAAAAAAAAAACCGAGCAGAAGTTTGATTTTTAATTATACGTCAGTTATATCAGACGTCAATATATAAATAATGTTCCTTCCACTTGAGACTGTGAAGCATCTAGTTTTAGATATGTTCCCTATTGTCATGTTATTACAGGAGACCTCAACATCGTCGAAGACCGTGAGGTCAAAACTTTTCTAAAGAAAGGACCGAAATACCGTCCTCCATCTATAATAGATTGGAAATAGTGTCGTCAGGTCATTAAAGACGCTTTGTCTGCCTACTGTAAAAATTGGTGCAAACGTGAAAAATCTGATAAAAAATCTCTATACAGTTATTTGAATAAAATTATGAATACTGTTAATATTCAAATATCTCATTTTGAAAACAATTCTGAAATTAATAATAGGGTCCATGATATTCCCATTTCTAGAATAAAAAATAAACTCCAAGTACTCGCAGAGCGGTTTGTGTTCGTACCGGAAGACAACGCAGCCAATAATGTAGTGGTGGTATGACGCATATACTACACGGAGTTCTTCAAAACGAAATTATCCATTCCTCTACATTCAGGTCCGTACGCACCACTGAGAGTCAAATCGTTAACAAGCATATCGCTGCCACTATCCAGCTTAAATCCTCTTCCGAACATTTGAAAGTCCCTACCATGTACTGGTTACCGAAATTACACATTTAAATTCCGTTTCATCTCTGCATTTAGTAAGTGTTCTACTACTAATCTATCAGTGCTTCTTACTACCTCCCTTACTACTATCAAAGAACTGGTTATTAACTTTTGTAATAAAGCTTATGAAAATAATGGTATTAATTATTTTTGGAGTGTTAAAAATTCTTTAGAGGTTTTAGATAAAATACATGCTTTTGATGGTCATTTTAATTCTGTTGACAGTTATGATTTTTCTACTCTCTACGCTACACTTCCACACAATCTAATAAAGAAAAAGTTTTCATATTTAATAAAATGGTCTTTCGAAAAATCTCATTGTAAATTTATTTGCTGTAACTCGTTTAAAGCCTTTTTCTCTTACGAAAAAGGAAAGTATGCTAGATACACTTACTGGAAATGTGAGGATAAGATTGGAGGTTTAAATTTTCTCCTAGATAACATATATGTACGTTTCGGCGATAAAGTGTATCGTCAGGTAGTAGGTATTCCTATGGGCACTAACTGCGCCCCTTTAATAGCAGATTTATTCCTGTATTACTATGAATCTCAGTTTATGACCAAACTCAGTAAAGACACATCATTGTTACATTTCGTTGATACATTCAACAATACCTACCGTTATCTGGATGATATTTTTTCGTTAAATAATCCAGAGTTCTCTTAATATATTACCGAAATTTACCCAAAAGAACTTTCTTTAACTTAATCTAACATAAACAGCAGCAGTTGTCCTTTTCTAGATTTAGACATTTCAATTTCTAAAGGGAAACTCTATACTAAAATTTACGACAAAAGAGACGATTTTTCATTCCCTATTGTTAACTTTCCCTTTTTAGACGGCGATGTGCCTTTGGCTCCATCATACGGTGTTTATATATCCCACCTCGTTCGGTATGCCCGTGTGTGTAGTGATGTCATAGATTTTAACGAACGTAATCAATGTATCTGACACTGGTAAATTATTAAGTCAGGGATTTCGTTACCCTAAATTACTTAAAACTTTTACTAAATTCTTTCATAGATACAAAGATTTGATTAGTAAATTTGGCTGTACCTGTAGAAAACTTATTAAAAAAGGTATTTCACATCTTAAAATTTACGGTAATATTGTACTTAAAGCGCGGAAATCACTACCCAGCAAACACACAACATTTTAAAAACATTTTTTAAATGTCATATGGACGTCTCTCACAAAATATTTCAATAAGATATCATTTAAACATAAAAAAAATGTTTATTTTATTGTTTTTGAAATGTTTTATTTCTAACATTTAAGTAAAATGTTTTTACAACATTAACAAAATATTATTTGCTAATATCTTTTATTCATGTTCTCAAACATTGTTCTAAAATATCCCGTAGATATTTTATAATATACAAAAATAATATTTTCTTCAATTGGTATTTTATATTTTAACAACATTTAAAGTAAATATTTTCCAAATATCCAAAAAACATTCTACAAAAAAATGTTTTACAGAAAATATAGTTTTGCTATTTGCATAAAATGTTTTATAACGTAAAATTAAAATGTTTTACATAAAACATCTGAAAAATATCAGCTTAATGTTTTCTATAAAATATTCTGACATACACATTACTTAATAGTCTTACTGATATTTTATTCAACATTTTACGGATATAAAAATAACATTTTATTTAAACTTTATTCAAAACCACACAAACAACGTATTGTGGAATTATCTCGGTTTTTTTCAGGATAAGACATAGTACTACATTTCATCAATATCATGACAAGCAAGATACTATGGTTGAAATCCTTAATTGATATCTTGAAGCTCCTTGAAGTCAGATTTTATTCCTTCTTATATTAAAATTCAAAAAAGTCAACTTTAAATTAAGCAATAATGTATTAATAAACAATCATCTTTCTTTAATGTTTATTCATTTCGTTCGTGTATATTTTAGAAATTAAGAAATGAAAACTGTAACTGTACGAAGTTCAATTTTTGTATCGTTTATATGCCTTACGGAAAACCGACCTTTTCCGGAATCGACTTTTGTTTTATCACCGGAAATGATTTTGAAATTTGAATTTCGAAACGATGGCAGGATATCAACAAAGAGAGCCAAGAAAATTGTTTGTTACGCGATATATACTCACTTGGTAAGAATGATTAATCTGTTAAGATGAAACTTGTGCATTCATTGTGTGTGTTCAATCATAATCGGAACCAAATTACATCTGTTTGACTTTCTGGAGGTGCGGATCAATGTTTTGAAAAAAGGGGGGCCCCTGCCCAAGGCAAGCAAACGTTTGGAGTGATACTTGTAAATAGTCTATACATTTATCTTATAAGTAGCTCCATAAGGGGGGTCGGGGCCCCTAAATCCGCCACTGTTCAAGCATCTACGTACAACAATTATGAATTTGTTCTTTAATATAAAAAAAATATCAGGATATGTGGCTTGTGTGTTTGATTGCCAATACACCTTATTGCTATTTGTCCACCATTACTGGCCATGGACATCACAAAAGTTCCCTTAAAAAGTTGCCGTCATATAATAATATTTGACATCACAATTGAAGGTAATACACCTTATTGCTATTTGTCCGCTATTACTGGACATCACACAACTGTCACGAGTTCCCTTAAAATTTTGACGTCATCATAAAAAATATCTGATGCCACAATGGAAAAGTGATAAGGTGTATTATTGTATGATGTATGCTGACGTAAAAAGTTCAAGCGGGACAGATTTCCAAATACTGAAATAGCGATAAGGTGTATGAGACAGCTATCCACCAGAATTTAAATGACTTGGATAAAAGAAATTATAGGTCACTGTACGGCTTTCAAAACTGAGAAAACCAATGCCATATAGTCCACTTTGAAGCCTTGACAAACAAATGTTAAATTTTTCTCAACACAATTGAAACAAAACAACTAACTGTCTACATTAAATACACATTATGAAAAAGAAATTTGACAGACTTAAACCAACAACAACTATTGCAACAAGCATGACTCAATAACTTGTTTCCGAAGCACACAAACAAGTTACAATAACACTAATATAAGCACCATTTGAATATGGAGATTTTTTTTTTCTAGTAAAATCAGTGTATGTATGTATTTGCAAAACAGTAAATTAAATTTCCCTTAACAGCTTAATGAACATTACAAAGACTATGTAAGACGTCAGTACAAGCAAAATAATATAAACTGTTGCTTAAAATTATATTTATTGCTTCATACACACAATGTACATACAATGTATCTTTTATTTTTTAACAGGAGCTAAAAGAAAAGCCACAAAGGACAAGTTCAATATGCAGGTTTACAATTTGGAAGTGGCGCAAGTTCTTTGGAATGTCTACAACCTTTCAGGAGAATTTTTTTTTGAAGTAAGATTTTCATACAGAATTACTGTTATTCCATATTTAATTCAAATATTTAGCATAAACAATGCATTACATTCAAGATTTAGGGCATACAATACAGAAAAGATATCTTGATATTTGAATACTAGTAAATTATTTTTTTTTGTGACAAAATAGAAACAAGTTGTTTATTTAAATCAATCTTTTAGTCCAACAGTGTGCTTTCATAAACAACAAATATGCTTTCCTTTGAAGTATTTCAAATACATATATAAACAACTCATTTAATGACATCTGTGTGTTTCTCGGAAGTTAAGTTATATTATTATCATCATTGCGAAAACAATGCGTAACACTTCGATAAGTTATTATGTGCCTACAATGTATAGTATACTTCTAGGACTGTATCATATGCCCTTAGATACAAATAACAAGTTATAAACTATGTCACTCTACAGAGTTTAACACTTAAAAAGGACAATAAGATGTTTAATGACATTATGTAGCAGGGCTTTTAAAGGCCCCTACATGATACAATGCATTTAATGAAAACTAAAAAAAACCAAGAAAAACAACAGCCTGATTTATACAAAACAATAAAAGAAAAAAAATATGATAGACAACAATCAACAAGTATACTATAATGAAATAAGACTCTTGACTGGACACATATCTAGTCTAAAGTTTTTTATATGTTTTTTTTTTAATAACTAAATGAAGTTCAGCGTGGCACATTGCTCTCTCTTAACACGGTCAGCCATTTATCGTCCCCTTCCGACAGACTATCATCGTTATTTGTTTCAAAACTTTAAAGGGGAGGTGATGTATATCCTTCAGGCAACGTGAATCGTTCTATAATAAAGGAATGTGCAAGAAGTTTATATACGAATGTAAGATTAATTTTTTTTACAGAAGTATGGCACAGCAAGAAAAAGATATGACACTACAAGACATTCCAAGTGATTTTGAATAAGACAATTGATTGACTTTTTCAATGTATTCTTAAATAAATCAAATAGTTGATGTAAAATGGTGTTTTGTTCTCATCTCTTCAGCCAACTATCAATGATTATTGACTTAAGATGTAACCCTATTAGAAGTGTAGTGTTTTAGTTTAGAAAGAGAAGTTGTATTGAAAAATCTGAATTTGGGACACAAGTTTTAGTCAATGTAACTTGAACTTAAAAATTTGTATAATGTTTGCTTAATGTCCAATGGCATATATGTCATGCATGTTCAGGTTGACATATGCATGATGTGTATAAGATAGGTAATAAAAGTTGAGAGTGAAAAACTAAACATTATACCATTATGGTTGGAATGTGGGCTTTCTTGCACTGTCTGTCGTCTGTCCACCTATATTTGTCGGATTTTGTCCAACAAATATTTTCATCACTGTTTTTCCCAAAACTGCTGATAAAGATGAGTTCATATTTAATGAGCTGCTTGATAGTGATGAACTGTGATGTGAGAACATTTTTGTATCTGGCACCTGTTTCCTGTTTGCTTATACATTGTATTTCAAAATGTTGAATATTCTCAAATTTTTCATTACTTTAATTAGTAATGCTGATGAACAGAATGACTTCATATTTGGTAAGTGGCTTGATCATGATGAGTTGTGTCTGCCATTTTGGATGTGTCAAAATTTGTAGATACTTCTTGTTTTTAAAGACTTTGAATTGAATTTCATATGCTTAGCAAAACAACTGATTTATTCTTGTTTGTATATAGAATTAATCACTGTGTATAAATTAATTTAACTAATGATTTGTTATTTAAAAAAGCAGGAAACTCAATCAAAAGTACAGAAATTTTTAGATTGATATGATCTAGATATCAACCAAAAACATCTTCTTAAAACATTTTGAAAACATTTTTTAGGCACAGTCTCACTTGCAAGAAAACATCCAAAAAACATTTTTATAACATTATTTGAGGTTCATGATGTTTTTCAAACGTTCAGAAAATATTTCTAGAAAATATTTTTTAAAAGATTATCAAAATGTTTTATACGCCATTGTTTTTCACATTATCATGATATTTCTTTACAACATTTTAATTATATTTTGCAAATATTTTAGAAAATATATTAGAAAACGTTTTAGCGATATATATTCTATCATACATTTAATGTTTTTCTGACGTTTTTTTGTGATATTTTCATGACATTAGACACAACATTTTAAAAACATTTTAAAGATGTTTTTGTGTTTGCTGGGTATGTGATCCGTGTAAACTCGTCGAACCTTTAAACAAACTTATTAGTAAGGGTTATCGTACCAATGTTGTAATTAGATCTCTGAATATAGTTTACATTGGCACTAATATCGATTTTGTCATTAGCAAATTAAAACATAACTAAATTTGTATTTTCTTTTCAAACGGGATGTATAGAGACACACACACGTTAATTTTTATCTATAAAGAAGTCACTCCTAACTATCCTACTACCTGTCGGTACATTTATTTTTGGCATTGCACAAGTCATGTCTTCTTTGACTGTTCATGACGTTAAAATACCAAATCCCTGGGATGTGTTTTAGTTGATTTCAGTCTCTGATGCATGATGTTTTATTATTAATTGTTTTGGCTTTTAACTAGCTGTCAGTAACTTCGAGTACTCTCAAATCGTACTTTCTTTTTAATTTGACCTGTTGATACTATTTGTAATGCTTTTTTGTTATTAAATGTTAACATGGATCTTGTCTATATACCAGCTTTGATTATTTGGTATAGCTACTAATTTTCACTTCTTCGTACAATGAACATCAAAATTATTTCATTTCTTCTTAAATACTGTACAGGAAGTTTTATCTAGCACTTATTGTATCGTTTTATTGTTGATATTCACCCCATATGTACCAAGTGTTAAATTAGTTTTATTGATATAAAAGAAATTTCTTGGTATTCCTAAACGGAAGATTTCATACACACAGAAGAAGAAGTATACTTAACAACAAAATTATTTTCATTTACCTGTGTATAATATGACGCAGGTTTTTTCAAAAGTGATGATTTTCTAAATATTGTTTAACATTTCACAGTGGTATCATACTTTAACTTTGTTTAAACCTGTTTATTTACTTTTGACCTTAATTATGTATCCCTTATAATTTTTATTAACTATGTATTTGCATTCAGGTATCACAGATCAAATTTATTCGTTCATTGTGTGTTAATTTAAGTTTTTTGATTGAGTTAAGCCTTCCAATTGATATTTTATGGTGTGTCTTTCTATGTTGTGATGTTATACTATTGTTTCAGAAAAGGAAGAAGGTTTGATACCATTCAAACGTTTAATCCCGCTGCAAATGTTTGCCAAGTACCAATTCAGGAAAATGGCCATTGTTATATTATAGTTCGTTTCTGTGTGTGTTACATTTTAATGTTGTGTTTTTGTTGTGTCGTTGTCCTCCTCTTATATTTGATGTGTTTCCCTCAGTTTTAGTTTGTAACCCGGATTTGTTTTCATCTCTATCGATTTATGAGTTTCGAACAACGGTATACTACTGTTGCCTTTATTTTGCACCTGTCCTAAGTCAGGAATCTGATGTACAGTAGTTGTCTGTTTATGTAGTTCATACGTGTTTCTCGTTTCTCGTTTTTATATAGATTAGACCATTGGCTTTCCTGACTAAATGGTTTTACACTAGTAATTTTTGGGGCCCTTTATAGCTTGCTCTTCGGTGTGAGCCTAGGCTCCGTGTTGAAGGCCGTACCTTGACCTATAATGGTTTACTTTTATAAATTGTTACTTGGATGGAGAGTTGTCTCATTGGCACTCATACCACATCTCCCTATATCTAATAACTTCGTTCTGGTACATGATGAAGCCATAGTGTCTTTTGTAAAGGGTTAGATGACACATGACCTTGATATATATCAACCGAAAGTGACCTTGTGCAATGCGGAGTAGCTTTGTTTGCACTAATTCAAAGAAAAAATACTAAAAACTATGTATTTTTTAAAGCAGCGTACAATATCCTCAAATGAAACCAGAAGTTGCATTCTTTCAACCGGAAGTAGCTTATTATCTCCTTTATTTGAAGGAAAAGTATAATATATATATTCGGAATCAGTGGAAAATAAGCTATCTTATGAAACCAGAAATGACATATTCTTAACCGAAAGTAGCAAATTATCTCCCATATTTAAGACAAAAGTATATAAATCCATATATTTTTAGAATCAGTGCAACTAAAGCTATCATACATGTCTGGAAATGACATTTTCTTCACCGGAAGTAGTTAATTGTGTCCCATATTTACGATAAAAGTATATAAAACCATATATTTTTAGAAGTAGTGCAAAGAAAGCTACCATATGCGTCTTAAAATTACATTTTCTTACCGAAATAGCAATTTATCTCCCATTTTTAAGTGAGAAGTATAAAGAAACCATATGATTTTGGAATCAGTATGAAAAAATCTCTGATTGGACGCCAATAGTAACTTTGAGTAAACCAAAAGTAGCTTCTCATCAGTTATCTAAAAATGTAATGTGGAAAGACCTTGTTTTTTTTTTGTTTTCTTCGGCTACTTTTATTTCTTGCGTGTAAATTTTTGTTCGCAAGATGTCGCTTGGATGTTTTGTATATATAGCAAAGTGTATGCGCCTTCGAAAATGACACTGCTTAACCGAAAACTTTTCTTTTTAGGAGTTATCTCCCCAAACACTGTTTTCCTTGTGAGTGCATCTCCTCCGTAACCGTAAAAGAAATCGACAAATTTATTTTACCAATTTGGTCGTTATATCCTCAGGTTATTTCCCCTTTGGATTTGACATAAGTGATAGATTTATGATTAGCATGAATGGTAAGTGATAGAGACCTAAGTTAGATTGACTCGAGGTCCTTGGTTCACTAAAATGAAATTGAGGTCAAGGTCAAAGGTCAAGGTCATATTCTTAATTTTGACTTTTCCTTGTTTTATGATCTCATCTGTCACTTTTAAAGATGTATATAAAAGAACTAGCCCAATTGTGATGAAGATATGATATATTTGGTCTGATACAATCCAATGACATCTTACAGGAGTTATTGTCCCTGAAATGATTTCATTTAAGGTTAATTGATTATTACTCCAACTTTGTACATGATAAAGCCATTGGGTCTTTTGCAAACTGTTAGTTGACATATGACCTTGAAAAATATCAACCTGAAGTGACCTTGAGTAAACCGGAAGTAGCCATTTTTGCACTTATCTCGTGGAAAAGTACCTAGAAACTTTATTCTTTTTTCATACGCGTACATAAACCTATCATTTGAGACCGGAAGTGACCTTCAATAACCGGAAGTACCTAATATCTCCCTTATTACAGGCAAAAGTATATAGAAACTTTTTTTTGGGAATCAGTGTGAATAAAGGTATCATGTGAGACAGGAAGTTACAATTTTTAAACGGGAAGCTGACAATTATTATCTCCTTTATTTCATGCAAAAATATATAGAAACATATATTTATTGAATCAGCATGAAGAAAACTATGCTTGGACGCCAAAAGTAACTCTGAGTAAACAGGAAGTAGCTTCTCATCAATAATTTAAAAAAACTGATGTGGAAAGACCTTCAATTGTTCTTTGAACAATTGGTTTTTAATTTTTTTTTTTCTTCTTCCGCCAAACCCATTTCTTGCGGTATAAAGTTGTTTCGCAAGATGTCCCTTAGATAATTTGGATATTATCTCGAACAGTTATTGCGCTTTTAAAACTTATCTCGTTAAGGCGAAGACATTTTTATTGTCAGAGTTATCTCCCCAAACACTGTTTTTCTTGTGAGTGTATCTCCTCCGTAACCAAAAAAGATAACGACAAAATTCTTTTTCATATTTGTTCGTTACATCCTCAGAAATCTTTGGCTGATCTGGATCGAAGCGATCCGGTGAAATTTTATAGGAGTTGTCTACCTTTATCAAATAAATGTGTGGTAATGTTTTTGTAACTCATAAACCGTAAGCTGAATAAAGCTGAAGTCTTTGTATTTGAGGCCTTTGGGTCCTCACTTAAAAAATGCGGTCAAGGTCTAAGGTCAAGGTCATGTTCTGAATTTTGTCTTTTGCTTGTTTTTGCATTTTCTCCGATATTTTTATCGTTATATATAAAAAGAACTAGTACAAAATGTTTGTTATATTGTGATGAAGATATGATACATTTGGTCTGAATCAATCCAGTGATATCTCATAGGAGTTATTGTCCCTGAAATGTTTTATTTTAAGGTAAATTGAATATTACTTCAGATTGGTACATGATAAAGCAATAAGGTCTTTTACAAAATATTAAGTGACATGTGACCTTGAAAAATATCAACCAGAAGTGATCTTGAGTGAACCGGAAGAAGTCATGTTTGCACTTATTGTATGGAAAAATACCTAGAAACCATATATTTTTCAAATGGGCATACATAAACCTATCATTTGAGACCGGAAGTGACATTCCTTAAACCGGAAGTAGCAAATTATTTTCTTATTGCAAGCATAATTATATACAAACTATATATTTTTGGAATCATTGTAAAAACAGCTATCATTTGAGACCGTAAGTGATATTTTCTCAACCGGAAGTCGGCAATTATCTCCCTTATTCCAGTCAAAAGTATATAGAAACCATATATTTATTGAATCAGTATGAAGAAAACTATGATTGGACGCCAAAAGAAAATTTAAGAAAACCAGGAATAGCGTCTCATCAATTATTTAGAAAATTAAAGTGGAAAGAACTATGAACAATTGGTTATTTTAATTATATTCAAAATTGTGTTACATAAATGTATATAGAAAAGTAAGCAATGTTGTTACTTTCTACCTCAAACTATTTTATTATGAATTTCAGATAAAACCAACTTTATGTTTATGGAGTTGACTTTCGACCGAAGATGACATGGCAAATTTAATGTGTGAAACTATATACGATCACACCACTTCAGTGTATCTCTCTAGTTATTATTGCATCGTTGTTTATACCTTTAAATATGTGCTTTTCAAAATAAAACTCATTGAAAATTTTTTATCAATACGTCACTCGAGGAATTTTAAAAGACCAGTTTTTATAAACTTAGTTAACAAATGAAAATTCATGAATAAGATAAAAATTAACGAGTCCATGGACCCACCAAGAAGGGAAGTGGGGAAGGGGATGATGCATAAATCTAGTTTGTGCACGTCATCATACAGTAACTATACTACCATATCATTTAACAATTTTTTATTAGTCCATGTTGTTAGTTTAAGAGGTTTGTGGAAACTCTCTTCATTTCAAAAGTGTCTGCAAACTGATGAACAATTCAATAAGAAGACTAGATATGTTTATAAACGCATATCTTCCTTTTTTTTCTTTAAAAATTATTGGTACTACAATACGTTTTATAGGTTAACTGCGTTCATTCTTTCGTTGTTTAGATTTCCATACTGTTTAATGATAAAGGTCTAAAGTACAAAAAATGTGCTTACCATTTATGATTTACACTAGTATATTTTTATTATACGTATAAACCTACAAACTAACTATAAAATTACTATAAAAAATATGTATTCTTATATTCCTCGACACTGTCATCGGTTTATGGAATACAAAATTATGAGTGGGCAAAATGGAAATTGTTCATCAGTGTTCGAAGACGTCCAATACTTATTAAACAATAAATGTGACTTATAGAAAAAAAGTAAAAAAACAAAAACACCGAACTCCAAGGAAAACTCAAAACGGAAAGTCTTTTATCAAATGGCAAAATCAAAAGTTCAAACACATCAATCGAATGGAAACAACTGTCATATTCCTGACTTGGTACAGGCATTTCCTTATGTAGAAAATGGTGGAATAAACCTGGTTTTATAGCTAGCTAAACCTCTCACTTGCATGACAGTCGCATAGAATTCCATTATATTGACAACAATGTGTGAGCAAAGCTAACAGACATAAGAGGTAAAAATGTCAAAAATTGGGGTGCAGCAGTCAACGTTGTGTTATAATCTTAATCTCTATAGATTTAGTTACTGAAGAAATTTTTCACAACATCGAATACACTATCAACAATAAATGACTATGTATATAGCATACCGCTTACAATATGTACTTGTTGCACTACTGCCACAATCATGTGCAATGTCATGTTAATGTGTCCAGCTAATAAAATCCATTCATATACTATAGTACAACAAATTTCAATATTTGTAATCTTAACTTTCTTCAGGACTTCCCTTTCTTTAATTTTTTTGGGGAAATGTGTTCCCGAAACGCAACATATATCAAAATTACATTAATAATAATAAAAAGTACAAACTTTTATACTATACGTAGGTACTCAGTCTGTTTAGAATTCCCATAGTATAGTTAAGATTGAGCAAGGTATAATTCAGAATGACAGTGTCTGCACATTTTTCTGTAATGTTTCTATAATGATCCAATATAGTTAAGAAATCAGATATAATTCAATGATAGAATTCAAATTTGTTCAGGCTGAATGAGTAAAATCGATTACAACTATGTTCAAACACTAGTCTATTTAAAGAATCAGACTTTTCTTTGTTTTTTGTAAATTGTTTTCCTTCTAAGCTTATAACAGAATTTACTTAAAACCAATTTTAGGTTACCTACCTTGTACCATAACTTTCATGTCTTTCACATCAGTACATTTAATTCCTCCAAAATATGAAAGCAGATTGTTCATAGTATCTGTTGTCATATCATCTATTGAGCGTGACCAAATTTCAATTTGTTCCTTCTCATGTACACATGTTCCATCAGCTTGGACATCAAAACAGAAAAACATAGCTGCAGAACTGTAGTCAGTAAACATTACTTTATATTTCACTGTAATGAGATGTAGATGTGAAGTTTTAAATTAAAAGATATTTTATTTATATAAATATTCAAACAGGTCCATCACTTTAGATTATAATGTTCAAATGAATGTTATGTTTAAATGTGCTTGAACGCTTGACAATTCTGAAACAATTGTAACACAAGTCTCGGATTACATGTAGATTCATAATTTTGGCATTATTAATATCGTAAACCTTAACGAATTATTTACTTGATAAGTATTTTGATATTGTTTTGTTTTTATATCAACATCAACGTGTAGATTCATCCTATATCATTAGGCTAGCAGAGGTCTTCATCTTAAAAATAAAGATGATTCTATGCATTATTTTAGACTCTTAATCGACACAATTCAAGTTGTCCTTTTGGGTCAATTTTACAAAGACTACCAAAACATCTCCCACATCCATTTAATTCATTAAAAGAAGCAACCCTCCTTTTTTCACGGTTAGTGAAATAAAAAAAACGTGCAAACAATTGGTTTTTTATATAGTCCTTAAGGTGGCTCGGGTGTCTTCCTCCATCTTGGATTTCGAAGTAGCAAATAACGTTGGTCTAGATATTTCATGAAATGTGCAAATTTTAAGAGTAGTATGTAATTTATGTAAAAGACTTTTGATGTAAATATAGAAAATTGTGTGTGTTTTATCATAATTACGGCTGTAATTTCTCAAAAACACCTTGCTTGTGTTTGATTGGATTTTTTTCAACTTTGCCAAATAAGGGGTGATAACTCAGATGAAGTAATTATTATAATAGAAAGTGTTGTGAATTTACCTATTTTGATATGTAGCAAGAAAACAAGTTCGGTCACCCCTTTTTTTCTTTTTCTTATCTGAAAGCATCTTATAAGAGCTATCTTCTCACATTTTATCTTAAAGTTCTATCGAGTAGTTTTCTTTTTATCACACAAAATTTGATTTTCCATGCATAATCTATACAAAATCTGACAATTTTGCACAACCTCTAGCGTGAAAAAAATGTCGGTGACCCATACTTTTGATTATATTTTTGAAAAAAAAACATGATAAAAATTTTGACAAATTATAAAAAAATTCTATCAATTTTAATTAAGACGCCCCAGCCACCTTAATATAGATGGAAGATGTGACACTGCACTTTAAGCAAACGACAATCAATAAATCAATAATATGAAAATGAACGTAAAAACTGAATTACTTGTCCCCTGCATCAGAACTCCGGAATATTCTGCTGTGTCATCTTTTGTCATAATGCGCGGATGTATCATACATTTGTCAGTATTTTTTCTGTAAGAAAATAGAAAATTAGTTTGTTGAAAGCTTGGATCAAACTAACGAGCAACAAAAATAAATTCATCGAATTAAACCTTTTGTCAATATTGGACATATTCTTTGCATCGAAATACATTCGTTAACAGTATTCTTGTAAAATAACAGACACGAATCATTAGACATTAATTAGTGTGATAAATAATTCACACACTCTTACGTGTTGTGTTCTTGCGTTAGGAACATTTTCAAGATATATGTATGGATTCGACCAATATTGAAAAAAAATTAAAATACATTTTCTCGAATACATGATTTTTAACAAATTACACCACAGTTGACAGATAATTTAAAAAAAGAAGCAGAAAAAATCAAAGAGACAATTACAAAAATCGAAAGTTGAACAAAAGTCAACAACACCATGGCAAAAAAAGACAGTCTACAAAACACTACATAGAGAACTGAGACTGAGCTGCACGAACTCTACCAAATACTGTCAGCTATTTTATATGTTCTGAAAGGATGAACATATCCTGCTTCACATATGACTTCCATCGTGGTGCTCAGGACAGCTTCAAAATCGGTGATAAAGTAATTGTTGTTACAAAATAATCAGGCTGGTTAACGAAATGAATAATCTATTGACTCTCCCACATTAATCTTCAAACGAGAACGAGATACATTTGTATTTTTCAGTTGTAGAAAAATACTTCCGTTTTCATACGATAATTAAACTCAAGCAGTTTCATATATGAGATTGCCCGGAAGTTACACGTTAGTATACAAAAATATATGAAAAACAAGAATGAAACTAATGGACTTTTAATTAAGGCCACAGCAGTTCAACGATTTTCAAATCTTGCAAAAAAATAAGAGACAAATCAAATTATCAACAAAAACTGAGGGAATTGCATGAACTCCAAAACGAGCTAGATTGAGTTCCCCAAGTAGATATTATATTTATATGTGCATTATGTTTTGGTATGATTTAGATTTGGATGAAAAAAGTGGCAACAATGAAAATATAACTTAATTAATTAGTTTGGTCCGAGGCACTTTTCTGGATTTACGTTCATCAGGAACGTTCATACCAAACATCTGAATGATAAGGATGTATAACTATCTAAACACATAGAGAGCAATGCAAATACGATTCACTTTTTTTATACATACGGATGTCCAGAAACCACCCTTGTGATGGACTCATCTTCATGGACATATATAATATTTGTCATGGAATCCCACGTGCCGTCCCCAAACATGTAAGTTGTTCCTGAGTGAGTATACCATACTCCGGCAAACTGAAATCAGAGAAACAGTAGCTTATAATCCTTTTGAGGTCGTAATCCAAACATTATATTATAGAATGTCAACAATCAAAGAAAAAAGTATAAATCTATATTTAGATATAGAGATAGTATATCTTTGTTGAAAATTCTTTTCAAAAAGAATACAACGTTTTTGTAGACTCATTTGTTAACAATTTGTTAATATCAGGCTCATATGGCATGCTTAGGACGTCTATTTTGTGTTAGGAACAATTTAAATATCGGTACCCGGTTTGGAAATGTGATGGAACAGTCTTCAGCTGACAATATAAGAATAAGATAAAGTAAAATGTGATATGATTGCCAATGAGACACATTTGTCGTGAAGTTAGCAACTAAAGGTCACCGTACGGCCTTCAACAGTGACTAAAATCCATTACGCATAACAAGGTATAAAAGGCCACGACATGACAAATGTGAAACAATTCAAACAAGAAACAAACGGTCTGATTTGTGTACAAACTAATAAACGAAAAAAAAAAATATATACCACAACCACTGAATAATAGGCTCCGGATTTGACACAGGCACATACATAATGTGTAGTGGTTAAACATTTTTGGCGGGCTGTCTACCAACTCTCCCCTAACCTGCTACAGTGGTGCCACAGCACAACACGAGAACAAGCCGAATAATAAAATAAATGAAAAAAACAAATATGATATGCAGCAACCAACAACAACCACGCAATTACAAGCTCATGGGAAAGACACACATAGGATGCGGCGGAGATAAACATGTTTGAGGGAGCCTCCTCTCTGGAACAGTGTTGCAACAGCACAAAATGAGAACAAAACATAGTAAACAGCTGCACCAAGAGTGCATGATACTCCCATATTGTACATATTGAAATTGTTGCAAAAACAAAATGATATGGTGAAGGCATTTAATCAGAAGCAAATAAAATGGCTCTGTAGAAAACACGCACGCACGGATGGACAGACGGACGAGCAGATGGACGGACATTGGTATACCAAAAAATTCAGTTGAAATGGGTTTGACTAATCAGTTCGATACAAAGCACAAAAAAAAACACGTAGGACAAAAAGTACTGATCTGAAAGTACTAGTTCAAAGCCAAAACAACTAATAAAAGAATAATGTATCCAAGACAAATTATCAATTGGTACACATCCAATGGATTTAGTGTAAAGATATCATCAACAGACTTGGAAACATTACCTTGTTCCATGTCAAAATATTGACAGGATATCGGCAGGATTTAGAACCCAAAGTTTAAATAACTTATAGCAGTACAAATTTAGTTATGTTTTAATTTATTGATAACAAAATCAATGTTTTTACCGATAAAGCAATATTCAAAGATCTCATCACAATGTTAAATGAATAACATTTTACAATAAGGTTATTCAAAGGATATATAAGCTTACATGGATCGTTTTTAAATTTGCGGGCCCTATAAACAACATCACTGTAAAATTAGCACGTGATATCCCGTTAAATAACTGTCTACAAAACACTACACAGGACAACAAAAGATTGAGCAAATCAACGCAATCAATATCCAGGGTTGATCTCAGTTACTCCAGAAGGGTAGGAAATTCTTTCTCAACTAGTCTTTTGTTTTCATGTTGTTTTATGTAATCTGTTCTTTATCTTATGGTAGTTTTTCATATATTTTTTCCTGAAGTTGTCAAGTTGTCATCAACATGATTTTGAATATCCATTTGGTATCTTTAGCTCTCTTTTAGTTACGCTCGTTTCACTAGTCATGTTCAAATAAGAAAAAATATATACACCTTCAAGCCATAGCTATTAGAGGTTATGAGAAGGACACTTCTGCACATCTCCACCCATTTCTATAAGGCTCTGTTCATTTTTTTTTTTTTCATTTCAATTATAAAACATAAAACACATTGAGTCATATTTCATTAAAAAACTAGATTAAAAATCAATTGCAACGGTCACATGGCTAGCGTTATATTTTTTTCCCGACAAATTCAAAAAATATGTTTCCAAATGTGTTTATTGAGGCATATATGCATATTCATCTGTTTAGATAAAATCAATCGTTCATTTAATAAAATCAGAGAGCGACATATGTAAATAACACATATTGAAAAATAGCATTTGAAAGTACTTCCTTTAATAAATATGTATGACAGTTTTACCAACATTTCTGTTACACAAAGATGAAAAAATAGGATTTTTTACGCAACCTTTATGTTTAAGCTTTACTTACTAAATGTAAGGTTAAACTATCAGGGATCCTTGTGTCTAAATAGTATTTATACTTCATTCATTGCATCAAGGCATTTATACTTAATTACCTCATTATAAAGGCGTGTCGAATATTATTTTTGCAACGCCATTGCTATGAGGCAATGAAGTACTTTTTTTTAATTGGTAGAAGGCAAAACTAAAGATCTATGTCGTCTCTGATAACCACAATGACGATTTGCCTTATTAAATACTGACTTATTTGCTTACATAAAGAATTGATAATGATTTCAAAACCCATACTTGTCAACTAACCTTAAATGGTGGAAAGTAGCTTTATGTTTCTAAAATTGATTTTTTTTTTCGTGAGCAACTTTTAAATCATTCTTTTTTTTCTCTGCAATAGCTTTTGAAGTCCTAAAGCGCAGTACGATAAAACAGTTGTTTATGAATTTAGTATGCACTATACTGCATTCAAACATTCCAAAGCTTTGAATACAAACTGTTCTTTAGTAAAATTCGTAAGTGTATCATTTTAACATGACATTAAAAAGGTATAAAAATTTGACATAAATAAATTACATAAATAATACCAAATGCTAATTGAAAGAATTACCTGTTTAATGTCAAAATTTGTCTGCGCAATCACGTCATCCAAATTTGTTACGCATTGGTTGACTTCCACTGAAGCACAAAAGCAATATCCAAAAAGAGCAACAAACCCTAGCACAAAGATGGCCATCCTTTCAGATAATATGATTTCAATGAAGTGATCCGTTGTTGAAATCATAAGATACTCCTCAACAGTTGACGTGATTATAAAGTGTTTTATAATATTACACTTAAGTGCTCTACACCATGGTAAACTGGACTAATTATAAAATTAGTTTCAAGGACTGTTTGTCAGTTCCTTACGTTTCTAAAAAAAACATAATACTTTAAGAAAAAAAACCTCTATCTGAACGTTTAACAGCTATATTTTAGAAGTCAAAGAAATGTGTAGTTATAAAAATAAAAAAAATAATACTGTAAAATATATGAGTTGAATCCTAAAATGATGTTCCTAGTTTAATTTTTTAATTATTTGATTCAGGCGCATTTTTAAGTCGTCATTCTGTTGAAAATCGACATACAATATTGCATCAGATGAATAACTATGAATCGATCTCAAATTATCTTTATCCTACCCTGTCTAATTCATGTAATTTACCGCTTCACAAAGGTAACGGCTAATCGTTAGTAAAAGGGGGAATTTATTCCACTGTATTAATCATTACAAAAAAAACTGTCATTTTTTAGTAAATGAAGTAATACATGTATCAATAGTGGAGTGACAAATCAAGAAAAATGTGCTTAATTTACGACTTTAATGAACCGGCATAACTGCAGGCTACAAATTATGTTTTTGCAAAGCCAATACCTTGGTCCGAATGTTTTCCCCGATTGTAGCCATTTTGTACGGTGCAGTTTTTCATAAATGGAAAGCAAAAGACATGCTGATTTTTTCATTCAAAATGCAACTCGACAAAACATTTTACTTTTGTTTCTTTGTTATAGTCCTTAAACTCTTGATTTCACTTTTTTCAAGAGTTTTAATGCTAATACGTATTGTAAAATTATAAATCCTTCTATTTAACTCTATTCTGTTTTGGTATTCACTCAGATGTAAGAAAATGCACTCTGTTTTATTTCCAGGGGGTGGTTACAACATTTGTAAATTTATATTACACCGATATCTTCTAAATGTTTTGCGTTAAAAAGTAATAAAACATCATTTTGTAATCTTATGAGACCAATTTGGATCAGTTTTTGTAATAAATTCATGTTTTTTTACATATTTTTTATATACATTTCAATTCAGTGAATTTCAGGATCTATTTCTTTTACCGATACCAAGTAGATTTACTTTTAATTGATGAATCGCTTCAGCACTGCATCATACCGTTGTTCGTGTTTGTGCCAATTAAACATGTTAGAATTGATATTTTTAAGTTTATTGAACAATATTTTAAAAAGTTTTTGACTGATAAATTTTTGTCAAAAAGATATTTTATTGTATCACGTCTTTCTTTTTTACATTCTTAACCGAAAGCAAAGTTCTATTGGACGTTCCACTCTTTATTGTATTTTAGATATAAATACAGGTAATTCATTTTGGTAAATAATTATTTTATTCTTTGGTGCAGTGAAAAAGCAATTACAGAAATAATGTGACACTGTTCACTCGCGTAATGGCATTAACTATATGTAGATTCTTAAGAACTGAAAAGAACTTCTTGAAAATTTAAATCTGGGTCATTCACTGAAAATTCTATCAAAACTTTCGACTTATCACCCCTTTACACCACCAAACCACATGAAAAATTAAAACCCCGTTTTAAAGAATGAATCCACAATGCTTTCCTCCAAAAATAAAATGCTACTAACAAATGTGTAGTATAGAATTCTACATATTTTTCTAAAATGATCCCGAAAATAAAACACGCTACTCCGGAGAAGAAGTGATCATTATGCTGGAATTTCTCATTTAGAACACATTTGCCGAATTCGAAGATATAATTATCCAGCAGGTTGTCGGCATGCATATGGGAACAAACTATGCACCTCTCCTGTCTGACCTTTTCTTATTTTCATATGAGTCGGGGTTCCTTCAGAGACTTTTAAAAAACAAAAAGATCAAACGAAGCTAGATCATTTATTTTCACATACAGGTAAATTGATGATGTTATTTCCATTAACGATCCAAGCTTTTCTGATAGGGTCTCATTAAATATATCCTCCTCAACTAGAGATTAAAGAAATCACAGATACAGCTTCCTCTGTCATTTCTAGATATTTATGACTTTTTATGTGACTCAGTATTTTTGTATTCCGCTATCGTGTTTTTGGCTTTGGCCTTTTCTTTTTCATGTTGATGCTGATGTGCGATTCGGAAGCAATATGTTTTTACAGTGTTTCCACTTGTTTTTTACCCTTGTATTTATATTTTACTTAATGTGTACGTTATAGAAAAAGTGTTTACTATATATTTACTATCATTTACAAACAAAATTTTAATCAGCGTCTTTGTCAATTTACTATCAACTTCAACAACTTTTGTCGCCTATGTTAGAATAACTTGCAGGTTTCTTTGAATTTTTTAGTCAGCTGAGCTGTATGTCTGTGATGTATATTTACACAGTTTTGGCTGTTTGATCCCAATTATTGTCACATTAACCTTGTATGTCTGTTTGGGTTTCTCACCCAATTTTGTCTATATAATGGAACTATAAATAACTGTCATACATGTACAAGTCGAAGGTTTAGCTAGCTATAAAAACAGGTATAACCCTTTTTTTTCCGGAAAATGCCTATATCAAGTCAGGAGTATGACATTTGTTTTAACCGTTCCGTTAGTTGATAACGTTTGATTTTTTCGGTTTTGATGGACTTCCCCTTTCTGAATTTACCTTGAGTTCGGTATTTTTGTTATATTTTTTCATGCAACATTTTATAAAAACAAGGTATACCGCTGAGAGAAAGTTTTGAATATTGAATAAATATAATAGTGTAAAATTATCATTAATGTATATAGGATTTTTGACAGTCAAATTCCATTAGATTTAAACAACGTTCTAAAAGTACAGCAAAATTGAACCCTACTTTTTCATACCATTATCCCATTTGTTGTATTGTTTAATTTGTTCACATTCCGAACATACCAAAATATCGATTTAGCTAAAAAGTGCAAGAACCGTTTGCAGTTTTTGTCGAACTGGAAAGACAACAGCGTAACTTAGCCCAAAGCTTCAAGTGTATTTATGTACGTTCATGTATCTTTCGGGTGGTTCTAATCTACTAAATTTCTTGCTAAGAATGAGTACTACTTAGTTGTTTTGGTATTGCGCTGTATGGTTTGATAAATGATTTTGACACAAACTATGTCGTGCTTCAGTTAACAACCAATTTATTTTTGCTTTGATTTGTCTCTAATTACCCTTGACTTGTTTTACATAATCATTCTATGAAAGATCCGGCACCAGTCCCTCAGCCAATCTGTAAAAACATAACAAGTTGTTGTCGTTTCCTTTGTTCTTGACGTGGTTGTAGTTTTCAATCAGAGAGCATTTATGTGACGCATCCTGTTTCTCAAGATTTGTAATCATGTGTAATGAATCTGCTAAGCACGAGTTTGAAAGCGATCAATTCATCAATGCATTTGGACGTGTATGAATCCCTGATTTCAGATCCGTATTCCAAATATTAACAAGGATATATGTATGCCATTTTTTGCACTTTTGGTGGCATTTACGCATGTTTCTTCTGGTGAAACCTAAAGTACAACAAGATTTGTGGATATTTGCTGATGTGGATGGATATTTGCCTCTGTACGATAATGCAAACAATAATAAATCGATCAGTTATTTATTTTTAATAATATTAAACTTGTGACAATGCTCTCATATGAACTGAGTTTTCGTTATAACCAGGGTCAGTGCTTTAATAATCGTTCTCTTTGTTAACCTTTGTATAGTTTTATCAAGTGTCCAATTATAAAATAAGTTCTTAAACATAATTGCGTTTATGAACTTTTGTACGACTGATTCACCTTTAATATGTACTAAAATATTCTTGGCAATTCAGTTATCATTGATATTTATGACAAGAATTATATTATTTCGTTTTCGTCATAGACTGGTGACAAAACATTACATTATTTCAACCGAACATTACGATGTATTATGGTCTGAAATAACAAACTGTTTCTTTTTTACCACACACAAACACACACAGTTTTAAATCATATATATTTTTTTTACTTTTATTAATTTCGTGTTATCATTTTTCTTTCTTTTCAGTTCAATACATGAAATTGAAACTTTTCTTAAGACTATTAGTTTGTTTTATTTACGAAGTTGTTGAGTCTTTGTTTTCTTTAAATCTGTATTAATCATCAGTAATTTTTTAAATGATTGACAAACAGAGAACCGAAAATAGTCAGGATCTCTTTCACTTATTACCTTTCTCTTCATCTATCTTAATGATCTCCTTAACTGTACACGACCTTGTAACGCGAGACTACGGAAATAAAGATTTTATTTCTCTTCGTTATATTAACAGAAATTGATGACTTTACACAACGATAAAGTAGAAATCGTCATCATCAGTAACGTATACTTATTGCGTAACTTGCTCTATACAATATATTTGTACATATGAGAATGAAAGAAGATTACTCTGCAGTTTTCAATAATCCCATGAGATGTGAAAAGCTTTCAAATATCATTTTACAAAAAAAGTCTTTTTATTATATTTGATCTTATTATGAATATCCACAAAGTAGTCGGAATGTCGGATTGTCAGTGATAGTTTCTTCCCTTATTTTTTTACTGAACTTTTTAATTAATGATATTCTTAATTTCATTTAACATAATTATTTTAATGTATACACAATTTTGCAAACAGTATGCCAGATCTAAATAAACATGTTGTACTCCTTGCACTTGGTGTAAAGCATTAAATACATTTTTTTCTAGAGGTTATTGATGTGTAAACTAGTGCCGAGTAACTCACAAACTGAATATAATTCTGACGGTATGTATACTAGTAGTTTGTGAGTCAGTGACCTAATTTAAATACTAATAACTTTCAGAAAAATTTCAACTTTCCTGGAACCCCAAATTTCCATTCATAAGTATCGCATTTAAATATATCATAGTGAAATCGACATAGTGTTTGAATAAGTTACGAAAGTAGTTTAGACAACATGGTCTATCGAAGTGTAAACAGAGGAAAGACATTCTAACGGA